CTGCCCTACTGGTGGCACGCTTCACAAATACGTGCAAAGGTAAGTCGAACATATTTTTTTGTCACTGATGCGTCAAATTTGGAATTGTCCTCCACATGTCTACCATAAAACTTTTTGGAAGCTTTACTGAGGCTTTGAATGTTGTAACCTTAATCACAGAATTGAGTAAGCGTTGTAAGACGCTCTTTGAAATCTTGTAGGAAACAGCATGCCGATTGTACCACAAAAGTTGCGAAATGTAGACACCAAAGACCGGAGCTGCTGGAATATTGCTCGACATGAAGGGAAAGTTGACAACTGGAAAGTTGAAGTCATCCATTGTTGAGAGTGTTTTGTGACACTGAATCTTTATGCATAGATCTAACTATGAAACAGATGCGGCGGTCTTACTGGTGTCCTTTGTTTCTAGTTCAGGTGGGTAAATCGCTGAAAGGGAATTATCTATTTGATTGTTATTGAATGATATCAGATCATCGATATAGCTTAAGCTTAAGTTAAACTTCTTGACCAAATTACCTTGTTTTGACTTTGCCAATCCGAACAGAGATTCCGATTCATATGCACAAAGAAACAGATCTGCAAGAAGGGGAATTGGTGCCCATGGGGATGTCTATTTCTTGCCTGAATGTTTTACCCCCAAATTTTACGTAGATGTTATTAATGAGGAAGTCCAACATTTCACATATTTCTTCTTCAGTAAACTCCAGATGGCATTTGCATTCATTTTGTATGAACTGTCCTGAACCTCTGAATATAGATACTTAACTGTATCTGTGGTCACCACGTTTTGTAACAAGAGCCCCGGGGATGAAGGAATGAAGTTTTCCCTTAAGTTTGTCATGTGGGATCATGTTTTAACAGAATGGAAGTTGGTTCTTTTCTGTGATTGTAAAAAGTCAAGCAAATCCTTGGATTTTTTGAGAATCGACAGGGTATTAATTCTTCTTGTCTCAGATACATTCTGTGAATATTAAGAAAGTCGTTCCTTTGTTGTATTAAGGATTATGGCTAGTCTTTCAGACAGGGATTTGGTGGTACATTTGCTGGACCCAGCATCTTATCTCTCTTTGTACGGGTTGTTATGTAACTTTGGAACCCTGTACAAAAGATCTATGAACAAGTCTTCAGATTTTAGAGTCAAGTCAAAAGTTGATAGTACTGATACATGGTTATGGCAGATTTCTTACTCAGTTTACATACTGGCCTTATATGTGGCATTATTTGATATATCATTTATACCCAGTTCTTTGGTCAAACAATTAATGTTGTGATGCTTCCACATAATGGTCATGTAATTTGAGGCCTTGTCAGTAGGAAAACCTACAAACTGTTCAGCCAGACTTGTATGACAGTTGGCTGGGACAGAATGGGTTTACCCAAATTCCGTTTTCTCTTTTTAAGTTTGTGCATTCTACCAATGAGAACATCATGCACTGACTTAACCCACTCTGAAAGACATTCAACAGGTTCCTCTTCTCTTTTGGCCGATTCTTTGGCATATTCTTCGACAGGATCAATAATGATTTTAACGTAGTATTCTCTGTTGGTAGGAGATTGCTCGCGGTATTTTGGTCAATATTTGAATAACTGACGAAGGTTCTTATTGTCAACGATAGAGAAGTCACCTGTGATTATATGACCTACAGGTTGATAGCAGTATGATGAATCTTGGCATCCACAAGTAGTGGAATTTACATCATGAGCTGCTAAGTCCACGTCTGCAACACGTTTCTACAGTTGAACAACCTGTGTGGAACTGTGTTCGTATAGGAAAATGAAATTGTTGGTGGTTCCTGAAATTTGAAATATTGTGGAACATTTTGGGAAACTGTTTTTGTCTGAGAATGTTACTTACATACTGAGTCAAATTAAAAACTTCCCATTTTTAAAAGTCATCCCATATATGATATACAACGGACAAATGTATCAGAGAAGGTACTTTTTAATCATTAATGTCCAAAGAAGGATTTTAATTAACGGTGGTAACCTTAATTTGTTCCAAGCATCTACGGTATTCGGTAATAACATCAACAGTTTAAATCATAAGTCCCAAGCACGAGAATCTGATGGCACACAAGTTCAGTAGCGTGTATGGCCACCATGTGCGTTGACAACTGCCACACAACGCCTCCGTATGGACCTTGTGATGCTTGTGAACACATGATTGGGAAGACGACGCCATTGTTGCTGCAAAATGGTGCCCAGATCTTGCAAATTCTGTGGTTGTTCTGGAGAGTGCGCAGACTTCTGCCATTAGCATCCCAGAGGTGTTCGATGGGATTGAGGTCGGGAGACCTTGACGGCCAGTCCATGACGTTGACTCCTGCATTCTGAAGGAAATTCCTTGTCAAAATTGCTGTGTGGGGTCGGGCATTGTCGTGTTGGAAGATCAAACCGGGTCCATGTGCTGCCATAAAAGTTCTTGTGCCAGTACCTGTTCCGGTAAGCAGCAGCGTTACGATTGCCACGGATGACAAGAAGCCTGGAACGTGCATTGCCACAGAAAGCACCCCACACCATCAGCAAATCGAGGATTAAACCGGGATTCATCATTGAAGACGACTTGATCCCAATTCCTCTGAGTCCATCGTAAGTGTCGATTTTGATCGATTCACAAGCACAAAAACGGGTGTTATCTGAAGACAATACGTGGCCATTACTGTTTAAATACACAATAATGGCCCACAATGATAACTGGTCAAAATGTTAAAATTTTAGGATTGTGAAGTTTTTAATTTGGTTCAGGAATATATTTAAGGCATCAATTCCCTTGTTTGCAAATTTCAAATTCAAGAACATGCAGCCATTGTCCGATTTAGTTGGGTCTGTTTCTGGCTTAGCTAAATGTTTCAAAGCGATATCAAGAACTATACTCTCTCATGGATACTGTGGGCTCTTTATGTTTGTAGACCCACCCATCAGCAAAAGCCTTTGTAAAGTGATTCGATACCAGCTAATATAAAGCTTCTGGTACCAAATGAACAAAATGTTCAAACGCATTGAACGGTAATCAGTTATATTGCAACCTGTTAGTTGGACGTTGGTAGAACACCGAAAGTGATGTATGCATCGCCCAGGCATGGCCAAGATTACCGAGGCGAATCTTGGATTCTAACCTACGATCAAATTCCAGTCACAATTAAAGTGCGTAGCTGTGGCGCCTTGACCACAGGGTATACAGATCCATTCAACAATTTGAAAAAACAAATATCGATATTTTACAACAATTTCAACCTCACTTAACATAAAGGTATTGTGGGGTCGACCTGAAACGGGTGAGGTTGCTAAACTTAGGGAACATATGCATATGTAAAGAATCATATTTGGCCCACTGAAAATGACACATTTTAAAGCTATGGAAAAGTTTAGGATTTCGTAATGGACAATATTTTATATGTTCATATGCCTAACAGTTTCCATCAGTTGCTTACAAGTTTTGGCCACGCGGGGAATATATGCACTTGGGACAATATGTGTATCTACATCTTACTAGAAAATCAATTTGGTCCAAAGGCCAATCTCATTAAAATCAGATCTAAGTTCTCGCTGCCGCAAAACTAGGATCTGTAGACATCCCATTACGGGTCACGTCAGAATGGCCTTTCGCGGACTTTGACCGACCAGTGAAACGACTAACAAGAAGTCGACAATCAGAAAGCAGCTTTCTCGATCGAGCTTTACGACACTCGTTTCAACCTGGCGACTTCCATTTCTGACTACGCTTGAAAAATATGTTGACACAGTTAACGTTCTCGAATAAAATTTTGAAAACTGAACAAACAACCATTCCGGAATGTCTAATATATGGTTGAGATTGTATGGCAGTGCTTCCCACGTACTGCGAAACGCCACTTCCGTTCAAATGTTTATCCCGCGGAAGCGAGAGATAGACAATGATTTAGACGGAATCAGTCGTACGGGCCGAAACTGTCGTTTTGGAGGTCGCATGATTAGAAAACACATTCCGACTGTCACTTTCATGATCTGGTAAGCGACACTTTGACTGGTCGGATGAAGGGTCGTTCTGACGTGACCCGTAATGGGATGTCCTCAGATATTTTTTAGCGATAGGGAGAACTAAGGTCTGATTTAAATGAGATTGGTCCAAAGTCCTGCTCATGTAAAATATTAGAAAGCACTTCCCTACAAACCCCTACGTTAAGGCATTTTGTGTAGTTTCATAATAGGTCCAAGACAAGCAAGGGTTGAAAAGAACAAAGTCCTTTCTCATTCATATGAAGACATTTGATGACTTCCACAACTAAACAGTATGACAAGGGTCATTATCATATCTCGTCCTTGATGTATTGTCAGAGACACTAGTATGTTTTACAGCCAACCATCATGGCTTTGATGTTGTATTCTCAAAAGTAAAAGTTATTATGACACACAAAGCAACGAGAACCTGTCAACAACCGTTACTGCCGTGGATTCTAGCAAACACAGATTCTATTACAAATAAGAAGTTACAATATCACACTACCAATGCTTTCTTAATGAAAATACATAAATGACCTTCAAAGCTGCTTTGACATTTGATACAACAACGATATATGCCAGGTGTACCGAGGTCACCCAAAAGTTTATACAGTAGAGTCCCCGCTGTGAGTTTCATCTAATTCCATTCACTAATACTCTGTGGTGTATTTTTACGCTCAGTTCAGACAGAGTGATCTAAAACCTTCAACGTCAGCCAATAATATGTCACAAATCATCCACAGGGGTATATAGGTTCGATCCTTACACGATAGCGTGGGTAATTGTTAATGATACCAACCATTAAATCTTGTCGATGCCGTCGTGATAACTGAAGCATTGCTGCTTCTGGCGTCAAACCACAAACAAGTAACAAGAAACCAAGCATGAACATGATTATGTTAAAAACCGGATTTGTAAGCTGGTTACATGGAACAATCAATACAGACATTATATAGAACGCTGTTAGCATCAATTGTTGTGATGCTGTCATAGTTACGTTGCAGGCTAGTGAGGAATCAATATTCACACTGCAATGCGTTTCTGTGGAACTGTTATACCGCAGAATATTATTTGAGTAGTATTTCTGCATTCTAATGATGTGCTTTAAGGAGAAGATCCTTTCCTGGTGGTACGCCACGCGTTTTCCATAGCAGGTAAGATGGACATGTACTGTCCAAGAAGTTATTTCATATCATGTCAGACAATGTAAATTCTTTTTCATAGCATTTACATAGACAACCAGCTACAATATGACTTAAATTTGACATATTACTACTTCGTCTTTTCTGCGATTCCGACTATATGAAAAGTGTGTGTCTAGACCCCTGAAGATCCGGGGTAGAATAGATCTTCATTAACCCATGTTTGGCGTAAAATGCGACTATGCTTGAAACGCATTGTCATCGCATCCCAACTGCGTGGATCGTGGATATTTCAGAATCCATTGTCTAGAAATGCTTTTCTAACCTTACTTTAGTGCACATTTCATCATCCTACTCTGTGTCATACCCATCAGATGCAGAGTCGGAATCACTGTCACAATCACTAGTATCTGAATCTATGTCCGATTCTACAGAGCAGTTTGCTCTGGTATCACTCAGATGTTCAGGCAGTGCTGGCTGTGAATACCGTATTGGCAAGTAAGCATTTCTGGACAATGGATTCTGAAATATGCTTCGTTATTGGCCAAGGATACTGTGACTTTGCTGAAGCATTACAATTCTTCGTGCAGCCAACCATTTTCGATTTTCAAGGTGAAGGTAACCCTTTTCACTTTTAAAAGTTGCTTGGTTGAATTTGTCATGTCAGAAAACATATTATTAGACACTAAAATCATGACTATCGGACAGTGTTAACTGTGTTTGTGAATTTCACCGACTGCCAAAAGTGTGTTGACCTTTCAACGTTTTTTGCCATAGCTCCCCCATTTAAGGTCGGAAGTATAACAAACTATATATTTCTGGATTCCTTATGACTGGACGAGTAATTTGATATGCATACCAACACAATTTTGAATTTTGACACCTGTTTGACCTTTGTTGACCCTTCCCATAAAATGCCCGGGATTTTCACCCCAGCAGCCCAAGTCAAAATTGTTCAGTATACATCAAGAAACTCAAAAACACTTTCAAACCTTTGTTTTCTTGATTTGGTCACGGGGCCTACAGGTTGGTCCTTGACTAATATGAATCACTATCGATTAGCAATGATAGCAGCTGTAGAGGTGACGAGGTGCGCGTATCCTGTACCACCAGTGACACCCGTCACAAAGACAAAATCTTGCAAAGTCAAGTCACGAATTTACCTGAACAGACACGGCAATGGTGTTAAAAGATATCAACATTGCACAACAGGCGGTGAGTATTCGCCGATCGAAGTAATAGTCTCACGCCTCACTAACTCTTCTCAGAAAACCTCAGTCCCGCCTGGTGGGACGGTTCTTGGAATAACGTTCCATACACGGGCTTGTTCAGTATATCACAATGACGAACAGGTCGTATAAGTTGACAGTCATTCTCTGTATAAAACTGTCAAGTCGGGTGTAGATTTCCCGCACTATACAGTATTTCTGGGCGAATGATCCCGGTTAGGTGGATCAACGTAGCGCAATGCATCTGAACATTGTAATATAAAATACCTGAATAAACCTAATTATGTTCATACCTCGATCATTGAACATAGAATCAAAGGAGCGGTCACTTTTTCACAAAGAAATATGACAAATGTTGTTGTTTTTTCTGATGATCTACTTTCTATAGCACAAAAGACTTGTTTATGTATTCCCCAATATACTTTTAAATTTCGAAAGATACCAAGTTAGTTGTTGGTGGCAGCGCTTCAGAACCGAAAGTGGTTCTGCGCATGCGCGAAGAGGGCATTGTGGTAATGCGTGCGCATCCAAGATGGCGATACCTCCGGCTCCAGTGGCGCATGCGCATCGAAGATGGTGGGAGGAGAGAAGTTGGGAAGGCGGCAAGGCGGTAGGGCGGATTGTTTTTCGGTTTGGTGGGTGGGGGGTTGGGTCGGTGGTGAAGAGGGTCGTCAAAGCAAGGATGAAAGCGTTCTCTCGGGAGAGATGGATGGCCCTGAAAAAGGCCGTTGGAAAACAAACTGGAAACTGGAAAAGGTAGGAATCTGTAGGAAAACTGGAAAAACAGTGGAGCAGAATGTGCCATGCGGTAGTCACTTTGCCCAGATGATCTATCTTCTTCATCCTCCACCTCCTCCTCCTCCTCCTTGGACTGATGACGTCGTCGGCGCTTTGAGGGGTGCTTTCTTGAGGGGCTTCTGTCCCGTTTATTTTGCCTAGACGTGGTGTGACGTCCGCATGGAGTTGTGCGATGCATTCTTTTAGGGCACGGACATCGATATGCATGGCTTCTATGAGATGAAGCACTTATGTCACTTGTGTCACTTTTGTCGACATGGGCGGCGCTGCTGAAGTCTTCTTTCGAATGGGTTCTCGGCAATCTGCAGCGAAATGGCCCAAGACTTGGCAGTTGTAACATGGGCCCTGGGGAGTCTTCTTTCGACTGGGTTCTGGACAGTCTGCAGCGAAATGACCCACGACTTTACAGTTGTAAAATGGGCCCTGGGGAGTCATCTGCTTATCTTCGGACAGACATAGTGGCTGTGACCTTGAGTGTGGCACTCGGTACATGTCATTTCAGGGCAGTACAGGTAACTGTGACTGTCGGTCTGGCACTTCATACAGTTTTATCGAGAATACAGGGTTGATTTTATAGAATGCAGTGTTAGGTTTCGCTCTTGATTTTTATAGGAGATGGACTGATACCCTGTTTCCTGATTGGTCCAAAACGCAGCGCACCGATTGGTTTGTTCCGGTGCCTGGGCTGCACCTCATTTTTCCAAAACGGACCGACCCTTGTGTTTCTTTTCCATGGGAAATGGATTTTACCATGGGAGAGAAAGCACAACCTTGGTTCGACCAATCAGAGCCCAGAACGGTCTGAGCGAGCCCTCTGATAGGTCCACAAACCAGGCTTCTGATTGGTCAGATCCTGTTTTTTCTTGGGTGTACATGTTGATCCTGTAATTTCTCCCTGGGTTGGGCAAGCTGATTTCCCCATCCTAAAAAGACAATACAACACTTATTTTTGTTCCACTTTTTAATCCCCCCGCTCACATGAACCAACACAACAAAACAAAAAGCCACAGGATGAGGGGTGTCCCCGTAATTTTTGTGAATATGAACTTTTTTCTTTTTTTACCACTATGGTGTGAACGTCTGTACATTCCTAAAACTCAGTGAACAGGAAACTTTGTCACTAGGAGTGAACAAGACACTCTCTTCTCTTCGAGGCTTCTTTGGACAACGAACGTCTGTATTTTTCGTTCACTTCTCAATCAGGACAAAACACACACAAGTGTTCTCAGGGGACTTTGGCGTGCTTCAGATGTTCTTTCGAGGGCTTGTCTGTGGCTTCCCATTGGCAGAATATCACTCCGCAGCAATAACAGATAACACAGTCACTTCGTCCTTGATAAAAATAACCAGCCTTGGCCATGTCATAAGGGGTCGGGGTCACCTGTTTAGGCCACGTTTGAAAATACCTGAGACGTTCTTGAAATGAATCATAGTCAGGATGAGGAGGATGACTCAAGGTGTAAGAAGGAGAAGGTCCCTCCAGAATGTCACTGAGTCGCCATGTGTCGTCCATAAAGAGTGTGTGTTTTCTCGTTTGTTCTCTCGTATTTTCAGACACCGACTCGGTATCTGGGACATCTCGGGATGATGGCATGGCATTCATAGACCATCTTTGCCCCATGATGACTGTGGCTCAACTGAAGGAAGGTGTGGGGGTTCGCCTGCTTTTATGAAAGTCTCTACATCTCAGGTTCGGCACATACACGATGGGCATCTCGGATCTCGAAAACAGGCGGGCACGTATGCTATGGTCAAAGAACAGGTAAGTGTAAGGCTCTCGGGTGGTGTCTTCATAGGCTTCACGCAGTTAAAGAACTTTGCCCGGAAACAACTAGCAAGCCAGACTGTCGATCTGTGATGCATCTCTCGGATTTTTAAAGAGGACCATGTAGTGAGCATTCAGACTAATGATAAGATGTTGCGGCGATTTCCCAAACAAGTTCTGAGTGAGATACAGCACGGATGTGTTTCAGTGATGACTTTTCTTGGTGAACCATCGCAGCACTTCCGTTTCTTCTTCTTTCGTATTGTCCCCCAGCAAATCATCGATGACCAGCCAATGCGGGCCACCCCTTTTTCAGGCAAGGCACGATCCGCTTCTTTCATGCTGTGCACCAACTCAAGAGCGGCCCCTAAGCGGTCTGACATCTCTTCTAGCTCATGATGGAGCGGTTGCCATTCACTGTACACCCACACGAGGCGATGGGGTTACGTGTCGAACACCTCGGGGCGATGCATCTGCTCCTTACTTGATTTCACAAAGGAACTTTTTCCTGATCCCGTGGGTCCCGCAATGAACATCGTAAAAGGGTGACGTAGGGTCAAAGGCGAGGTCATGACCTCTTCTTCATCATCACCACGTGACACCATCCTGTGTTTGGGCTGACTGACACACGGCAGCGGTGGTGGTGGTGGCAGTGGTGGCGGTGATGTCACTGGTCACATGGACGTGTTTTTATGACGAAGTAAGGCATCTCTTCTAGAAAATGTCTTCCCACAGTTTGAACACGACCTGTGTACTGGGATGACTGACACCAGGCAACTGATCTTTCAAGCAAGGCCAGTGGCTTTTATCTTTTTTTTTCTTTTTTTCTTCTTAACTTTCACAACGAGCATGTGCATAGACATGACGGACAGGGGAGGTCATGACCTCTTCATCATCATCATTATTATCATTATCATCACGTGACGTCATATGTGGACTCCATGACGTCTTGCATGTCACTGACGATGTGATAAAACTCTATCCTGTGTACTGGGATGACTGACACCAGGCAGCTGATCTCTCAAGCATGGCCTTTCTCTTTTATCTTTTTTTTTCTTTATTTTTTCTTTACTTTTACAACGAGCATGTGTACAGACATGACAGACAGACAGACAACGTAGACGACATCTCAACTCAGCCTCTACCCTCAGTTCGGCCTCTTCGGCCCTTGCCTGATCCTAGCCTTTCGGGATCTGCTACGTGTACTAAAGTCACAACCATGGTGGCATCAATGTTAAGGGCTTTGTTGGACTGTTGGACTTTTTCCATGGCATTCAAGATATCTAGGCCATGGAGATCTTCAAAGCAACGAAAGGGAACCGTATGGGAGTGTTCAAAGCGGGGTGGTTGATACCTAGACCAATACGTTCCCCCTTCTGGCCTGACATCTGTTTATAGAAGTCCTCGATCACCCCATCAAATAAAGACGGTAGTTCTATTGTAACGCGGTCCGGTGGTACGGTTTTCAAGTAGTCTGGGTTGAATGTCAAACGACAAGTATGGTTAGCAGTCCTTAACCGTCTTGATCGTGTCGTGTCTTTCCTCTCCAAACGATACGCATATTTCTGCTTGCTCGTCATGATGGCGATGAGTGCCTGATGAACGTCATCATCATCATCACATTGGAGATTTAACATGCGCTTTCCGACTCATAGCGTATTTCGCACACGGGGTTGCACTTATACTTTTGGGGGAAAAAAGCGTTATGAATAAATAAAGAGGTGCAACCCAAAACTTATAAACTTTACAGCCCTAATCTAATAAAGCTAAGGGGTGTGGGGTTTGGCTGGATGGGAGTGGATGATAAAGGAAAATATAATTATATGAAAAAAATGGGGAGTAGTGGGAAGGCTCTCCTCGATCTCCATGACGGAGACAGGTGTTGTCTTCTATACCCTTGGAGGCCTAGCCTTCTGAATTCCAGTTGACTCCAGTTGCACAGCCTTTGCCGCTGTGCAAAGACTGCCGCTGGGGGATGGAGACAGAAGCATTGCCACCCTTTCCTCCATGGCAATGCGACAAGTGTCAAGGCTGCCTGCCTTTGTATGCTCTAGGGGCAAAGGCACGTGATGGAACATTCCAGTGCAGGGAATTGTAACACCATCCTGAAGGACACGTACATGAGGCGTTTAACCCACACTTCCGTTTTCCTGTCTGCTGCTGTTGCTATTGCTGCTGGTGTTGTGGATGATTCAGTCTGTTTCCGCTTCCTGTTTCCAACAATTTGTGAAACGCAGGGCACCTAGATGGCATACATAGATGGCAGCAATTTCCGCTCCGACGATCCTTGTCGTGTCAATAAGATTGGACATGATGTTGCTTCTTGGACAGCGCCACAAAAGTTTTCTTCTTCTTCAAACGGCCGTTTTCAGGGCCACCCATCTCTCCCGAAAGAACGCTTTCATCCTTGCTTTGACGACCCTCTTCACCATCCACCCATCCACCCACCCACCAAACCAAAGTACCCTCCACCCTATAGCTACCGCCTTCCGAACTTCTCTCCTCCCACCATCTTGGAGGCGCCGTGCCACTATCTTGGATGGGGAAATGGCCCCTCGGAAACAGACGTGTCGCCATCTTGGAGGCACGCGCCATTGGAACAGGAAGTGCCGCCATCTTGGATACGCGCGCCAACGGAACCGGAAGTGCCGCCATCTTGGATGCGCACGCATTATTCACAGTGCCCAAATATATTAAAAAGATAAGTATAATTAACATTTATGCTTTAGCTCCAAGTCAAAGATTATATTCAAGAGTCGGTAATACAAATACAACAGCTAGAGGTGAAGATTAACAGAATGTGAACAACGGGTAAGCAATACGAATAAATAGAGAAACTATGACAACTCATGCAGTCATGCAGTTTATGGTAGAGAATGCAAAGAACACTGTGAACAGCATGCAACGCTTCGGCTTTGAGATTAAACCTATTTATGTATTATTTGTCAAAAGAACTGCTGAGGTGTCCTTTATACAAAAGAAGGGTTTCACCACCACGACCCTTGCATAAATAGACAGAGCATAGATACAATAACACCACTTCTCACTCAGATCTATATCCATATGTATGATAGGTATGGTCCCGGAGTCGAAGTGTAAAGCAATGGCGGAAGAAGACACTTCGTCCCAGCAACAGGTAAGTCCAAATTTCAGACAAATTGTATTTACTTCATATTAAGTTTGTCATTATGTCACAAATACACAAAACACAAAACACACATGAATGCAAAATGTACTTGATCATCTATGCACCTTTCTATTCTGCACATAGTGATGAGCGACATTTTGTACCCTCCAGCTAAAAATGGTCCGCACAAGCATGGCAGTTTTGATGCAGAATAGTGGGATACAAAATCCGAATTTGTTTCCAGTACATTCTTAAACTATTCTCATATTCAAAGCTAGGATGTGTCGGTTCTTCTTGTGCCTTTGTAGCTGATTGTGCCTGACTGTGGTAATTGAGGATCAATTAAACAATCACGGAAAACCCATTGCAACCTTGCTAAATACATTTAATATACACATTTCCAATGCACTATATTCTCTACACAGGGCACCATACCTATGACGACCTTAAATGAGTTATGTGAGCTTCCGGTTTAATAACACTGGCCCTCAGTTTCAGCCAATAGCATGCTTGTTAATCTGTATAATCGAGAATAGTTGTTCTGTGGCGTTTAACTTAAGTAAAATTTCTTAGCTAAGTTCCTTTGTTTATATTTTGTCCAATCCGAGCAGAAATTCCGATTCATATGTATAAAAAAACAGATTAGCAAAGAGGGGAGCACAATTGCGTCAATGGGGTGTGCTAGGGTGGTTTCCCCAGTTTATCAACCGTCTTTGGATGTTCCAGGAAGATATTTATATCGATATCAAAACTTCTCATCTTCTCTAAGCGATACCAAACTGACACTGGTAAAGCAAATGTGTTAAAACCACGTGACTACAAACTGAGTGGCTTGCACAAGGTGCACGGGCCGAGAGGAATTGACTTGAGCACATGTCTTTATGCTAAGGAGTAGATGGAGATTGGCGGCTCGGAGACAGATTGCCAGTTGTGTTTGGCTCAAAGAAGGTTTTCCAATGTCCATGAAAACACCCAAGAAGCTGACAACAACGACGACGGTTTCCTGTTTCGTTTTCGGTGAGCCGTTAAGTGAAGATCAATCATTCTTCGTGGGCTATTGCAGCAACCCGCCTTTATCAAAGAATTGTCAGTGAGCAGACAATTTGTGAAAGGGCGCCTTCAGAGACAACACAGGAAAGGGTGACTTCAGAGACAACACAGGAAAGGGCGCCTGTAGAGACAACACAGGAAAGGGTGACTTTAGAGACAACACAGGACAGGGCGACTTCAGAGGCAACACAGGAAAGGGTGACTTTAGAGACAACATAGGAAAGGGCGCCTTTAGAGACAACACAGGAAAGGGCGACTTCAGAGTCAACACAGGAATGGGCGACTTCAGAGACAACACAGGAATAGGCGACTTCAGAGACAACACAGGAATAGGAGACTTCAGAGACAACACAGGAAAGGGCGCTTTTAGAGACAACACAGGAAAGCGTGCCTATACAGGCAACACATGAAAGGGCGACTTTAGAGACAACACAGAAGTCACTCCAGACATCCGTAACAAGTGCAGGCCGTTCTGTCTCGCTTACTTTCAATTTTCATTTATTGCATATAAAAGAAAAAAAACTCTTTCTGGCTTCTTTGTTTCTTTTGTTTCTATGCATTATACAGCATTGAGGTTGATAGTTATATATGGTCACTGTTTTTTTCTTGACAAATGCCCCATTGATCAAACAATTAAATATCCCATAAGTTCTTGAAGTGTTGGTTATCAGTATTTGACATGTCACTTATAACAAATTGTTTGGTCAAACAATAAATGTAGTGATGCTTACTTATGCTAGTTATGTTGTTTTACTCACTCCTTGTCAGTGGGAACAACTATACTGAACGGGAGCGCCGCCTGGTGGCAAGGTGATAGAACACACAGACAAACAGCTCTGACTTGTCTGAATAAAAACAAAGTAAATATCTACCTGCCAGGGCCATACCTTGGACAAGGACAAGAGGAAGCATCATGGGTTGTGACCTAACAACATATAGAAGCAACATCGGATGCTTTACAGGTACTTTTGTCGCATTCATGTATGGTAGAGTGAAGCGAGTGATATCCATACGTGTCGCCATGCTGCATGAGAGCGACCGTACTTGTCAGTGTTGCGCTTTTGATACAGTTGTGTAATGATGTTGAGAGTAACCCGGGCCCCGGACCAAACACCTGAGGTAAACAAGATACACTGGACTGCATGGTTGACCCTAGCAGTCGAGATATTTTGGTGGAAATTCGAAATATGAGGAAAGAAATGTCTGAAAACTTTTCAAATTTGACACGAAGAATGAATAACATGGAACAAGATATCCAGTATCATCTCTCAGTTCTGTATTGTCAGTGAAAATACAGAACTGAGAGATGATGTCACATCTTACCCGCATAATAAACTCTATGGAAAGCCAGGCCAAAAGAAACAACGTGTTTTTCTATAACGTGGAAGGACAGTCATGAATCGTATGAAGATACCCTCGATGCCATAACCAAGGTGATGACCGAAACTATGAACATTAAATATGAAGATTTTGCAGTGCTTAATGTAAGAAGACTACCATCCAAGGCATCCGGTCCCAAACCACTGCTCGTCACATTTGCCCAACCTAACCACAAGTCGAAAGTAATGATGGGGGCAAATATCTGAAAAGCCAAAAGGAATACTCGGCGAAAATTAAAACCTTTTATTGACAAGGCCAGACAAGATGGGTGTTTCTCTGTGATGAGATACACCAAGCTGCAGATAGACAACGAACTAAATAAATTCGATGAAGCCATTCCAGATACTCCCAAATTGACTCTAATTAGACGGTCCAAACCCAGACCACCCTCCAGTGAAAATATTCATGACCCAGGAGAAACTCCACCAGTAGTGTAGCACTCTGGCCAAGGCCAGCGTAATGAACATTCAGGGATTACTGTAGGCTGTTGAAACATTGAGAGATTAAAATCAAAATTGTGCAAACTTTCATTTTGTGATTTTATCTACAAATATAATATTGTAGGTTTAGTAGAGACTCGGGCTGATAAAAATGACGTATTCTGCTTCCCTGGATATACACAGTTATGAACACGCCATCAGAAATTCCGGAGGACTACTTGTATTAGTAAAAGACGCTTTTTCTGATTTATGCACCGTTATAAATACAGAACCTGAGAACATACTGTGGCTTAAGATCCAAAGTCCTGAAAGTATGAGTAATGAAATATGTTTTGGGGGTCTTTTATATTTCTCGCCACCCAACTCAAGTGCTTACTCAGCTGAACCTATTTTTGATATCCTAGAGAATGATATTGTTATATTCAGGTCAGATAACCCATATTGTCATGTAGTCATGGGTGACCTTAATGCTAGAACCAGTTGTCGCCCTGATTATATTGTAAATGATGATTCCACACATCTAACCATCGATGATGACGTTAATAATGTGGAAGATAGTATCTTTTTACCTAGGTCTTCACGGGATAGTATTATTAATAAAAGAGGCCATGCCCTATTAGACTTCTGCAAACTCACAGGCCTTAGAATCTGTAATGGGCGAATTGGTGAAGATGTAGGGATTGGTACTTTTACATGTTATGCTAACAACGGTCACAGTGTGGTAGACTATGTTCTAGCGACTGTACATTCCTTCCCATTGTTTTCATCTTTCTCGGTTGCGAACCAACTAGAATCGAGCCATTTACCTGTGACATTCGCATTTGAATTTAGAATAATAAATGAGAAATGTGCAGAAAAAACTTTAACACTGAAAAGTCGACTATATTGGAAAGAAGAGTTGAAAACAAACTTTAATCATAACTGGAATACTTTACCGGTTTGTAAAATTAGTGAATTCTCAGAATTCTCTTGCCAATTGTACAACAAGTGCTGTAACTTCATTTGTAAACATTATGGCAGCCTGTGCTGAAGGCTGTAGAGCTCCTCAGTTAAGCTTACGTAGAAGTGATGATAGAAGGGGAGGTAACTGGTATGACAAGGAATGTGTTGAAGCACGAGCTGATGCACGCAGGTTGTTTCATTTCATGCCTCCAACAGTAAAGTTGATAGACAGCTGTATTCATCGGCATGGAAATACTATAAAGAAATTTGTGAAATTAAATCACAGTATTACAGATCAGTTTTGGTGGAAAAACTGGTGTCTTCTTTAGAAATAAGTAATAATAAGACATTTTGGTCTTTAGTCTCAAAAAGGACTTGTGCCCCCTTTAAAAATATATCTGTTAATCACTGGATTAAACATTTCGAGTCAATGTTTCAAGGTAGCCGAGAAAGTGCAGATTTTGTTGAGTTTTATAAATGTGTAGATGACTTTGTCAACTCCATTGGTGATGAGTTGATAGAAAACACAGTTATTCCCGAAAGTGAGCTAGACACTGTTTTTACTCTAGAGGAATTGGTACAAGCTCTCGGAGATATGAAGTGTGGCAAAGCTCCTGGTTATAGTGGGATACCTGTGGATTTCTTCAAGATTGCCCCACCTAAATGTCTGGACATGTTATTACAATTATGTAATGCAGTATTCATAAGTGGCTCTTATCCAGATCAGTGGTCTTATGGCGTTATACTTCCTATCTTTAAGAAAGGTAACCCAAATGATCCCCCTAACTATAGACCTATTACACTTTTAGAAGTAGCAGGCGCAATTTGTGCAAAAATTATTTGTAACAGACTTACAAAGTGGTCTGCTCTTAAACATTTTATAACTAACGAGCAAGCAGGTTTTAGAAAGGGATTCCAAACTTCCGACAATATCTTTATTGTAAATACTTTATTAGATAAATATCTGTCTCTAAAACGCGGCAGGATGTATGGTGCCTTTATAGATTTGAAAGGAGCGTTCGACTCTGTGTATAGGAATGGCTTACTCTTCAAATTGTGGAAAGGAGGTATTAATGGTCGAATGTTTAGATTAATTCGTAATAGATATAGATCTGTAAAGTCCTGCATCTCTCAAGAAGGTGGATATACACTGTTCTTCGAGTGCTACTCTGGTGTTGGACAGGGATGCCAACTATCGCCTTTTTTTGTTGTCATCCTTCATCAATGATATTGTGGAATTTTTGAATTGTGAGGGAGCTCATGGTGTAACTTTAAGTCCTTTGGAATTCTTTATTCTATTGTTTGCAGATGGCATAATCTTGTTAAATGTAACAGCTAATGGCCTATTGACTATTAATACTCACAAAAGCAAAGAGATTGTATTCAGGAATGGTGGCAAACTTAGATCTTATGAAAATTTTAGGATTGGAGATTCTGTCATTGACATAGTCCCTAGTTATAAATATCTAGGTGTGCAGTTATCGTCCTCTGGTTCTTGGTATCTTACGCAAAAGACTTTGGCACAACAGGCATGGAAAGTAGTTCGAATACTACAATCAACACTGGGAACATTCTCGGCAATCCCAGCTCGTGTCTGTTTTCATATTTTTGATTTAAAAGTATTGCCAATTTTAAATTATGGAGCAGAGGTCTGGGGATTTCATCCTTCACCTGATCGTTTCTGTAAACTTGTTCTGAGCTTGAATAGAAACACCCCTAACATAACTGCAAGAGGTATTGTGAATAGAATATAAATCATGGTTTTGTATTACTTAAAAATTATAAAATTCGGGTTAAGGTCATTGTCACAACAGGTTAATGTTATCATGAAAGGTTCTTATGATTTTCAGTATAGAAGGGCAGAAATAGGTAAAGCTTGTTGGGCCACTGATGTTAAATCTTTGTTAAATACATATGGCTTTGGGGAAGTTTGGTTACAGCAAGGTGTTGGAAATGAAAATGCATTTCTATTGTGTTTTAAGCAAAGATGTAAAGATATCTGCCAACAAACATGGAATAATAATTTAGAATGTTACACTAAGCTGGAATATTTTTGCTCTGTCAAGGAAATTTTTAATTATGAACATCTGACTAATTGTATTGGTATAGCCATCTATCAAACAACACTTGTTAGGTTTAGCTGTTCTAGTCATAATCTATTGGCAGAGGCAGGTAGGCATTATAAAATACCAAGGCCAGAACGTCTTTGTCCGTTTTGTATTGTGCCATATATAGAAACTGAATTCCACTTTTGTCTCAAGTGTCCATTCTATTCGAATTTAAGGGAACAGGTACTTCCTAAATATCATTGCATAAGTCCAACTCTGGATAAACTAAAACAATTATATGGCTGCAACCTCTATGTTATAAGATTTGCAAAATATGTATTTCTCGCTCTCAAGAAAAGGAACACTCTTCTTAAAGATGTGCCTGTTATGTAGCACTATGCCACTATAACAATGTGCGACTGGTTGTTGCTAGTGTGTGTAACATGTGTTGGGACCCGATCCACGGGGCGTTTGTGGGTTATGATCGGCCTCAGTAACCTTTTGTGCATCCTTCTCAGCACTCCGATGAGTGTTGACCGCTTGCCCGTGGCTCGCGGGCGCTTTTGTAAATCGGTTCCCTGATGTAATAATCAGCGCTCTCTGTACATGTGAACTGACTAATCCAATGTACCTTGTATAATGGGCCGGTGGCCCCTTTACGGAATAAACTCATTCGTTCATTCACTATACTGAACAACAAACGTTCCTGTGACATTGAATAAGATTTAATGCAAAGTTATGTTTTTTACCAAATCTGAAACAATTTCGGTTTGCAACAGATAAAAGAGTCCTGTAAATGTTCAAATGGTTTAATTTGCCATACTGACTTCAGAAATGCGTGATTTCATAAAAAAAACCCATGAACATGAACAAATTAATAGCGTGTGTGTCCATCTCTGGATGCGATGCAAGCAACACATCTTCGTCTCATGGAATGGACCAGGCGTCGCACAAATTCCTGTGGAATATCTGTCCATATCTGCTGGAGCATGTTTCAAAGTTCCTGGAGTGTCTATGGAACCCGTAGTTGACGTCGAAGGCGCCAATCCATCTCATCCCACATGTGCTCTATTGGTGAGAGATCAGAGGAGCGAGCCGGCCAGTGGATGACATACACGTTGTTTTGTTGTCATGTTGAAAGGTAATGCCTCGGCCATGACGACGCATAAACGGTAGAACAGCATGGCCGATGATCTCGTAGCGGTAGCGCTGTCCATTGGGATTTCCCTCTACCACTATCAAACGGGTCCTCTGTTTTGCTGTAATCCCATCCCGTACCATAACGCTACCGCCCCGAACCGATCTTCTTCCCTGACACAATGATTGACGTAACGTTCACCTCGACGTCGGTACATTCGAATCCGTCCATCGCTGTGTCTGAGGTGAAAACGAGACGCGTCAGTGAATAGAATTTGTCCGAACTGCATTGCCGTCCAGCGTAGACGCTGTCTGCACCACTGTAGAGGTGCTTGACGGGGGTTTCCTGTCAAAATGGGACGTCTGGCGTGTGATTTGGCGACAATCCCTGCGCATCTGAGGCGACGACGTACGGTTTGTGAAGATACTCGTCGAAGGCCAGGGAAGCTTCTTGCCGTCACTGTTGCTGGCTAGAATCGATTTCGCAGGTGTGTTGTTCGATTCCATGTGTCTTGTCGATTATTGGTTATGCGTGGCCTGCCACTCCGAGGATGGTCTCTGACTACATTCGTCTGTTGCCAACGTTGCAATAAACACCAAATTGTGTTTCTGTGGACGTTAAATTGTCTTGCAACATCATGTTGACTCGATCCTGCTTCAAACATACCAATGGCTTGCAGACGCTCATTTTCGGACAGGCGTGGCATTTCGTAATGTTGAATAATTGCGTAATTTTGTTGTTTTTCTGAGTGGTTGTTGTCAGCACGATGCTAAACAATGCATATGGAATCCCGTTAACGCACATGTTTTTATACCCATTCTTGGGTAGTGAAATGCATGGGGCTTGCAAAAAGGAATGCATGCTTTTCTGTAGCAGTTGCGTTTTGTGACTTGATTCCATACATGTACTACAATATTGAAAACCAAACTTTACTTGTTTGAAAACACTAAAATATTGGTGTCACAGGAACTTTTGTTGTTGAGTATACAAACTGCTCATGTAAACGCTGAATGACAGCTGTCTGGAATTCAATGGGATTATTTTAATTCTGTTTCCTCCTTTTAAGTTTGTGTATTCTATGACAACAATGTTAAGACATCCCTATTGAATTTAATGCCTTGCTTCCAATTGGTTGGAGGCTGCCCGCAATAATTTGGTTCATATTTAAATACTTGTCAAGGGTTGTTATTGTCAACAATAGATCATTCACCAGTGATTATATAGCAGTATTCGCAGTATTCGGAGCTACAATCGTAGAATTTACATTATGTGCTTCACGTCCACGTTCTGCAATGTTTCTATTTTTATTTATTCGTTTGTACATTAAGTTTAAACCATCAATTCCCCTGTTTTCAGTCTCATTTTAGTTTCTCCAAACGTTCAAAAGTAACATCAATAACTGTACTCTCCAACCGATATTTTTTGTTCTTACTTTTGAAACATGAATCCAGAAGATGAACGTTGCTGGAGTTTAATGAATCAGTGCAGTCCCAATGGTTTCTGAAGGAGGGGCAACAGATCTTCAAATTCAATCGCATCATTGTTGCCCTCGTCTTTCCCTGTGTCCACGGCTGTGGCGGCATCTTTCAGACTCAATACATTGACTTTGAATTTCGTCGCTTAGAAAGACAGCCAACATATTCTACTTAGTCATTACATCAGTGTGTACACAACAGTCTAATCCAATAAAAGTCGAAACCATGACTGTATGATGTATCTAGAATGAATTATTTCTTCATCAGCCCTAACACTTGTATTATCAGTACGCCTCTCTCGCCAGGGTGATGGTTCACAGGACTGGTTTTTGAAACACGGGGATTGGATTGAGACAAACATAAAACAGCGAGACTGCCACACTTACTTAAGGTCAGTAACACAATTTCTATAAGGCAAAGTCATGCAATGCCATGTACATCGAAAAGAACAGGAATACAAGATAGCCATTGATCGCCCAAGTGTCAACTGTTATTGCATCGATGTTTAAAGCAGACAAAGCGTTTCTTACATATTTTGTCCTGCATTTAAGATACGTTTTGTGCAGATTAATGGTATGACGACTTAGGACACTAATCAAAGTAAGCATGATGTTTACTTTTATGACAAATCTATGTAAAACAAATCGAACTAAAATGGCTCTTGTCAAAGGGAAATGTCTATAGGTTTGTGTGTTCTAGATAGATTTAACCCTCTATATTTATTTATAAATGAGTACATGATCCTTTGTTTTATACACTACAAAGCAATCATTTCAAAGGCTTCGACTGTGTGTGTGGAAAATCCAAAGATGAACATAAAACGTGCCATGAGCAAGGAACATGGAGAAAAGAACTTCGCACACAAACAGGCGCCACACACTTTTATGGAACCACAGAGATTGGAGATGGCGATGAAGTACAGGTAAACAATTTTGTGTTTGGTTGAAACTGGTAACTGCTTACCTCAAATTACAAGGTTGGACAAGCACAGTTTTTGCCCTACGGAAAATGTCAAATTTGGAAGTTACAGAATCCTTTGAAATATCTATAGTCCTTTTTTCATTATTATACTTGCCAGTGTTGGACGTGCATTATAAAGTACACAAAAATGTGTGTTATACACTTCAAGAGAAAATCTAACAATGAGCAAGTCAATGACCCAATGTGAACTGGACCAATGATGTAAAAATGGCACCTGCTTGTTCCCACCAATGATGACACCTTAACTTCTACAATAGTTCTAAATCTGATTTTCAGTAAGACCGCCAATGGAACACACAATGGAGAACATATTTATGGCCATTACTCAGACATTTTCACTTGAAATGTAATGAAATGTGTTATACATGTAACTAGCATTGGAGCTTTACACATGTTTCGTTGTTTTGTAATATCTTAAATTTTGACGTTTGTAAATCGACAACGCTCTTGAAAAGTCTCTAAAAATCTGTCTAGTCTCAGTAAGCATCATCTCATCAGACATCACATCAATAAAGCTGTAACTTCACATATTTTTCCCCTCAGCTCATACTGAATATCATTTTTATGTTTATTAATATTTAGCTAATGTGTGTCCAAATATGTTTAAATTTTATATTTGTTGTTTGCAGTGGAACTCAACAAATCTGTTCCACTTTTCACAAGTGTTCCTTGTTTCGACCCTTGTGCAAGGAAACTAAATTCTATGTTTCTTTTAATGATATCATATTTTGTTCAAATCATTTGGGCTAAAGTGTTAGCATTTGGTCCTCAGCAGCGAGCAATGTATATCACTGATGAGAGCAACTCTTTTGTAAGATGCATGACTTTTGATGACATTATAAACTTTTGAGTACATACCCAGGTGGGCTACGGTGCGATAGCTTATGCATGTGGAATATACCATTTGAATATTTTTATAGACTACAAGTGATGACAATCTACTGATCAGTAGCAGGTCATACCAGCTTACGTGCAGTATGTACGTCCCACCAAGGGGCATACATTTTTGTTAACGTACTGGATAGAGCATGAAATTGATCTTGCAATACATGCAACTGATATTGAAGTTCAATTAATTATCTAGATCATACACTTAAAAATATATTAAAGCAACCCCCTTATTTGCTCGAATTTGAACTCCGTCACTATGCCAACATAATTGTTTTTCACAACTATGCGCTAATGAAAGATGTTTGAGACTTCATACTTGAGATACCATCTACACTGCTATAACCCCGCGTATTTGTTTAAAGGTCGAGGTCACTCAGTATGATCATTACGCCAAGAAACAGAACTGAATTGTATGAAACGTACTTTAGCTTATCTATGATTTGGGTTTCAATCCCATCAACTTTTGGGTGACCTCCAAGAAAGGTCAGGGTCACTAGAGGTAAAATTAGGAAACATGGAACACATTTCACAAATTAATACGGTTAAGTTCATGAAATATTTTAGCATTTTCTTATCAGTTACTTATGATGTACTTTCAATAATTATCCCATTACCTGTCATGGTGGTGTCAAATGTCAAGGTCACACATGAATGTAATTAGTTTCATTCAGAAAGTATTGAGAGTGTGAGTGAGTTATATAAAAAGTCACATCACAAGTATTTCAGTCATATCGTGACTATAGAAAGTGGTACATTAACAGTTTATACATTTCGACTAAATAAAAACCTCTTTCAGTGGCATTTAGAAGTTGGTGTGATGAAATAAGACGAGTTCTATAGATGAACAACTTCTTTATTACAATTAGTGCGACGTTTCGGTGTAGATCCTAACACCTTTATCAAGCAAGTGATGGATATTGCTTATCAACATAGGTATATATACTTATTGACATCAAAGTTTATACAGTAAATGATTGATGGACACAGAGAGTTGATTAAGATAATTGGAAGCCAGTGGATGACTAAATAAAAACCTGTCAACAAATGACAGTAAAATAATTAGATTATCATGGAGGTTATATAAAACTAGTAATAGCATATAAAACAATAAACTATGATTCAACAACACAATATAAAAATGGGCTCGAGATTGCCAGCAACAAAAGTTTGGCCACCATACTAGGGACCCTGGTGTCTTTCGATACGTCTACCACCTGCACAGTTCCACAGCCGGATTTATACCATCTATTCCGCTGCTGGCGATTGTACGCTATTTCAGCCATCAATTAAAATTTACAAATGTACTGTCAAAATAAGGAAGACATAATATACTTTTAATTAAGTCTTACGATACCCTCTCAGGGGGACCACTATTATACGGTACTTCAATCCCCGTAAAGGGCAGTCACAAACAATCTCAGTTAATAATTATTCCCTACCAATTTAAGAAACAACTGTGTACATCAGGCTTTATCAATAAGTTCAATTTCTTTTTAAAACATGATAAGTAAATAAAAACTTATGTTATTAAAAAGTTCCTTTTTAGGATTAAAGTTTCAAAATTGTTATCCCTTGTGATAGAAAATCAATACAGTCTATCAGTACATGTTTGACAGTAATTTTTTCATCACAAGGTATGCAGGATGGAGAATCTCCACCTTTCAATATATCTGCTATGGCTAACACGACGTTCTGGTAAAATGGCATTTGCTTCTGCTTTGAAAATGGAACAGTTATCAGGTAATGTGGATGACAGAGTATTGGATCCAATGACAGTGGCGCTGGCAACTGCCTCACCATACTTGGGTTCATCTGTAAATATAGATTTGTAAGTGGCATATGTGTTCCCTAATTCATTATATTCTTGTTGATAAGTTAGTTGAATTGTTTTAAGATTTGTTTTAGTTTAGTTAATGTTAGGTCCACCTCTGGCTGAACCAACTGCCACGGTGGGGAGGACAAAAGCTGAGCTGAGGATTCAAGATATATTTTAGCAGCAGAAATATCAGATTGTATTCTTATTCCAAGTGGTGGAGTAAGAGATTATTTTTTAGAGTAGAGTTCTTTAAACAGAGGATTAAAAACAGAGTCAAACGTTGGATTGGAGTTAGCAGAAAGAAATTTAGAAACATCTAAAAAAAAAAGCGATCCATCAGTTGAGTTATTTAAAACTAATTATAACGTGACGGAAAAAATACTGCCTTCTGGGACAACCTAACCCTGATTTCAATGACCAGACTGGATTGAGCACAAATGGAATTGATATTGCTTGTCAGTTTAAAAACTTCTTTATAAATAGAGGCAAACGGTCTCGCAATCCAAAATCATGTAAATCTTTTAAAATAAAAAGTTCCCATGTACTGTCATATGCTTCTTCTAGGTCGAAAAAGAAAGACACTTCATGTTGTTTATTTATTATGTCATGTTAAACAAATGATTCTAAGCGAACTAAATGTAAATAGGGTACTTCTGTTTTTCTGGAAACCACATTGTAAATTAGTAGTAAGGTTGTTTATTTCGAAATACCAAACTGATCTATTATTTATCATGCGTTCCATGGTTTTGCAAACTTGTCAATGAAATTGGTCGGTAATTTGAAGGGTCAGTGTGATCTCGCCCGGGCATGTGTATATTGGGACAACTATAGCATCACTCCAAGAAGGAGGAAATTTCCATGACGTCCAAATGTCATCACAAATGTTGTATAGTGTTTGGAAACATGATTCTGGTTAGAGTTTCAGGAGTTGATAATGTATGTTATCAGTTACTGTAGGGTATCGGGAGCTGGTCCAAGTGCAGTATGGAGCTCATGAATAGAAAAAATTTCATTATGATTTTTCCGATTATCTGAATTAAAATTAAATCTTGCTGCTTTTGATAATTTTGGAATTAAGGTACATAGTTGGATGAGGATAAAGGTTAAGCCAAGCTTTCACCAGGTTCATTAGAAATATCTGATTTATTAGTTAATATTTGTTCCCTATTGTGTATGCTAGATTTAAAGCCCTTAGCTTTGATTTTTGGATCATTTTCCACACCTTGGACATGGGCGTTCGTGAATTAATTTCTAGACACGGCGTTTACGGAATCGTGCAATCAGCCCTGGTTTTGGCAGATATTTCTTATATATTCGCTTTTAATAATGTTTTTAAATGTACGTCGTGCTTGAGCGTTTAATTTTTATGCATCTAAATTGTGGACCACAGGATGATGACGGAGTTATGCTCAGCCTTTTCCCCGGCCTACCTAGGTTGTTTGCAGTCATCGTTAAACCATAGTTAACGTATTTATTTAACCAAACCGAAGGTAATTGTATCGCACTGGCAAAGTGCTGTGGTATATGTACTCCACATGCTCATGAAATTAAGGTTAGCAGAATGGGTATGATTATACGTAAGATTATAAAGTATGCATACAATAAGCCATTATCAAACATACACAAGTACTCACATGCTTGACGTGTACATTGGACAAGGCTGAAACTCGATGATACGAAGAGATATGATGGGATCATTATTTTCAGTTTGTCAGAATAGATGAGGATACTCCATTCAAACACATCAAGCATCTGCTTTTAGAAGTATGGAATATCAAAGAGCCGAAATGGATTTTACCACTGATTGGAACCAAAGCTAATGATTTGGAAATGGAGGAAAAGCTGAAAGAGGCAATCTCGTTTGTGTTTAAAAAACTGTCGACAGTATCAGGTAATCTTTACGTTTTATGTCATCCTTTCAAACAATGCCACCAGATGTATTTGTATTGCACTATGTTTGAACTTAAATTCAAGCTTAAATGTTTATTATTAATTTATGTTTAGAGAAATAATGTCATGAACGCCTTTTAGCATTTGTGATAACATGTTCCATAAACTGGAGTTGGAAATACTTTGTATAACTATATATATGTCCGTGGAAATACAAACCAGAACACGATCATTATCAATTTAAATTACCCTTTTACTGCTTCGTTTCGGAAGTGTATGCCTGTAGCAAAATAACCCTGATCTTGTTGTAACCGGGGTTCTCTTGGCAAAAAGAAGGTCCAACACAGGCTACGGGTGTGAGTCTTTATTGCCTCAGTAATATAATGACACCCTGTAATGTACAAAACAATAAGATTATAAAAACAGTAGTACACAGGTTTGATGCACACATATATTAATACAATACAAAGGGACCTTTCATTTAATATAAACATAGTCTATATTCATTACATGAACATGAACTTAATAATCAATTATATATGAAATCATTATCTTAACCCTGAAGTAAACAAACGATTTATCAAGGGCGATAACGACATTACTGATAAGATTACAATATATAGATGGTCCATGGTTCTAAAATACAATGACCATTTCAAATACAATTACCACTTTGTTGAAACTACTATATTAATTCATTAACTGATCATACATTTAGTATGATACATTATTTACAAAATATATTTCATGACACGACAAACATGTAAATTATCCGTACCCTGTGGGTGACACTGGGGTGTTTGTCCTGTCCAGGCAGCCGCCTTGCGTGGTAGTTATGTACATGTAGCTATCAGCACACTCCTAATTACTCCGTGGAGTTGTTGTAGAGCGTCCGCCCGGAGAGCGGAAGGTCCGGGGTTCGATCCCCGGCCGCGTCATACCTCAAGACGTTAAAAGATGGTACTTGTTGTTACCCTGTCTGGCGCTCGGCATTAAGGGGCTAAAGCAAGGACTGGTCGGCTCGGAGTCAGTATACTGTGCCTGAGTGGGGTATTCATGTTAAACTGCGGCATGGTATCTCAGTGAGCTAGCACTATAAATCGGCATCAGTCCGTACTAGTACAAGCAGCCACATGCACGTCGCTATATAAGTGCAATAATCTTGGACGCGACGTTAAACCCAATTTCACCTCACCTCACCTCACCTAATTATAGAATCAACTATGAATAATTATAAGATAAAGCATACAATTGAAGAATTGTAGGAAATGTAACTAACTACACACTATCATACAATGATTGAGATTGCATACAAATACCGTATTTACACAATTATAAAAATCAACGCATTCACTCAAACATTCACACACAGAAAGAAGAAGGATGAAAAGCATTTATAGTGTTTACTTAGCCTTATTTAATTATTAACTTAGCAATGTGGTGACACAATCACCATACCAAAGATCGCATATTAATAATACTGAAATAACATTCCACATAACTTAGATAACATAAGTTATATTATTATACAAATACATACATATATATTAGCTGGCAATTTTATAGATTACTAACCTTAATAATCAATTTTTTTATCCCAGATCTGTCCAAGTCCAAATTGTTGACTGACTTCTGAATTGGTGTAGTGTCAAGTGCAATATGAATGAAAAGTGCACAGTTTGAACAAGCCAATGAAAACAAGGCTTGGGTTAGAACAAAGAGAAGAAACAAGGACACAAACATGGACCAACCCAACCACCCTCTACATTATAAGTAAACTAATCAAGAAGCCCATAATAGATATTGAATTAAGAACCTACTTTCCTAACAACTTAAAATAATATTACAAACCTAAAGGACCTCAAATAGATAAAACATATGTACAACAAAACTGTATGTTAACACTTGTGTCTGCCACATTGTTGTCTCCATTTGAAATTAGACCCCAAAGCACCCTTCAAACACGTCAACTGACTTATCACTATTGTGTATCATTTCTCTTACCATTTTGCGCAGAGTTGTGGATTCTGTCTGATGGCTTACATGATGGGCTATCCGGGTATATAGCAGATGCTAAAGCAGACTGTGATGTTCTTGGAGAGAGGATCACTTCAATCGGATGTTCATCCTGGGCGGAAGGCCTGATGGAAAAGGTAGCTTTTACTGACTTCTTTCGGACTCGGACTCGGTTGTTTGGTTTATTGCATGTCATGGTAAGATCGATGCTCATGACACTTGAATGTCAGATCCATACTCTATTAATGACAGACCGATGCCATATAGCTGGAATATTGTTGAGTTCAACAACAATCAAACAAACAAACAGACGTAATACATGGATGTTTGACAGCGCGAAACAGTTGAAACATCGCGGCTGGGGTGTTCAGTTTAATTTCATCTTTCTTTCAGCACTGTCAAATACACTCTTCAAAAAAAAAGAAATGCACATGTAGATTTTTAGTAAATTTATTGTTCCTAATAAAGTCAATATATTTAATTTTATACCATCTATACAAATATGAAATTTTGGTGCTCGATAGTGACATGTTGTCGTTGTACAAAAGCATTGACAATTATTCATTGACATGTCACATAAGGCCACAAGGTTGCGCTGAACTCATTATCTCGTGTGATCGCCCCGGGCAGCAATCAGGGCTCTGCATCTCCTCGGCACTGACTGGATAAGTGTACGAATTCAGTCCTGCGTAATTCTGCGCCATTCTGCTTGTAACGCGTTGGCTAGTTGTGGGAGTGCCTGCGGCGTGTTCTGACGTTGGCGTACACGTCGATCGAGTTCATCCCAGAGGTATTCGATTGGGTTGAGATCTGGAGATCTCGACGGCCAGGGCAAGGACGTTGATGTTGGCATTATGAAGGTAGTCTACCGTGACACGAGCTGTGTGTGGTGGAGCGTTGTCCTGTTGAAACAGCTCCCACTGGCGGTCAATTATTCGAAGAAGGTGAAGTTAAAGGATTTGATTCATGTAGCGATTTGCTGTCAAATGTCCCTGAACCCCAACCAAGTCAGATCTCGTGGTGTAGGATATGGCCCCCCACACCATGACACTACCGACACTACTGTCGAATTCATATACACAATATGGGACAAAACGCTCATTTCGACGACGATAAATACGTTGTCTTCAGTTTCGCCGTTGATGTAGTAGAAATCGTGAATCATCGCTAAACCACACTAGTCTCTAATGTCTCAAATTCCAAGGCTGTAAGGTATGGCACCAACGCAAGCGTCGATGTCGATGGATATGTTGTAAACAGGGACCATAACTGGTCTTCTTGGTCGGATTCCAGCCTCGTGGAGTCGATATCCTCCTCAAACCAGGGATGCGTCCTGCAGTCTCCGTAGCTGTGGCATTGCGATGACGTTATTGGAACAGTCGAATGTCGCGATCTTGTGTAGGGGTGGTAAATCTTGGTCGGCCGGTTCTCGGACGGTTATCAGTGGAATTGAACTGTGTGTATCGGCCACAAAGGCGGCAAATGGTGCTTTGGTGGACGTTGAAGTGGCGTGCAACAGAAGACTGCGATTCCCCTCTTTGGATACGTCTTATGGCGATGTTCCGGACATTTCCAACTTGAAAAATGTTGACAATTGAAAGACAAATTATTGGCTCATGCTTGCCTTTTTATAGCCACTACCACGAGTTACTAATGCCATAAATTGCACATGCATTTTGCTTTACTGTTTTCCTTCATGACATTTTTGACCAAGTGTGAAAACAATGCCGTTAAAGACATTGCAAAACGAATAGGCGGCGTTTTGACGCTCCGTTTGTCGAATATCAGGCCACCAACATTTTCCAATAACATATATCCAATTTATATACCGGATTTTTTTGTGTAGACAGGTTCAATGAACTACACACTACCTGTGCGTTTCTTTTTTTCAAGAGTGTATACTGTTTAAACATCAATGAAAACACAGTAGAAATCCCCCAAAAGATACGACTTAACTTCTTTACGTCTTTTTTCATTTGATTTTCATTTTCATTAAAAGGGAAATGATTCTGGCAGTTTTACATACAGTACTCTCTGGGAAGAGATAGGAAGTACAATGAGCCATCTGATGTTGGTTGATAATGGAACAGTCGACCAATATCTGTGCACCTTGTCGAGCTCGTCTTTTTTCACGAAGACAATTGCCGGATTATCAGTCCCTGCAGATGGTAAGATATTTGTGAAAAATATGGGAAAACTGACTATTTCTGTTAAAGTCCGTTCCCATTAAAAAATAACTCATAACTTGGGTAAGAAAAGAAAAGGAAAGAGTAATATACAATGGGAAAACTAACTGTGCTTCTTAGAAAGTGGTATTAATGTTATGTTGTTGAAAATAACAACATACATTTATATTTATATATATCCCACATCCTTGGCTTGTTTAAGACAACTGTGGAATGCCTTGTTTTCATCATAAGATTTGACATGCTTCACACGTTTATTATTAGGCAAATAAATGTGTGCAAAAGTGCACAATTCAATTCTATCACATAGAGCTCCAACGTTAATTATATCAACCCCTCCCCCATTATAACTGGTGAAGATAAGCGCTTGTTGGGAGAGCGAGGGTGGTGGGATCTATGTTTCAATTTAAGTGGCATGTCATTCTTTCAACAGGATCTCGTGCCATTCCTACAGTTGCGATCCTCTTTGGTGGTGAACTGTACTCATTAGAGAGTATCAGAAACTGTGTGAAAGAGAACATTCCAGTTATTATTGTGAAGGTAAGGCAATTTAGCAATCTTAATTGGTATAAGAATTAAGAGCAGTTGGCCAGGGCACTCACGCTCTTTGTGTTCAATACTACTTATCCGAGGTTTGAGCGATGTTTCACGCGATGGAGTGGTCAGGCCCTCTGACTTAGTTAATGCATGACATCTTATCCCAATTGCGTAGATCGATGTTCATGCATGATATTAGTCACTTGACATCTGGTCCAGGCTCAGTTGTATATAGACTGCTGCTATTTTAGCAGGAATGTTGCTGAGTGTGGAGGTAAACATCAAACAAACATATGAACACTGATGACCTTGAACTTATGCGGATCTCACCGAAATTTCAATGGTATTTTAGCTGTATACATGTATACGTAGACATGTCAGGGTTGATACTGACTTTGGAAAAAATCAAAAAAAATCAAAGTACTGTTGAAAATGGTATAAACTGCTTTTTGTCCCTTATAAAAGGAAAGACCGTTGCTACTGAAATATCGCGCAACTACAGATCGGTCGACATACCTGTAGTTTAAAGTATTTCAGTCACATGGAGTCCTCAGAACAAGTTTACAAAAGTAAAATTCGAAAGAAAACAGTTAGTTCACATTTATTCTAAGTCTAAAGCGGACTATAGAGAAATACGCACTTAACTCCGTTATAAAGCTATTAATGTAGTCTCCATAAAACATCTAATCCACACAAGAATCATTTGGAGAATGTTCTCGATGTGCATCTTCTAAAATAACAAAATGACGCTGAATTTGTTTTGTCAGCACTGCTCCCATGATGAATGTCACACCAATCATGACTTTCGCAGTCATGGAATATATATAAATTACCTTGATGAAACCTAGGTGAATAAGAATCAGGAACAAGATATTGTCATGCCAAGTTGCCAACCATGAATAGTCTGAAGGCGACCATGCAGGAATATATGACATCTTGCAATGTCGACTTCAGACCATCTGAAATTAAACTTCAACTCATGGAGAAAATTCGCCTGAATAAGAAACCAGTAAAGTACAAGACAGATATCCTGGCGACACAACACGATCACGTTGTCTTAAGCTACAGTCACACAGACAATGCGACCTCGATGCAACCTCTTGGCGACTGATTTCTTTACGACTGACTGGCAATCGTTGAGACCGGTGCAACTACTTCTGCCCATATTTGGAATTAGGGTATGATCACCGATCAATCATTGATAGCTGTTGCAACTTGTCAGTGATTGGTCGGCAACTGTTCACCGCAGTTACGGCGAAATTTTTGCTACTGGTTGAGACTGATCGGTGACTAGTCAGCGAATCTTCGGCGACTTGTTGCAACTGAACAGGGACTGGTCAGTGACTAGTTGTCGATCGATCACTGATCAAAACATAGTGCATATAAAAAGGGTGTTTTTCTTAATCAAATCATTTCTTTGCAAGTTGTCAAGATGTTAACAGCAGACCAGTTGCATTTGCTCCGCCTGCAAAGAATAAATCAAAATGCAGCAGTCGCTGCCATGATGGTGTAGAGAAGAATGAGAAGGACAAGGCAAAGGCAGACCCTTGAATCGCAAGAAGGCCACAGCTAGGAGACTATGAGAATTTGATGCCAGAGTTGATGAGAGAAAGTCGTGGTGATTTCGTGGGCTATCTCAGAATGGAGTCTTGTTTCACCACTCGTACAAACACTCACACCCAGATGGACCAAACAAGACACTAATTGGAGAAGATCTTTGAGTCCCGGGCTGAAGCTTGCTGTCATCCTTCGGTTCCTGGCAACTGGAAACAGTTATCACAGCTAGGCCTTCTCATTCAGAGTGGCACACAACACAATATCAGTATTTGTTCGTGAAGTTTGTGAAACCATCATCGTAGAGTATGGTGATGAAGTAGTAAAGACACCCTCAACACCTGGAGAGTGGCGCTAATTGAGTGACAAATTTGAGTCAAGATGGATCTTTCCACATGCAGCAGGGGCCATAGATGGATAGCATGTCGCCATTAGAGCACCCAGTAAATCTGGATCCTTCTACTACAACTATAAGGAGTTCTTCTCCATCATCCTGCTTGGTGTCGTGGACGATGATTACAGGTTCATCTGGGGTGGCATGGGTGACAATGGTTCTCTGACTGTGCCGTGTTCAACCGATCTGATCTCAGAGAACCTCTAGATGATGGGAACATTGGTCTTCCTTCAGATGATCCACTCCCCAAAGACGATGAGCCAATGCCTTATTTCTTGATTGCTGACGGTGCCTTTTCCCTACGTACGTGGTTGATGAAGCCATTTTTAACAAGAAATCTGAGAGAATGAATGGAAATAATTGATGTGAACTCTCTGAGTACTTATGACAAGATGCTGCTGTAATGCACACACAGGTCTTTTTATAGACGTGACAGATTGCAAACCCAATGGCGAATGATCGACGCACGTTTGGAAACCACTTTGCAACCGATCGACAACCAGTCACCGATGAAGCGTCGGTAGATGAACACCTCATTACTGATCAAACAGCAATAGGTCGCCACTAGGTTGCAAAGAGTCAACACCCTTTTGTAGACCAAACCGATCACCGCACAGTGGAAATCAATCTGCGATGAAAATAACCCCACTTGGGGACCTCTCGCAGCCAGTTTTGGTGCATGTTCAAAAGACTGGTTGCGACTAATTGGGCTTTGCGACTGCACTGAAACCTTGTAGTGACTTCAGTGAAACCTTTCAGAGACTCCTGAAACCTCAATGAGATTGTCAAATATTTCGGTCGCCATGTGGTTGCATCTCGGTCGCATGGTCACAGGATTGTGAGGCTTTACGTACGCCAGTCAGACATTATGAGCTCAGCCCTGTTGAGCCTATATTGGCTAACTGTAAAGGGTACTTGGCAACACATGACACAACATTCAAACTCACACATGACAAAAGGAGGATCAGTCTTTGCTAGATATCAGCCTTCTTTATCCAGTTATCATACTTTTGGGTGATAGTACAGGTTCATATACGTCATCAGTCAGATGGTACCTAATAAATCATCTGTAGAACAACAAAAACCTTTTGATTCAAAACTGCAACTTTACATGACCCATCCCGTTTCATAGTTTTTAACTATTCCATCATATTTCCAAGCAAATATACATTTGCACTTTTGAGAATGCACGGACGGGTGTAAGGTCATCACCTCGGGACAGTTATAGGCCGTTTCATAAACGTGTATGGTTGACACACGAATATTTTCTAAGTTTATCATCATTTTACCTGTAAAAGTACCTGTGCTTATCACAGTGTCACTTAGGATAGGCTATTTTAGGTCGATTTGCGTTACTTTGATATATGCTATCTTCATAGCCCCTTGACTCATTTATTAAAAGAAGTCAGCAAAGCCTACATTTCCTACAGTATTTTAGTTGGCATGGTGTATTAACTGGCCAAAGGGGCAACAGCCAACAAGCAATACGGTTATGATTTCAGGATTCGAGTGGTATAGCAGACGCCTTTTGTTTTGCATTGGAAAAGTCGAAAGGTGTTTCTCAAAAGATCAAAGATGACAGAATTGAACGGTTAGTTAATTCTCTAAATTGCATGTAGGGTCAATATGTATATTTTGCTTAAATTTACTTCTTTAACGGTCATGTTTATCACTGTTTCTTTCACCAGTTTCGGAATTGTCATCAGTCAACGTGCAAAGGAGCAACTAAGTGAGATGCTGTGGGAAATGGGTTCTCCAGGCCAAGTTAACGAATACGTGCAGGTCATCCTGCATTGTCTTCAAAGGCGTGATCTTCTCTCTGTCGTTGACCTGTCACTCAACGGGTCCCTTTTCCAAGGAATCATGTCGGCAATTATCAGAAGTATGACATTTCAGCTCCTATTTTCAGCTCCATTTTGTATGTCTACATTTCTAGCATTGTTTCTACAATGGCGCTTGGTCTGTCGTCTCGTAAAATATTGACTACAAAACAAACATATATAGACAATTTTACCAAATATTTGCAAATCTACCTTTGAAGAGATAGGGCAAGTCGATAATAATTAAAAACTGTTATTGTTTACAATGTGTTACTTTCTGACTTCCAAATTGAAGCAATACGTTAACCCATACAACTAAACGCTAAAGAATCAAGTGTGAAACCAACAAACAACAAAGAAATGTTATAAATTAACAATCATAAAATTAACCAGGTTTACAAATCAATACAAATTACTGCAAAGTAATTACAATGGCAGTACACAATCGGGTGGGAGTACATTCAATGGTAGCACAATTACGATGGCAGTATAAAATACAATAGCAGTGCTAATAGGAAAAGGTTAGTGATAATAATATTTACCTGGCAACAACAGTGGTCAAGCTTCCCAAATAGACCAAGACTGGATATCAGCTGGTCTTCATGTAATGTCAGTAAGAGAGGCGACGCTATTGCCCCTATTATAGTCTAAATCCATTCTAGAAGGTTCAATAACATGCTGGATTAATCTAGCTGTTCTAGAAGATTTCAGATCACACATGACTCCAAAATCATCTAATCATAGCAACTTCCTCACCATTTGCATTAGATAGTTCCACATTCCTGGCAACCCTTGTCAAGAAGCAGTGCTATGAAATTCTATTGAGACTCGACAGAAACAATGAAATACAATTACAACATAGCATAACGTTAACTGTTGCAAAGATCGACAGAAAAAGTGTAATACCATTACAACAATATGTTACACAAAATTGCTCTGCCATATAACAGATGTCAGATTCACATGACCATGATAGAATAATACAGAGGACAAATAACGAAAATATTTTTCTTTAGCATTCACTCATAACGTTTAAATGCCAGTGAAATGAGTGTAGTGAGCTCAGGCAACATAATAGCTCTCATTTAATCATTTGGATTGTTTGATAAACAATGATGTTTTGTATGAAGTGAATTCTTTAATCATTAATGTAATAAATTAGATTGGTAGTGGCTGTATCCTCAATGAGGGTTGAAGAAGCACAAAGTATTGTCTCACTGAGTGAAGCCTATTATAATCAGAGAATATTTGTTTGTTCTGATCTCCGGCTATACTTGTCAACAATCGTCATACCTAAGAGAAAGGGTAAATCCTACTGGGAATTATGAAGGTTGCAGAGGTGTAATGGTCTCTAGTTGGTTGCCGGCGATCTATAGCTCCATTTTTATATTGTCTGTTGACAAATGGATATATTGATAGTCATTTTACTATCATACGATGACAGTTTAATTTAACATAATTGTAAAAATGAATATGGCTGAAATATTGCCAACGTGACTTATAATTTAAATCTCTCACGCTTTTATACTGATATTGATGATAAAATTTTCATTCAAACGTCATATATTCAAAATGTTTTAGTAATGAATCAAGAAGTGTTCACTGTGTGTACATATCAACCTTAGGGTTGTACAATAGAGGAGGTCAAGGTCCCTGGCATGTTAGGTTGGAAGGTAGTTCTATGTTTACTGAACAAACCCCTTGAATTGTATTAGATTTTTGTAAGTGCAGTCATCCAAGTTTTCAAACAGATATGATTAAGCTTGTGATTGACTGTGTCATGTGGCTTTTCTGTTCTATATTGTTCTTGCACAAGACCTGTGGTGCATTTGAAAAGCTCCGTGCCGCTCTCAAGGACAATCGTAATGTTGCTCTTCTTATTTAGTGAAGGAAACCCCCTTTCTTTCTATGACATGTTTGTAAGACCCATCATCCATGTTTTCAAATAGAAATATTCAAGCATATGGTTGGCTGAAATTGGTGATCATTAACCAGAACTGCAGATAACTTTCTTATTAAGACAACTGAACTCTCAGGAAAGATACCCACCGAAAAATTCTGAGCCTGACAATGGTGTATTGAACTTTCTACCATAACAGGGCTTGATCTTCAATCGCCAGCAGTGGTTTATTCGCATTGGTTTATTTTTATTCACCCAATCTGATTGGCTGTCTGAGAGTGGAGCGCTGTATCGTCGCGTTTTGATTGGCTGGCTAAAAATAATTGACGGCACTATTTTCGGATCGGGGATTCCTGATGTCGTCTAGTACAGGAAATCTCCCATCTGTCAAAACATTACGTAGTGATGATGTTTCCATCTCCGAAAGTTGGTGACCGAGAGTAAATTTGTGGGGGAGGAAGGTGTGTGATATGTGGAGATATACCAGTGTACGAGATTCAGGCGCAGGAAGACGGTAACCGAAGCGAGATACCGCATCCATAATACGGGACCAGTTGAGCCACTCCGGCACATACTTTACAGGACGTTTTTAAGACTAATAAAACAGCTAAAGCAACAGTTAATTAATTCATGTATAAATACTGATGAAATAGTGAAACAAACCGTATTGGTTTTGTTATGTTTAAAATAAATAACCATCAACCACATAAGAAATTCCACGTTATAACGAAGTGTTGATCTTGAGCCGATCGATCAAAAACATAATTCAAAGTTATATTAAAATAATCGAGACTTAAATTTCTTATTTTAAGAAAATAAACACTCAAATCATTTGGATCTAAAGCAATACTCAATTTTAATGCAGGAAACGATCAATCTTAGCCGGACGGACCGTACATCTCACGTCCAAGATGTTTTGCAACCACAGCAGTTGTTTCCCCTTTCAACGGGTGGAGTTTATCCAGATCAATATAATTTATTTATTTTGGCCTTAAAATTATTTGGTGTTTTTTTAACATGAAGACTTCAATTTTTTAAACATACTATCTCAGGACAATTAAGAAACTCATTTTATATCACCACGTTTAAACTTGAATGTATTAAGTCATACCTAGGTCTATGTAAACTCAAGAATGTAATATATGTATTTATATTTTTTCTTAACTATTTTGATTTCTAATAGGGAGCAGACAAACTGATGAAGATAAAAATGGTGGGCACCAATCAACCTAATTAGGTATTTTTTTCAAAAACAATATTTTGTTTTCAACAATGATTTACATTTATGCATCTTAAAATACCACAATATCACAGTTAATTATTTTCAGAATTAACAGACAATACAGAGTATTAAGACATGTGGAATTATGTTTGTCTTAAGTATAGTCTTTAACCAAAAGATTTATCATTTACCATGTTTACTGAGAAAACCACACACTTTAATAATGCAATTGTTATATTATCATAGCAGATAAAGAGTCCCAATATGCATACCTAGCTTAATTTTAATGATAATTATTTAGCATTTCTTGGAATGATAAACTGGTCATATGACAAAATAAGAAATGTATTTTTTATGTATTATTCTCCCATTACAAGGTTTACAGTGGTTGGTTTTTTTCATATAATCTAATTGGCTGCCTGAGAATGGAAAGCTGTGTCGCTGGTAAGAAAAGAAAAACTCCAATTTATGGGTGATGAAGAAATAACCAACAAGAGGTCGTCTTATAACATTTTACCATAAACCTCATTTCCTTTCATTAGCAATGTCTAATTTTAATTTTAATACTTTTTACAAAAAATTCATATGTGAACAGGTCACTAAATTATATATTTATTATGAGTCTTGTTTTCATGAAGATGAAAAGAAGAAAATGTTAATTGTATATTACTATTATCAGTAAGTCTTAATTTCTAATCTGTTATAAAAGGAAAAGAAAAAAGTTTGGAGGTAACTGTTGCAGTAAAATAACAATGTAACATTACAAGGGTATTAAAATGCAAATATTTGTAAATCTATTGAAATGATAAGTTATTGTTTACATATATCCAATGTATTTATGTTTCACACACCATAAAGTATTGTGCTTCTCAAATTCACATTGTTTCTTGTCATTCACAAATATGGGGAAATTAGTTAAGTCATTTAATAACATTTTTGGTGTAATGATGTTCAATATTATGTTCAAAAGAAAAATTGTCCACTGAATAAGTTTATTTTTTATATATAATAAAAACACATGTGCTCACCATGTTCAGGAACAAAAAAAAGATGACATGAAATAATCATCATTTTACATATTAAATTATTCACTGTAAAATTAGTTTTAAAGAGGAAAATTCGTTCAAAAATATTACAATCCATTGATGGACTTGAGAAGATTTACCTAGCAGTAATCAGCTGATCAGTTACCTGAGTTGTTGTCTATAGAATCTTGCCTGATCAATCCTGCTGACAGTTCCTTGGGCCCTTATTTCTCGTTAACAATATTTCACAATATTTAAGACAATATCTAATTTCCTCAATTGGGTTTATAACATTTGTTTCTAGCGGACAAATAAACGAATAACGTATTTACATACACTAAAAAGGTGGACCTATTTAGTGTTGCTCATTGAGAATTCGGCGAGACGAATGCAAATAAAGTTATGGGCCGAGTAGTCCAAAACAATTAACAGATATCAAATCACATCACATTATTCTCAAAACGTTGCTCCCTTTAGCTTTTAATAGTTAACAAAAAAACATAATATGAATGCTTACAGCCGGCTTGCCTGTCACGGGAAAACTCGTGTGGGTTGTCTTCGCTAGATCCTTTTGACCTGTTTATGGTGCAGTTGTCTAACTGAGCATATTCGAAAAAGAGGGTGGGGGAAATCCCGAGTGGTTACTAAACACGCGAAATCTTCAACTACGAGCTCGACTTTTATGGCGTATTGTTATCGGAAAAAAGGATTAACCACTGTGTTCGGTTGTTACAAAAAAAAGTCTACACACTCGTGATTAATCTGCAACAATTAGAACTCGGCAAAGCCTCGTTCTAATCGTGACAAATTAATCACCCGTGTGTAGATTTTTCGGTAACAACCGAACACAGTGGTTAATCCTCTATATGTTTGAACATAATCCCCTCTGAAATGCACAACTCCTGCCAACGATGACGGCGTGCCTGGATCCCCCTTGTGTCGAAGGCTTCCTCGGGGTGGTGTAAAATGTCCCCCTCAGCAGAAATGACGTAATCACCATTTGGAAAATGCTTTCTTAAAGTTTGGTAAGAGGTGGAAATCCGACAGTGCCAAAACTTGTGAACATGGAGGATGTTCATAGTTCAGAGCCACAGACTGGCATCAAGCCGTGACGACAACAGACTGTTGCTCGGATCCATTGCCCTGATGGAAGACTACGCGTTTAGTGGGTTTCCCTATCGTTTAGCCTTAATATTCATGCAGTTGCCGAACAAGATAAACCGTATATTAGTGGCTAAGACATTCTCTCGTCACGCCGAAGACACGGGCTCGTTTTCCCACATGGGCACAATGTGTGAAGCCCACTTCTGGTGACCCGCCATGATATTTCTCTAATATTGCTTAAAGCAGCCAAAACCAATGCTCGCTCACTCACTCATATGATATTGGCAAATAATCGTCTGACCTTTCGGGAGGTCGTCTACCTGTAGGATTCCTTAAGAACCCCCCAAAAAGGAACCATCACCTTGCCAGCTGATTGAACAGATTTTGCTTTCTTCAGAGGAGGATATGATCGATGTTTCCACAACTTTGACTGACAGTGGTGACCCCAAGATACATCTATAATTACAAATCGCTCAACAAAATCATGTACCTGGAGCTTTTCCGATCAGGGGTCAGTAGCGTCAGAACCCATCGTGATGAAACTTTGTCGAACCAAGTTTGTTCCTCAGAATCTTCTTCGCCCTCTCATAAGAGATGATTTCTGTATTGTATATATCGTACCAACATTTTCCTTAGCGGTGGCAGATGAAGGTCTTTGTGATATTAGATCATCTTCGGGGCACTCTCTTCCCCTCTTGAAATCCACTTGAACAGTGGCATCCCCTCATGGATGGCTGTTTGAATGAACCCTTTCAGCTGGAGTTACTTGATGACAGAGCGGTCGATATTTTTTGTTCATTTTCCTCAAAAGAAAATACCACGCATTTTGATGCCTGCAGTAACATACTGCCTTGTTGTGAATTTGGTTCAAATGCACTCTGGTGCATGGTCAGTAGTGTTTGTGTTAAATACAGTTCTGTTGGACTAGAGGTGTACTATATATCCCTTGGTTCAGAACATTTCTGCCACGTTTCGTATTTGCTTATCGCATATATGGTATGGAGCGATTGCATGCCCTGGCTCAGAGAAAAGATTGAAAGGTCTTTTTTTGGCCGAGTGTTGCGGTAAACAACAAACAACAAAGCAGCACGGTCTTTCTGTTTAAGCTGTATTTCATCAGACATATAAACTGAACAACATTGAATAAGATTTAATGCAAAGTTATGTTTTTTTACCAAATCTGAAACAATTTCGGTTTGCAACAGATAAAAGGCTCCTGAAAGTGTTCAAATGGTTTAATTTGCCATACTGACTTCAGAAAATGCGTGATTTCATGAAAAACATGAACATGCCAAAATGTCAATTTACAAATCAATAGCGTGAGTGTCCACCTCTGGTTGCGATGCAAGCAACACATCTTCGTCTCATGGAATGGACCAGGCGTCGCACAAATTCCTGTTGGATATCTGTCCATATTTGCTGGAGCATGTTTCGAAGTTCCTGGAACACGTGGTTGACGTCGAATGCGCCGATCCATCTCATCCCATATGTGCTCGATTGGTGAGAGATCAGGGGAGCGAGCCGGCCAGTGGATGACATTCGCGTTATTTTGTTGAAGAGAATCCTGAACAAATCGAGCAATAGGAGGCCGGGCGTTGTAATGCCTCGGCCATGACGATGCAAAAACGGTAAAACAACAGGGCCGATGATCTCGTCGCGGTAGCGCTGTCCATTGAGATTTCCCTCTACCACTATCAAACGGGTCCTCTGTTTTGCTGTAATCACACCCCATACCATAACGCTGCCGTCCCCGAACCGATCTTCTTCGATGACACAATGATTGACGTAACGTTCACATTGCTGTGGCTGAGGTTAAAACGAGACTCGTCAGTGAATAGAACTTGTCCCCACTGCATTGCCGTCCAGCGTAGACGCTGTCTGCACCACTGTAGACGTGCTTGACGGTGGTTTCCTGTCAAAATGGGACGTCTAGCGGGTCTTCTGGATACAATCCCTGCACATCTGAGGCGATGACGTACGGTTTGTGAAGATATTCGTCGACGGCAAGGGAAGCTTCTTGCAGTCACTGTTGCTGGCTAGAATCGATTTCGTAGGTGTGTTGTTCGATTCCAGGTGTCTTGTCGATTATTGGTTACGCGTGGCCTGCCACTCCGAGGATGGGCTCTGACTACATTCGTCTGTTGCCAACGTTGCCATAAACACCAAATGGTGTTTCTGTGGACGATAAATTGTCTTGCAACATCACGTTGACTCGATCCTGCTTCAAGCATACCAATGGCTCGCAGACGCTCATTTTCGGACAGGCGTGGCATTTCATAATGTTGAATAATTGCGTAATTTTGTTCTGAGTGGTTGTTGTCAGCACGATGCAAAGCATTAGGAATCCCGTTAACGCACATGTTTTTATACCGGTTCTTGGGTAGTGAAATGCATGGGGCTTGCATAAAAGTCAACTTTTGCATGGAATGCATGCATTTCTGTAGCAGTTGCGTTTTTGTGACTTGATTCCATACATGTACTACAATATTGTAAACCAAACTTTACTTGTTTGAAAAATACACTAAAACATTGGTGTCACAGAAACTTTTGTTGCTGAGTATATTTTCTCAAACCGAAAGTGATTTTAGTAAAGTGGAAGTGCATAAAACGTTATTATTAAGGTAATTGGAGTAAGGGGGCTTTATGTTTTAAAGTCCGGCTGCATATGGCATGTGCGTTATTGTCAGTCTGCCGTCCGTTGACTGTCGAGATATGAACCGGATGGATGCAACTGAAACTTTAGGAAATTATTTAGTGTCATTCATTAACCCTGATGTATGCTGTCATGGAACAACTAGGTTAGACATTTGAAACATAAATTCAAAAAAATGAGGTTGATAATTGTTCATTCCAGTAAAACGGAACACATATTTACGGAAAAAAAATCACATTAGTAAAGATTCAAACTTCATTTTAGAATCAGCCCCTCCACAAGACCACAAGGTCCAGGGAGCTGAAACTTTAATTTACTACGTTTAGCAAGGCAATAATATGACTGGCACCTGCTCCCGATCATTGCATGGAAGTGAAAAAAACCCACTAATTATTGCTCTTTAAAAATGAAATACATGTTTCGATAGTGGTCAGTGTTTGAGTTTTATATGCACAGAAATAAATAGATTTTATCTCTTTTGGGTTTAGATTTAATCAGATAGGAAAATGCTTGTTTCTCTTATTAACTGAAATGAAAATAGTTTTTGATAATGGTCGAGTTTTAAACTCTGTGTAGATAAAAAATATTCTTTATTTACTTTTTGGCCCTCTAATCTGCACACAACTTTTGCACTCTTACTATGTATTAAGTCTGTGACACCGCTTTCCCAAGTGGGGCGATACATATACTTTACAGGTCTGTCCTATGTTATTCCTTATTTTGAATAATACCTTATGTTCACGCGTTTGTAAAATATATAAATCTCATTTGATTTTAGCGAAAACAAGTACCGAGTTGATATCAATGGTGGATGATTATTTGCCAACACCAGTGTACAGTAGAAAGTCAAAGGATAAAGCTGAAATTCATATTGAAAACCAGAACCCGTTCACCTATAAAGGCTACGTTGGTGAGTTTATGCGCATGGGCATCGGGACATATGTTGCAAAATTTGCAGTTATCCTTAAGTAGTGTTCCGAGCCAAACACTTAACATATCTGTAGTTGACCATTTCTGTTTCACATATCTATGTCCTAAAAAATCTCTAAATGACACAACTGCTATCTGTTGCATACAATAAACTCACTGTTCTGGGTAGAAATGTTATGTTTTCTCAATGGCAAAGTATGATATAGCATTAAGTTGGCACTTATTCGAATTTGTCATAACAAATTTAGATGACTATGCACTGTTTAATTTTTGGAAAGCAGATACACATAACATATCTGTCTAATTTATTATTTATTAGATTCTGAAAACATTGTTAAAATGGTTTTCAAAGAAGCAATTCTACAAGAAAAGTCGGAATGCGTTGAATTCCTACTTGAATGTGGAGTTTCTGCAGTGGAAGATCTTGACATGTTGGAACTGTACAAAGAAGTGAGTAAATAAAGTTCATATCCGAAAAGATTAACGGATTCATGCATATGTTCGATGAGTCTTCTTATAAACGAGTTACGACCAAACTTTTGAGGGCCATAATTCAATGTATGTGCACGTGTATGAATGTGTTATGTGAGCGATCAAATGTTACCGTTGTCATTGATCATATTTAATTTAAAAAAATTCTCGACACAAACAAAAGTAAATGCTGCTTTTATGAGCAGAATCGAAAAGAACCGTTCATGATAATTTCATGAAACTACTTCATACTGACAAAGTTGATAATTGTACGTTTATTCAATTAGATTCTTCTGTTATGGGTTAATTCAGTCACTACTGGCCATGCTGATGGTCAAATAGTAAAGACTGGAATCATCGTAGGACTATTTTGAAACGTTATATTTATGACGATATTGACAATAAAATGTAAAATGAAAACAAGTACATTAAGATCAGGATAATTACTACTCTGGCGTCAATACAGTCAAAACATCTGATCACAATCCAATAACTTATTGCTTCGAATTTATTTTTTGAATGATAACTTTAACTTGTTAAATTATTTATTTAAACTTGTTTTAAAATGATAGCAACATAAAAATGAAGACAGGTTAAAATCTATAGCCAGTTAAATTTGAAATTTGGTCAGAAGGCAGAAACACACCCACAGTTGAACCAAAATTCAAAAGCCTTTCTTGTTGAGCGAAATGATACCATTCGTTGTTATGACGTCACAAATTGTTCACGAATAAATATGTTCCCAGCGTATGAATATTTTAAAAAGATAAATGTTATTCATTAAAATCACATTTTCGGAAATACCAGCCCATCGCCTCATTATTTCTAAATGGGGACAGGATTGTAACTGGAACATTCAAATCATTGTGTTCTTTTTAAGTGTTTGTAGGTTATGGTTATAAGCTGTGTTATTAGGTATTCGCATATGGTCTCGTTGACTTTATGTCAACACATGTTGATATCATTACAGACAAAGAATGGGCTGCAGAAGACCGTGTCAGAAATATTTAACAAGTGCAAGGTAGGTTGTAGGCTAGCACATGCAATGGTCATTGTATGGAAATGAATTGTACCTCAATTCTTTATCAAAACCTTTGTATTTGTACCTCCAGCTTGGCGTAGGAGTCGACTTAAAGCAGGATCATGATATTACAGGACTGATTATGTGTCATCCTACGCGTTAGTTTGGAAAGGTTGCCCAGTCGACCGAGTCGTTTTAGGTAACACGCTGTGCAAAGTTGCGCACATATATATGATCATGGGTTTTAATCAAATCTTTTTTAATTATTGTTTTTAGAAAATGTTGGAAAGTAAACATTTGCCTCATGTGTTAACCCCGAAAATAATTGTTTACTGAACTTGCTCGAATCCCTGAAAAAAGATGTGCTGTGGTTCCCAAAAAGATTGTTTGGCCTCTGTCAGATAACAATTATATAATTTAAATCTGTAACAGAATTAAATTTCTGGTATCTGGTTTCTCAGACACAGCTGACCTATATTTACTTATGAGAATAGTTTTGCGAAAGGAATGGAATTGAAATTTTCGCGTTTTGTAAAAATTATTAGTGAATCATGATCTTTTAAAATATTCGAACTTTTGCAACTAAGTTTAAAAGATTACATCTACAAATCGTCATTGTAAAATATAACACATCTTGCTCTTGATAATTAGTTTATTCTACCTGAGCTAAGGCTAAGGATAAGATGTATATATATCGACACTGTAAAAAATGAAATTTTATCCAGGTGCTTCACATGTACTGTATTGTAACACTATTAGCTACAATTTGATCAATAATTATAATGTACTAATGTAGAGTCAGTATCCTTGTTATGATCGTGTTTGCAATGTGTCACTAAAAATCCCATCTTCAACCATGAATGTGTTTTAGCTTTCAACAGTTTCATCACTTCAGCTTGTTCTGCATTTACTGCGTTAGTTTATAATCAAATGTAATGGAATCATTTCCACATTAATCCTTTTTCATTATTTCTTTTCTTCTTGGATAGGATGGTTACGAAAAGGTATGTATTTATTCGAAGGGGCCGACCATTTGATATTCTGGAGGGGAGGGGGTATTTTGTATCTAGCTTAGATATTTTCAGTTTCAGCAACAAAACCAGATACTTTTCTTAATTTAAAAGTATGAGCCCATGAGCCTGATATGAGCCTACCAGCGGATAACAACTTCTGGTTTATTGCATTAAGCGACGTTTCGATGTAGATTCTTAAACTGTTATCAGGCTGGAGTTCCACTCCCTGGGCATCAAGACACTTGATCAACCACCCGACACCAACCTCTCTATAGACTCTATTATCAGCCTGGCAAAATCCTGCATAACCTCAACCTACTTCACCTTGGGAAACGACATCTATGAACAGACCCATGGCCATCCCACGGGACCCCCTCTCTCCCCGACCCTTCCAGAAATCTACATGACCAATATTGAAGAAAAGCCTACTCAACTTTCCCAATCCAACCCGTTTTCTTGTCCAGGAAGAAGAACGACACCTTTGTCATCCTCAGAAAAGACCAGGGCCCCATTTCACTACTCCAATCCATCAACTCCCAACAACACGGAGTCAAATTAGTTATAACATATTTAATTTCAACTGAAAATTGGGATTGATGAAAAAGCATATTTTAATACCTCTCCTTATATGGAAATCAAGTGACAACAGATAACAAGGTGTATTCATTATAATTACATATGCTATACCTTGGTGGTCATTTATCAGGCATAATCAATTGTGTCCGGTTTTAATGTACACATGATGCAGATGTGTTATATATGAGTTTTTAGAGTATAAATTAAGTTTATGGACAGGTAAAAGAATTTCTCCATTTATTTCATATGATAGGCTTTCACATCCGTAAAGTACTGTCATAACATCATATCCTTTCATGTAATATACTCAAATGCTTCTAATTTGATCATTAGATCTAAGACCCGTGCAGATTCCGGGGTAGAATAGATCTTCAGCAACCCATACTTGCCGTAAAAGACGGCTATGCTTGTCGTAAAAGGCGACTAATGGGATCGGGTGGTCAGGCTCGCTGACTTGGTTGATACATGTCATCGATCCCAATGGCGTGGATCGATGCACATGATCACTGGACTGTCTGGTCCAGACTCGATTATTTTACAGACCGCCGTCATATAGCTGGAATATTGCCGAGTGCGGCGTTAAACAACAAACAAACACACATTAGATCTAAATTGCAACAAACAAAGAAGTAGTGTGGCGGGTCTTCCGAATATTGACAACAAGGACAATCTTGAATCTGTCGAATGTATGTCCGTATAAGTCATTACATCCGAGTCAGAAGTGGAGGTGGATAATTTGACAGAACCTGGTTCCAAATTTTGTAATAAAGAAATGTTCGTAATTGTAAGTGCATGATAATACATTTCGAAACTTCAAATACCAGCCCGTAGATTTAATTTCCACAGATAGAATATTTCATAATTTTGTAGAATTAGGTCTGAGGAGTTTCTGAGACTGTAATCTCTGAGAGCGTTTACTTGGCCTGGGATAAAGTTGCAGAGAGAAGCTGGTGCTAAAATATTTTGTAGAATAAAGATAAATATTGATTTTTGCGCCTAAGTGATAATGGTTCCAGATTTGTTTCTGTATACATTTTTTATTTTTCTTAGAGCGTCCAGATAGTTTTTTCTAGTATCAAGTTTTTTACTTTACAATTATACCAAAGAATATTACAGTTACCGAGTATTGGTATTATAAATGTGGTCTATACATGATTTTTAGACTTTTCCTGGAGATGCGGTAATTAAACTTCTAAAACAGTTTATCATGGGACTTTGCCTTTGCATGTGTTTGTGACAGGTGCCACCGGATACGCTCACCTTTTCGCGAACACCTGGTATCATCACTATTTGATAGTGATTCATAAACACATTTTCGTGATATAGTCGGACTCGTACAATCGAAGGTGTAGTCAAAATAATTACACAAAATATACCTTGGTGGTCTTATATCAAACATATTCAACTGTGTCCGGTTTTAATGTACACAAATTTGGTGAAGAATTACGGGAAAAGTTATATTTCGATGTTTTTCTTTGGATAATATTTAACAAGTAGCGTCCACAATTTCGTCCCTGTAGTTTGGTTTATTTTTTCGTCACGTTTGTTTAAGTTCTCTTTAGCCAGGCAAACAGATTCAATTTCTTAATTGGTGGAATTTTGCCTAAAGTAAGGTGTATTTCTTTACTTAGTAATTGTATCTTGTCCCTTTTTTGTCGAACAAGTTTATCTAAACCACGATGGAACCATGGAGGATCGTTTTGTCGGTGTATGAATTTCAAATAAACTTATCACTATGGCTAGATATCTGAATCCTATCAAAATCAACATTTAGTGTATAATTCTAAATAGACAAACGTACGCGTGTCACTGCTTCAAATAAAATCTGCATTAGTCACCACTTGATGGTATATGAATTCCATCTATACGAAGATATCACTGCCCCAACTGAAATCTATTAATGGTTCATGATAACATCATCACTTGTAGGTGAATGAATTTCAAACAAACCAACCTGTGACTGTTTCTATAAGTGAGTTCTGTAAATGGATGATATTAACAACTCCCCTTCCAAGACGTCCTGGAATCCAGAGACCCCAGCAACAAGATCCAAAACTACCGTCTACAGGAAGCCTACCCATTTTTACCACTACATTCACTTTAACTCTAACGAGCATAACACCTCAACAGTTAGTCAGCCCTCTCAGGCCATCAGTTAAAGTTGCCTAGCCATCAAGTTAAGTTTGACAAACATCACGACTTCACAAAAAGAAGATCATGGAAGCCAGGGAAATCCGCCTTCACAAACCTTTGATCATCAGAAATCAAGAGTATTACATAACGTCTGCCTATGAAGATCGAATCAAGCAATATACATTTCATTTCCTTCCTTCCTTTCAGCTTGTTCAACTTCTTAGTCATACTGTATATCTGGCATTATTCCCTTGTGCTATTTGTTATTCATACTTCCTCCAATTATTTGTGTGCAACTTGTTATCCATTACCTGTTGCTGTTAATTTTAGTGTGCTGTTTATCACTACAAATCATGTATATACTTCTCATTACTTGGTTGAAGTCACTCCAGCTGAATATCGGTGAAAAAATCTATCTTCATCGAAACATCGCTAAATCCCCAAAGTTCTCCGCATAGTTGTATGTTTTCTTATTAACTCATCAACTTCTAGAATGCCAATCAAACAATTAGCTTTACGGAGGCCTTGTAAGTTAATTTGGCGCGGATTGGGTGGTAAATTTACTGGACCCATAGATATCTCTTTGTACGGATTTATGAAGCTTTGGAATCCAGTACAAAACAAGAATGGATATTTCTACAGGTTTTAGAGTCGCGCCAAAGGTTGATAGTACAGATGCATGGGTCTGGCATATTTCTTTCTCGGTTAACACACTCGGATTATTTGTTGCATAATTTTATGTCATGAATTTCTTATTTCATAAGAATTGATAACTAATATATTGGATAATTCTGCTTCTTTTAACATAGATTTAATAGAGCAATGTCTTTCACAGCAACAGGAGAATGATAACAGGAAGGTGTCAGAGATGAAAGATAACCAGGTGATTCATAGTCTTTATTTTCGTTTATTGAATGAGACGTAGGCTGATGAAGTTGTCAATTCATAAACACATGCCTCTGATATGGTCGGAATCGTACATATAGACTAAATGGAAATGTGTTATAATTAGAAAGTATATGTTCCTGTAACATTAAACATATTTTGAACAGAAGTAAGTTATTTCTCTTACATGTACATATCATCTGAAGGTGTTTTGAGATCTTTACCAAAGTGATAAAATGTGGAGCCAAACAGATATTTGTAATCGCTATTTTGCGCGTGCGTGCGTGCGTGCGTGCGTGTGTGTGTGTGTGTGTGTGTGTGTGTGTGAGGGTTGGTGGATAAGTTCTGAGCATCAGATTGGGAGGAACTGCGTACGCGTGGCCATCTATGTTACAAACTTATGCATGATGGAGTATCTCCTAAGAATTCAGGAGTAATAACACAGGAAGATGCCCAATGGCATGAACATATCAGTAGTATCCGAGTTTACCGTCAGGTTGGACACATAACCAAGATGCCTGTGTTAAATACGTGGACGGGGTCGGAGGTAGAAAGGTCATGGTTTGAGCAGGCATTTCACGACTGGGCTCAACAGATTTGATATAATTGACCGATTTTAATAGTACTTACATATTTTACCGCAAGATTAGTCAGGTCTTTACTACTTTGGTAATACCAATGAGCACAGGTACATATATGGTGCTGGCAAACAGAAAATCATTATCAGGGCGAATATCGGATTTGAACCCACGATCATATTAGGATTCTGGCAAGACCCAGGGACGCATCTCTGCAGAGTGATTTGCAGCACATTAGCCACCCATACCCCACGGAAGAAATGTAGGTGGGATATTATGTTATTAATCAACAATATATATGTTTACAAAATATGTTTTATCTCTAGATGCCAATTGATCATTAATAATTATACATTTTGTCATATGTTGTTTATTTTAGGTCACTGTCGGACATATATTTTCTTCTATGTTTTTGTCTCTTATAGATAATACACTCATTCACGGATAGACTTCTCGAGCAGTTTGTACCAAGCGCTTTTGTTGACAACGAACAGAACACCGACAGCACACGAAAGGTATTTGACCAAACCGGATACGCATGATTCAACACACCAGTCAAGTGAGATTGAGAGCAATGAAAAAAAGTGAGGAATCTTGTTTAGATCGATGATATAGAAGTGTAAAATGATGTGTGTCGTCCTAAAATTATGATAAAAGTGTTCTTGTATCTTAATTCTCTGCAGAGCACAACGGAAATTGACACTGATCACGATGGAAGGGAAGGGAAAACAGTTGGAAGAGAAAAATTCACACAGCTGTTCTTGTGGGCGGTTTTAACAAACAGGAAAGTGGTGGCTCAACAGTTTTGGACTCGAGGACAGGTCAGTATTGTCTTAAGTTCACATTAATTCAACCACCCGCTAACAAGGAGGGGTAGCCTAGTGATTAAAGCATTCGCTTGTTACGCCGAAGGCCCGGGTTCGACTTCTCTTATTGATAACATGTGTGCAGCCCATTTCTGGTGTCCTCCACCGTAATGTTGCTGGAATATTAATAAATGCAGTCTAAAACATACTCATTCACATATATTGAGAAAGGTATGGGCAAATACCTTTAAAAACAACTACTACAATTTCCTCAAGGGTAAAATAACAACACTTCCTGTCTGTTGACAGTGTTTCATGTTTCGGAATGTGCTTGCCTCTGAACCGTATAGAAAAATCTAGTAGTCACAAAATCGTCTCTAATACATGGACTATTTTGTAATTCCAAAATCCAGTATGACCCTCATTAAGGCTTTAATGGATATATTCTCCCAATCTAATCACTTCTGGATACATACCCCCTGCACTTCAAGCCTGCAAGTCTCCTGAGCTTTGCTATGTTAATGAGAGCGTGATCCGCACTTTTTTTTCTTTTCTTTTTTTTCTTCAGTCATGTACCACAGAATACAGATACAGTCTAAAAACAGTACAAATTCATGTATAAAGGTAATTCGCAAAATGATGGGGTACAGAGAAGGCATAAGGCATAATCCACAGCATGGTACAGATGAAGGCATATTCATGTATACATTTAAGAAGGTGCGGTATTTATGGTACATCAAATTATGTTGCAAGCATCAAGTGAATAAGTTATTTTACAATTTGAGTAAACAAAGCCAATCTACTGTTAAAGGCAGAGAAGTAATTATTTCTAAGTGCAATATGATATTCAACGTCAATATTCTTATTGTGTTCTTAAAAGCAACAAAGTCAACATTTTCATTCTTAATAGACTCGATAAAGATAAATCTTTAGCAGCTACAATCAAATGGTGAATTAATACAATTACAAACTGGCACCTAAAGTGTAGATATGAGCTAGCTGAAAACTAGCAAGGTCATACTTAATGGGGTTTTTTCGCAATATCTTTTTAAACATGAAATTTTCAAAGATGATATAAATTTGGGTAAATCAGTCATTTTCAATCCACCTAGACCATTATTCCTTTTCAGATAATCCCTCTTAATCTTATCTCTTTTGCCACTCCAAATAAAGTTAAAAAGAATTCTATTCAATTGATCAATAAAAGCAGTAGGGTGGAGAATTAAAGTCTTAACAACTGTTATTTTACCCACGAAAGTCAAATTACTTTTTTTCCATTTGCTTATAATACCATAGATATTATCAAGGCGTTTTTTAGTGTTGATTACCCAAAGGTCTTTTAAGTCAACATTAAAACATATGCCCAAAACTTCAAAGTTGCCGTCATGCCATTCTAGCTTTAAGTTAGGACAAAATCGAACTTTACTACCAGCCATACTGCCTATCCATATTGCTTTGTTTTTTTCAAAGTTCATTTTTAATCCTGAGATTTTGCAAAAAGGTTTCAAGTGTATCCATGGCTGATTTTACTGATTTTTCCGAGCCATCTAAAAAGAGTTGGGTGTCGTCAGCATATTGGCCCAATGTGTGTTCAATATCGTGTAGAAGTATACCTTTTATATCTTCATTATTACGAATCATGATAACGAGAATTCCAGCAACGAAAAGAAATAAATAGGGGGAAATTGGGTCACCCTGTATGCAACCCCTTTCATTCATAAAATATTCAGAGAGATGTTCATTTTGGACAATACAAGAAGAGGCATTTGATATGAGTATATGTATCCATTTAATCACATTGAGCCCAAAGCCAATTTTTTTCCAGAACGAGGAAAATAAAATCTTTAATCACGGTTTCAAAATCAATGAGTATCAACTTACCTTTTTTGTCAAGTCTCTTAGTTTCAAAAATTATATCGTAAAGTAATCTAGTATTTTCACTTAAACATCTCCCAGGGGTAAATCCTGATTAATTACAATGAATTAATTTGTTTAAGGATTGCTTGATTCTATTAGTTATACAAGAGCTTAAAATCTTATATACAGCATTTAATAAAGTAATGGGACGCCAATTTTTTAATCTTTTTCTATCTTTATTTGCTTTTGGAATGCAAGTAATCACGCCCCAGTTCATAGTAAAAGTCAAAGAGTTAGAATGATAAGCGTCATTTTCCATATCCAGACTCTTACATCATTCCCGAAAAATGTAAAGAAATCAATTGGGAAGCCATCAAGACCTGGGCTCTTATTATTTTTCATTGCAAGTGTAGCTTTACCAATTTCGTTTAAGGATAACGGCTGCTCAAAAGCCTGTTGCATATCATTCTCTAGTTTTGGAATTTGAATAATGTTTAACATCAAGCTTGGATCAGTATCTACTGAACTATTTTTTTGGTACAAGTTTCTATAAAATGCTTCTTGTTCTTTAATGATGAGAGTTGTATCATTTAGTTCCTCACCATCATTATCGATCAAGGAGGAGATGATATTATTTGTTAAAATTCTATTTTCAAGACGACAAAAATATTTAGTTGGTTTCTCTCGCTCTTCATACCATTGTAATCTCTTATTAAAAGCATTTATCTTGCTTTCTTATTCTTTATTTTTTTCATAATCGTTTTTTGATTCAGATAATTTACTTAAAGCTTCTTCAGAGATATTTTGAAAATCCTCTCTAATTTTACTTTCATATTGGTTTATTTCTTTTTCTAAATCGCCCAATTTCCTTCCCCTTTTCTTTTTCAAATATGAGGAAAAAGAGATTGTTTTACCTCGCAAATTCATTAAAAGGTTTCCAGGAATAGGGAATCAGGTATATTCAGTTTAAATCCAAATCATCAAAAGGAGCAGAATGGTCTGATCTATAAGATGGATCAACATATTGTTGTTTTGTTTCATCCAAAACAGTCGTAACCATATCCACATATTGTTTATTTCTTAAAAGGAAAGTGTTAAATTTAAAATATCCACGGCCCCTATTATTTATCTGAGAATCATTTAGGCATAAAGAAATAGCCGAATGGTCAGGTTTATAACCTGGGAGAATGTCAGCAACAGAGGATAGGTTTAAAATATCTTCACTAACCAAAAAAAAGTCTAGCCTAGCTTGCTGTCTGGGTTTATGTTTCCACCATGTAAATTTTCTAACAGCTGCATTCTGTTCACGCCAAACGTCAAATAGGTTAAACTGAGATAAATAATCTAAAACAGTTTTTCTAGAGATTGATCAAGAATGAGATTCCAATCCCCACAAATTATAATCGATTCATTATCAAGTCCATCAATGGCATTTAAGATATCATGATAAAATTTTGGGAGATCAGATTTCGGCCCATATATAGTAGCTAAGGTCAGTCTTATTCCTCTAATGGTTATATCAGCAATTATCATCTTTCATAACCTTATGAAAAGACATCTCAATGGAATTGAAAAGAATAGCCACCCCTCGGGCATTAGACTTGAAGGGAGCAAAAATACACTCAAGGACCCAGTCATTCCTAAAAATGTTCACTTGATTTTTATCTCTATGGATATCTTGAAGGCAGATGACATCAAAATTTCGTTTGCGCCAAATATTAAAACCTCTTTTCTTTTTAGTTTATCAGCTAAGCCTCTGCAGTTTGCAGATAGCAAGTATAGTTTAGATTGTATTGACATTGCATATTGGAGTTATAGTTTTAACAACAGAATATACAAGGGATACATATCTTGTCTGTGTAATGACTGATTTCTTTGGTTTTACATGAAAATAAAAGGAAAGGAAAGAATGAAAACAAAGAAAGACCGATGTTTACGGCTCAAGGATTGTGGAAATTCCTATATTGTTCCGCATAGTTTGGTAACAAGGCCATACAATTCTGATTTATATCAGTAAGTAAAGATATGAGATAATATAAGCATTCATGTAAATAGCATCTTAATTGCAGACTTAAGAAGTAAACTAAAATTACTTACACTCATATAGGTTAATCCTTAAATAATCCATGGAATCGGATGATAAACATAGGCGTAATCGAAGATAAAACAAAAACACTAGAGGGTTTCACACTAGTGTGCGCACAGCGTTTTGAACACAATAGCATACATTTTAGATAATGTCCACATAGAGCCTGTGAGGAAAAAAGGAAGCGTCATAAAATCCTCAAGTGTTTTCCGTATATCCAATCAGGGAATGGAGACCAAAATCAGAAAGTTAGTCCTAGACTAGTGATCCGCACTTGCTGTGTAATGAAATACCTTTAAATGCTAAATACTGAATGGACTACTTTGATATTAGCGCTTCTTCTCGTCTGTAAGTTTGTTTTTTTGTGAATTAAACTAAATTGTCTTGACGCTTGCGTCTTATTAATAAGGATATCTGGTGACATAGACTATAAACGAAGCATCAGTGTAAATGCAAGTTTGTACTGCTAATATTAGTGAATAAGAGCGACAAAACCCTTTCCATATACAAGACATATGTGGCAAAAGCAGAGTCGATTGAACGATTGTAAACCAAGATTCTCGACGCCAACTTCAGACACAAGAAAATGAGTAACTCCCAACCATTCAGGAACTATTGAAATCCAAAGAAAGAAGCACGCCGTTCACAGACACCATGTTATCTACCTACCAAGCGTGTACTCAACTGTGCTTTAATCACATCATCAACCACAAATGGACATTTTGATTGCTTTATTGCTTGTGTCACCATAGCCAACTCCTCGTTATTACATCCAGCCCAAACACTGTACCTTCAGTTTACTTCTCTTCTGTTAATCTCATTGGCTTCATCATTATATTGTTATATCTGTATGTTAATTCTATCTCATCGGCTTCGGGTAGAAATAGATCTGAGAATCAATTTATGAAATTCTATTTCAAACGAATAGTTTACACTGCATCATGGTTCAGACCGTATCTCAAATTCCATATGACACAAAACATTTAAAACAATTCTTAGGTCAGACATATCGTGTAAAATTGATATTTTATTTTGTCGTATCAAGGACATCATGGTGTCCGCTCTGATAGCTGGCACAATCATGGACGCCATTGCAGAGAAAACATATAACAGCAAGAAGAAAGCTGTACGAGAGGCAAATGCAAGGTCAGCTATTTATATGATGTTCGAGGACCATCTGTTTGATGCTGTCACACAGAGACTTATTATCAGAGCGAATCATTGTCTGGTTCACAGGTTGCGTAAAGCCTTTTCTATGTTTTACTGATCTATCGTTTCACCATGACCATTTGATACAACCATTCACCATGTTCTAGAGGCCTAACGCAATCTCTAGATTCCTCTAAATACCCATTGGATTTGAAACATATCAGTTATACACATGCTTCAGAGATTGCACACATGCGGTATTTTAATGGTGTATTTGTTGGTCAGTTGTTCTAACCAACCGATAGCATTAGCTGTGAACATACTGACTAATGTATATTTGGTAATACAGAAGCAATATTCGGACGAATATACGGATGAATATTATGCACAAAATAGTGGTGGAGTGTACCTTAAGTGCTTCATAATTGTACACTTCAAATTGTATGATTAAACATTTATTATAACGAATGGATATGAATCAGTGCGCATCTATGTTATAGTTTCTACCGATCACTGACAATCGGGACAATGGATGCGTGTTATTGGGATCACAAGAAGACGTCAGTGAAGCTTATCGAAAAGAGAATCAAAGACAACATCTGGAATATCGATTTCCTCGCCCTCGCCTTCGAAAGTAAAAACTCGAGTATATTCAAAAGTGAAGGCATTGTGTTCTATACCTTATCAAAGTGGTATGGCGACATTCCCAAATCTACATCTATACTGAAGGTTGGTTCAGCTTTTTTTCTAGAATGCCTTTAGCATTAGAGGTTCACAAGAGAACAGTCAACCATGTTGGATAAAGAACATCACAATGTGCTTTCTATGTAGTCTAGAAACAGTTGATTAATTGGCCTTAAAACAATTGTATATGTTTACAATATAAGTTTGTGAAATAATATGACGACATATTACGGGCCATACAGTGGGCCATGTGAGCACAGAGTGTGTTGGATATTTCGCTTCTTTGTGGAATGTACTTGTGAATGAGGTCTCAAAAGTGCTATATTTCTGTCACATCGAGCATTAATCATTGAATATCTTTCACCATATTACAGCTCATCGGATGTACGTTGTGTCCAGCCTTCATGTTTTTCTTACTGAAGAAGAAATCAGACACAGACAGAAAATATGACAGCCATGAGGGCCAATCCGGGGCGCCAGAGAAGACTACTACCACGTACGTTTGCACATAGGCATAAAAGCATCGAGGATTAACATTCGTTTTTGAGTACTCTCACTGAACCAAGTTAACCAAACAATTGATATTTCGCTATCTTGCTTTTGTTTCAAGGCGTTAGGATTGGCATTCGACTTTGCAAAAATAGTTATTCTCTTGTTGCACAGAAACATTTGTATCAGTTGAGATATTCATAACAAAGTGTAATGACATGTATAACACCATGTACTGTTTTCAAAACTTGATGTCATTGGAAAGGACAATAAGTGGTCAAGTCTGTTTGAAACAACTTCAGTTTTCTAGGGTTGATAAGGTTTGACTTTTGTCAAGGTCAGTCAAATCTCCTCAGATGACGTATAATTCCAAGATGTGGAATGTTTGAAGTAAATATAACCCTTGCGTATTGCAAGAATGTCAAACAATATTACACAAAACATTCGTTTGGAAACGTTGCTACATGTTATTTATTCAATATTTGTCCTTTAGTTATAGCGTAGAAAAGTATCAATGCTGGCAGCAACTGGTGACTGTCCTTGTTGACTGCTAACTTTCATTTACAGGTGAACTGCGGAGTAGTGTCACCATTTTCACAATTGGTGATAGTTTTACCTTGGTAAAGTGAATGAAGATCTACCTGCCCTGTATTTGCATGTCTTCTTATATATAACATAGGCTGTTTACTTTCAAGGAAGAAAGCGTGTGTTGGCTGCTCTCGTCTCGGAGCATATTATTCGACCCCAGTGATCAAGTACACATCGAACCTTGTAAGTGTGTGTGTGTTTAACGCTGCACCCAACGATATTCTACCTACATAAATAATCAGATCTTGAAGAGACAATCTCCTCGAAGATAAGAGCGACAAATACATTATCATAAACATTCGAAATTCAAAAAGCAGAGTCCATTTTATGATTGCGATTATATCATGAGCTATTTAATAGTGAGTCATTATGGTCGTGAAACTGTCGGAATTGCACAATCGATTTCCTTTGATTGTCGAAAGGGATTTGTCACTTTTTATCTACTTAACATAATAAAGTACTAGCTTCTTGTTTAGGGCGAACTATGGTTTCTGTCTGTATGTGATATGTGATACATCACTGGTGATGTTAATGGATTTCGCCTCAAACATTTTATATGATATGATAAATAAATGACATGTCATTGTCACAATAGTGGAGATTTGGCTTTAACGTGTTCTCACCCTCAAATGTAGGTCTTGTTAACAAAAGTGCGTTTACAAGCTATACCATCCTGCATATAAGCATGCAAGTAATACCACAACGGTGTACGCATTTGGATGTCGTAACAAGTGTAGTTTCGAATAATTGCTGTCTACGTTAATGAACAATGATTGTTAAACAGCAGCAGTTATGAATGTAACAGATATCATCCTGCAATATTGCCATTTCCTGGGGCTCAACATATTAACCTCCTGACACAATATTTTGAACAATACATAAAAGGTATGTAACATGTTGCTTTGCAGCTGATCTACTGTATTTTCCTCGGTCTGTATGCCCATTTCATGCTGATTGTACTCACAATGGATTTCAAATGGAACTGGGAGATCCCACTGCTCTTTTGGATGGTAGTTTTTCTTGTGGAGGAAGTCATACAGGTATGCTGACGACATTGTAATTAGCCATTACGATACTTTCATAGCCGCTTAAATATGATTTAACATATTTTTATTCAATGAATTTGGATCGGTAAACAAGCCAAAAGGTTTAAGTTAATACCTATCCAGTACAAGTTATAGTCATGAAGGCATTCAACAAAATAATACATGTTGATAAACTAAATACGTTAACAAGAGCAAGTGGTCATGGACAACGGTTTGGTGTAATGAGTAGAAAAATTAATATATAAGCGGGATCTATAGTCTCACGTTAGTTTAAACCTTTTGGAAGGAAGTATGTATGAATGTGCTGATTATACGATATCTAGATTAGTTGCATGGGGAAATATGCATTACCATTCAATTATATATACGCTTAAATATGAGTTTTGTTAAAATGAAACCAAGAGTATATTATCTTTTCTAGACATTTAGCCATATCCTCTGTATGATACAATGGTGAACTACACATCTTACAATTAATTGGCATGCACAATTACTAATAATTGCTATAGGGGCGGTCGGGTACCCTAGTGGTTAAAGCCTTCGCTCGTCACGTCGAAGACCCGGGTTCGATTCCCGAGATGGGTACAATCAATGTGTAAAGCCCATTTCTGGTGTCCCCCGTCGTGATATTGCTGGAATATTTCTAAAAGCGGCGTAAAACCATACTCACTTATTGAATTACTATAAATAATAAGATCTAATCAAATTTAGGTCACAATTCTACATATTTCCGCAATGTTACACACAGTAACGCTCGTAAATTGTCCCTTAAAAAGATGTGAACTTTAACGTTTAACTTTGTTGCGTCCCCACTTTGCATCCAGTGTTGATTACACAAGTAAAATAATCACTGAAATGTAAGTTATCGTATGTCATTAACTATTGAAAACTCTTGGTGAGTCTGGCGTTATACTTGTTCACAGATTGCACAACTCACGGAAGAACAACAGCAAAGATCAAGGAAAAAGCGTAGAGAAAAATCATCTAGCCGCTTGTCTTATAACAAGGCTATCCGACTTCACTTCCAAAATGAATGGAACATTCTGGACTGTGTTTGTGTTGTTGGATTCATCATTGGCTACATTTTGCGTTGCGTTCCAGCCACCTACGATTATGGACGTTTATTCCTCAGCATTAACTGCATGTGTTTTATCTGGCGATTCCTTCAAGCCTTCACTTTGAGCAAGACGATAGGTCCAATGTTGTACATGATGTTCAAAATGGTAGGCATTCATCAAACGGCTATCAGTTCAACGTGACCAAAATTTCATACTGCGCGACTTAACATCTTAAAAGAGGGAGCATGTTTTGTTGAGAGATAAAATACCCACTATAAATATTATTTGACTAACCACCTGCACGATAAATGTTACAGGTGAAAGACCTTCTGCCGTTCCTGGTGATCTTGTGTGTGGCGCTATTTTCCTATGCAGTTTGCACAGAAGCTATCCTTTACCCGAATTCAGTTTGGACAATCGACTTTGTTCTTCAAATCCCCGTAACCGCATTCTGGTTGATATTTGGAGAATTGGACTTCTTGGGAGAACTTGAAAGTATGATTAGTTAATTGTGTGTGACTAGGTGTATCGTGGAATCTCACATTTTCTATCACTTTTTTTTAGATATACCGAAACAAAAATGATTGACCATTTGCTTCAAAATGAATAACTAATTCCCCCTATTTGCAGCCTGTACCAAACCAATATGTCCCTCGAACATTGGAAGAAGATGGGTTCCATATTTCACGGCAGTGTACATGATTATGACCAACGTCTTGTTACTGAACCTCATAATCGCACGATTCAAGTGAGTATACATTTACAAATCAGAAGGGACTGATTTAAGGCTTTGCTGGTATGTGTTTTTTAAGTCTACAATGCTTTGAAATATCACATAACAAGGATATATTATTGGCGATTAGTTTGAAACGCTGATCACAAATTCATATTTTACAATATGTTACCCATTACTGTACAAAGTAAAAGTAGCTACGTTATCTCAATGCATCGTGGCCTGTCGTCTCAATGAGTGACATGCCAATTTCTCGTTGCTTTCAACCACAGTGTTGTCATACACACATACTTTGGTATGTCTTTCTTATCTACTCATATTTCTGTCTATGTACATGGAGGAGTGTAGGCAATAATTTGTCACTGGGATTTTGTTTTTATGAAAAATATATGCCTTTCCAGTTTCATGAAATCAATTCAGGGTCACTTGTTTTAACGCATCACTATATATGCGTGGGTATATATTTTGTGAACATCGGGATAGAACACGTTTACTGAATTTCCTTTTTGTAACTCACCTTACAAAGAATTACCAAGTAAATTGTTGCATACTTATGTGTTTGTCTTTCTCTACATTCAGCCACATATTCGAGGAAGTAAGAGGAAACACGGACGAAGTATGGGCAAGACAGAGGTGCCGTCTCATGTTGGAATATGAAAGTAAACCACCTGTACCTATTCCCTTCTCCATTTTGTGGAGGATGATTTCTCGCCTTTGTTCTTGTCGGTGCAAATGCAACCGTAAGTGCATTCATCCAAACTGTTGTTGTTTCTGAAACGCTAAATGCGGATTATTTCAATAATACGATATCTCAATAATTTCTCTGTGTGAATGTTGTTGTGGGAAAACTGAAAGGAAATTGCAGACAATTTCTGATTACTATAGGTTAAATGATTAAGATCGGATTATCACCGTAGCTTATAAACATAAAAACATAATGTAAAGGGTAGGCATTCAATCGAACGTCAAGCCCATCAGAGGTGAGGTGAAACGGGGTTTAACATCGCGTCCAAGATTATTGCACTTACATAGCGACGTGCATGCACGTGTGTGTGTTTGTGTGTGTGTGTGTGGTGGTGGTGGTGGGGGGGCTGCTTGTACTAGTCCGGACTAATGCCGATTTTGTAGTACTAGCCCACTGAGACATCATGAGGCAGTTTAACATCAATTCCCTAATCAGACAGAGTAAACTGACTCCGAGCCGACCAGTCCTTGCTTTAGCCCCTTAGTGCCGGGCGCCAGGCAGGGTAACAACAAGTACCATCTTTTAAAGTCTTTTGGTATGACGCGGCTTGGGCTCGAACCCCGGACCTTCTGCTCTCCGGGCGAACGCTCTACAACAAGACCACGAAGGTGGTAAACCGCCATAAGAAGTAAAGAGAAACCTTAGATAGATAATATAATTTATGAGGTTCCAAAGAGAATATCCTTGTGCTGCATCTCATAGGGCTTCACTTCGATCGACAGACCGTGGTGTGACTGAAATACTTTATACAGTGTTTAAAACGACCTCAAACTCAATTCTCTCATGATATCTCAGACATTACTAGCGACAACAATGTTGTCCTCGATACCATGTGACTGTGGTATATAGAACCGGTATGTTTCAGGTGGAAAAATGAAACAACACCCAGGTGACGATAAGACGGATGTTGCTGTAACGCCTCCGCGGGAGGATTACAACGAAGACAACTGTGACACTCAGACGACAGATTTAAACATTCCAGATCATGGTAGTACGTGTAGATGCATTTGCCTTCAAACTCCGATCATTCGTGAATGTATTAACCAGATAGCAATGTGTAACATAGTCGTCTTCGTATTCTTTTGGTTTCGTATTCCCAGGTTAGTGTCCATCCTTGCTGCTGCATGCAGCCCTAAAAGCGTGTTCACCACGGTGGTTAGGTACCCACGGTAAAAGGAAAGTTCGCTGACAGTGCTTTTAATAATGTCACTAGGATTGGTGTAATCTATGAAACAACGAACGATGAACTTACTCATCCGCATCAACCCTGGTTCAGAGAATGGTCGACATTACAACAATAACGAATCAAAACTGTTTCTACTTATCTGAAACATTTCTCTGTTCTTTTTCGTAAGTCTCTGATATGTAAGATTCATGTAAACGCCAACCATTGGGTCAAACGTTTTGTTTACTGCAAGAATATACTTACATCCCCTTACAAAATGGCCACCGAATTGATCCGATCAAAGAAGAACTGATATCCCTATCCCTTTTTATTATTTAACATATATCATAAGTTCCAAGGGAACACCAGGCTACTGTTAACATAGATGCATGAAGATAGATATCCAGGCAAACTGGTGAATGTATGAATGCCATGTTACGTGTTTAACGCTTAGAGAGGGGATTGAGTCTTTTTCGAAATTCCTCATTCCAAGAATGGCATGCTGCTTATCACAGAGGTGCAAGACATCAGTTCAGTAGGCACTTATTATTTACATAGCACATACAAAGAAAGAATATGTATAAAGTAATGCCAATTCATAAAAACTCCAATCCTTTGTATTTGGACTTTTACCAACATAGGCAGATGTAGAACCCTAGCTGCTGCTGAGCAGAGAATAGCTTCTTGGTTTTCAACCATTTTCAATGCCGGTTGGTTCAATTCAATGTGACAAATGGCGATATATCTCCAATATTGGTGAAAGCGTCGTCTCATTCACTCTTTTTCAGATGAAGAGCTCAGTATAGACTATAGCGAGGGGGAAGGGCCAATTGAACCACCCGTTACAATACTTCCAGGCCAGTGCAACATATGTAAGTATTGATGTCATAAACACAATGTATGTTGAAGCGGATTGTCAGAGACTCCTACCCATGTGACTCATCATCATATCTTCATGTTGTTTATTTATGCATTTTGACGAGGATTGTTATATTTAGTTTTACATAACAATTAAAATGTATTGTATTTAATAATCTTAGTAATAATATTATCTTATAACCCTTTCACCCAAAGTTTTCTTGCTTATGATGTGTCCATGCTTTTATCGTCCAAGGCACCTCTTAATAAGCGACAGGTCGCTTAGTGTGACCATAGAGGCTGAAATGATAAAACCGCAAGATAAAACCGCAGCACAATTTTTTCTGAATGTTAATCAAAGTTTTCATATTTATTCCAATAAGTCATCGACAAGTGCTACGTTTATTTTTTAACAAATACGTCGGATAATTGTTCTAGCTGAGACATCTGATGGAGATGGTGTTGGCGGTTACCACCAAAACCTGGAAGCTGCAGATGTTGGTGGTGATGAGGAAAGTCAACTGAATGAGGAAGGCGTCAGCGAGCAATCAGGTATAATGTGCATGAGGCTTATTTCAATGGTCGTCAGAATGTCCTGAAATTGAGTGAGTGAGTTTGGTTTAAAGCCTAAAGTCCTGACATGTGATTTTTGGTACCGTGTAGATACTCAAATTACTGAAACCGATGCCACAGCCGAAGATGTGGATGCTCAAGTGGATCACGAAGATGACTCTAACCAGCAGACCTCGGAGACTCAGCAAGATGAAAACTATGATAATGGGGGTAACAATGGTGAGTCACTGACAGAGGTTCAAAAACAGGTAAATTTGGTCTTCCAATCATTCAATATACGTCCAGATATCAACCGTTTGATGAATCCGTACTGTTTGTTTGCACGGATACAACATAATGAGTGCATAATCCCGGTTCTGCTGATACCCAGTTGATCAAGGTGATGCGTATTGGTTAAGTACTTATTTCTAAGCGTCCAGAGAGTGCAGATGACTCTCACGTGAAGACATGGTGGGAACAAATTCTGAGTGAAAGTTATTTTAACGGAAACGTATCCGAAAGATTATTAAATGCTGTACATCTTGGTCAAATTCATAATTGACCCTCCTCAGTTAACACAAGCACAGTTACAAGTAAACAGTCGTAGGAAAGGCTGTTTAATATCCCGAAAACCTGGACAATCTAGGTTTTAATGTTTTCATATTTAATACAATCTATCCATATTTGGCGGTTATCATGTAGATGCACAAACAGCCGAAATAGTATAGGAAATAGTATGTCTGGTGTAATTCAAGAGTTGATATGAACCATACTGTTCATTGTTACTGATACAAAGAAATACATCCATAATGTTTGTTTTGGAGTGACTGGAGCAGACTGATAGAGATGATTGGAAGCCAGTGGATTAATTGGTTGCACAAAGGGATTTAGCAATTAGGTGATGGAAACATCCAGGCCCCTACCCATTAGAATAAAAGAACACAAGACCTCAGTACAAAGAAATGACTCAAAATCATCCATCTCCGACCACACCCAAACCCACCCCGACCACAACATCCAGTGGAACAACATCAAGATCCTGGCCAATAATCAGTCAGACTACAAAATCAGAAAACTCCTAAAAGCCGTCTACATCAAAAGGATCCAGCCAGCAATGAACAGAGATCAAGGCTACTACATCCCGCCTGCTTACCATCTCCTAATTGCTAAATCCCTTTGTCCAACCAATTAATCCACTGGCTTCCAATCATCTCCATCAGTCTGCTTGCTGACTCGGTGTCCATTAGACAATTCACTGGCTTCTAATTCACTGATCCTTATCCACGAAAGTCGAAATTTATTTTCAGACTACTATGGTTACTATGGAAGTGATTCGGAAGTTTGTTCTGACGATGACATGGACATGGAATACGCTCGAAGTCAAGAAGGAACAGAAACACAAAATGATGAAAATAAAAGAAAGGGAGAAATGAATCTGGATGAATTCGAGAGGGCAAATGCTGAACTATACCTTCACGAAAGAGTTAAGCTTGCAAATTAATAATGTCTTGATTCTGCAGGACATATGTTGAAAACCAGTACAAAATATATATCGGGAGCAGCAAATGACATAAAAAAATACGCGATCTCAAGTGACAAATTCAGTGTTCCATCATCTACACGTTGATTTAACGTGTGACGCAAAACAGTGCTGACACTTCACAAAATGTTCACTTATGTGCACTGCCTTTGTTTTGATTTTAGACATATGTAGATATGACGCAAAACTGTCATTGGTCCTTCTTATATTTTCTTTCATTTAATTGTGATGATGTAAAGTAATTATAGTATTTCCTCTGTCTTTAGATATGAAGCATAAATGTGCACTCCTCTAGATATTGTCTTTGTTTTTATATTAGATATATGTAAACAAGGCGCAAAACTCTCATTGGTCATTCTTGTATGTTCACACAATTACATTTTGATTAAATGTTGTTCGTCACATATACTTATGACTCATGACTGTATACTTATCTAGATATTGACTTTATGTGCGTGTCTTTATCTTGAGATATATGAAGAGATGATGCAAAACTTGCATTGGTCGTTCATGTATGTTGACTCATCTCAAATTTGATTTAATGTATTTTTCTTGTTTTTTAGATATACACATGATGCATAGATGTATGTACTCATCTAAACACTGACTTAATGTACGTTTCTATCTCGTTAGGTAACTGTAGATATGATGCAAACTGCCATGGTAGTTCTTGTATGTTGACTTATCTGAATATTTATTTCATGTATATTTCTTGTTCTTTAGATATACAAACATGTATGATGCATAAATGTACACTCATCTAAAAACTGACTTAATGTACGTTTCTATCTCGTTGGGTAACTGTAGATATGATGCAAACTGTCATGGTAGTTCTTGTATGTTGACTTATCGGAATATTTTTGTTCTTGTTATATATGTCTGACGCAAACATGTACACTCATCTAGATACTAACTAAATGTAAGATTCTTAAAGTTGATACATGTAGATGTGATGCAAAAAATGGAATTGGTCCTGTTCATAAGTTTTTATCTGAAGTACTTCTCTTGTATTTTAGATATGGGACATAATTGTACACTCATCTAGATATTTATTTGTATATGTACTTCTCTCCATCTTTAGATATATGCAAATGTGACGCAAAAGGTCATCCGTCCCTCTTAATGTTTACGCATTTAAATATTGACTCAATGGTTTTATCAGTTGTTTTTGATGAATGTAAATATGACGAGCAACTACACAGATTTACTATTTACTCTGTTAGATCTTGATTTAATGTGTGTAATGCGTAATAAGGTCTTGGTTTTAAATATATGTTGGTGTGACCAACACTATGCACGAACATTTCTTCAATGTTAAATATTGATTTAAAGCAATGTTTCAGACGAACTATCTGGATAGACACGCATAGTGTGAAGGGATTAATATGTATAACGCCAAACTATGCACTAGTATATTGTAGATGTCCAGTTGATAAGATACTTGAAGGTACCATATTGATTAATTGGGCGGCATCTAGTATGACATATGATTTAGATTTGTTCATGTCAGTAAAAGGAAAATAGTACTTGTTTTTTATAAAACTTTAAATGATACAAAATTCGAGTTGTGAAATATTTTAAGAGTATTCTTATCAAATACAACAAGGTTTAGAAATTCTGATACAGATTTGATGTGTAGCAACATTATCGGATTCTGAATATTTTTCAACTTTTAAAATAATTGGTAAAGGTTCACAATCTTTGAAACTCTTTGGATACATAAACCTTCATGATGATATGTAGGACCATACAGTGAAGTGGATTTGTTATGTAATGCTACTATACATTAATTTGTTTTATTCAAATTGAACAAATATACTTCAATTCTGGAACATATTTTAGCATTATCTTCTCAGAAACTAAACGTTTCACGAGGGCTGATGTTTTTTCGTAGGATATATATTTCTGCAACGGTTTACATGTGCCGTATATCACATACAATGTGACTGTGGCGACTCCTATGCAGGAGAAACATCCAGGCCCCTACCCATTAGAATAAAAGAACACAAGACCTCAGTACAAAGAAATGACTCAAAACCAGCCATCTCCGACCACACCCAAACCCACCCCGATCACAACATCCAGTGGAACAAAATCAAGATCCTGGCCAACAACCAATCAGAATACAAAATCAGGAAACTCCTAGAAGCCATCTACATCAAAAGGATCCAGCCAGCAATGAACAGAGACCAAGGCTATTACATACCGCCTGCTTACCATCACCTAATTGCTAAATCCCTTTGTCCATCCAATTAATCCACTGGCTTCCATCATCTCTATCAGTCTGCTTGTTTACTCTGTGCTCATTAGTCATCAACTGGCTTCCAATTATCTTAATCAGCTCTCTGTGTCGATCAATCATTTACTGTATACACTTTGATGTCAATAAGTATATATACCTATGTTGTTAAGGACTATCCGACCTTACTTCATATCAGATAATTAAACAACTACCACCCAAACTACTCCAAACCCTTCTGAAACTCTTTTACCTCATATATCTAAACGGACAGGTCCCATCACCTTGGAAACAAGCCCTGGTCATACCAATCCCCAAACCCAATAAACCAGCTGACCAGGCTAATTCATACAGACCAATCTCCCTAACTTCTAACTTATGCAAAGTAATGGAATCAATAGCAAAAAACAGGTTACAACACTACTTTGAACAAAACAACATAATAAATCCAGACCATCTTTCTAGACTTCTCCAAAGCATTCGACATGGTTTTGCATAACGGGCTAATACAAAAACTACAAAAAATAGGTCTTAAAGGTCAAATTATTAACTACATCCAAAGTTTCCTAACAAACCGCAAAATCACCGTGGGCATAGACCAAACGCTATCGGACCAATGTCCCCTAGAAAATGGCACTCCCTAGGGCAGCATCCTAAGCCCAACACTCTTCAATATTATGATTAACGATCTATTCGAGGGACTATCCCCCAAAGTAAACACATCAAAATTCGCGGATGATGGAGCCCTCTGGATCCGCACTAAAAGCATTAAAATGGCCCAAAACTTACTACAAAAATCTCTAAATAAAATACAAAAATGGGCTGAAAAATGGGGCTTCTCCCTAAACTCAGAAAAAATCACAGGAATAGTATTTAAACACAAAAATATGCAACCCGCCTCCCTAAACCTCCAACTAAACAACAAACCAATCAAATTCCAAAAGCAAACCAAATTCTTTGGATTAATCTTCGATGAACATCTCACCTGGGATGCTCACATTAAAAACCTAGTAACCAGATGCAGCAAAGACCTAAACACGTTAAGATGCCTAACCGGTTCCAACTTGGGGGCCTCTAAAAACACCCTCCTCTCACTTTATATATCACTAATTAGATCCAAACTAGACTATGGCAGTGCCATTTACGACACCTTAAACAACTCTCTCATTAAAAAACTAGACTCAATCCAGTATCAGGCCCTAAAAATAATCACACGAACTCAACATGGCACCTCCTCCACCTCACTCCAGGCCTTAACAGGAGAAATGCCACTTAAACTACGTAGGGAACAACTTACCCTAAACTTCTGGTCCGCGTCCCAATCAAACCCTCTAATCGAAAACTTAATAAAAAACAATATTACCTCTAGAAACCAAACCCTAGCCCGGAAACATCCACTACTTACTCCAATTTCCCAAAGAATAACCAATTACCTAAATGAACACAAAATAAATAATCTTAAACAAAACAATAAATCATCCAATATCTTCACTCCAAAACTTAAAATACCAAAATTAGCAACACAACACTAGCCGATACACTAAATAAACAGACCGATCCTAACATCGCTAAAACCACCACACTAGCATACATACATGAAAATTGGCCAAATTGGTGTCACATATACACAGACGGATCCTCAGATCCGATCTCAAAACACACAGGTTTCGGAGTCCACATCGCACAACCAACCAAAAACACACAATCTTACCGACTCCCAAACAACCAATCCATATTCACGGCCGAACTAATGGGCATGGCCTCAGCACTACACAGTCAGCAATCTTAAAAAGATAAAAAAATCCTCTTCCTACCCGACTTCCTCAGTGGACTACAAGCCCTCAAAAATAAAAACACTAAAAACCACCCCAAACTAATAAATCAAATACTCAATAGCTCAAACAACTTAACTAAGGTAGGTAAACAAATAGAGTTCATTTGGATCCCCGCCCACGTAGGAATCTTTGGAAATGAAAAGGCAGATAAAGCAGCAAAATTATCCCTTAAACTCCCAGAAATAAGCTTAAACTTACCCAGCTAAAAATCAGAAATCAAAAGTGTAGCTAAACAAAAAATCAACAAAAAATGGCAAAATATATACTAAAACTCAAATAGCCAAATCAGGAAAGTACTCAAAAAAAACCTAAATAAACGAAAAATACTACACCCATCCAAAAATATCGACAGAATAATTACTAAACTACAAAAAGGCCACACCAAACTAAATAATCACCGTAAAATAGCTAATCTACACACAACAGGAAACTGCCCACATTGCAAACAACAAGAAACACCAGAACACGTACTCATTCACTGCACACACTACCAAACACACCGAACAACACTACAGACCACCCTAAATTTAAAACCGGATTTACACTAGAATCAATCCTAAATCCACAAAATAAATTAGAAAAATTCAAAGCCTTAGGCATATACCTAATAAAAACAGGACTAATTAGTCGCATTTAAACCCCAAATAAAATATTAAAACCAAAACTACCTGATCTAACAACCACCCAACACACACAGCTCCCTTCGTTCGTCCCCCACCCACTCTTGGCATTCTTTCCAAAACTCAAAATTTCAAAATTACTATATAAGCAACCCCTAAAGCCCCCCTCCTTGATTGCACAAACTCACTTTTCCCCTTTTTGGAAACACATTAAATGGCTTGGCCGGGCCCGTGTGCGACATACGCTTGCAGTCGGAAAGCGCACGTTAAATCTCCAATATAAGTAAGTAAGCACTATCCATCACTTGCTTGATAAAGGTGTTAGGATCTACACCGAAACGTCGCACTAATTGTAATATAGAAGTTGTTCATCCATAGAACTTGTCTTTCTACAGTGATGTGATCCCGATAGTACTGACCTGTGACTCCGCCATGGACAATATGGAGCGCACTTCACCAGTCATTGTGATTCCACTCCATACTATAACCCACACCCAAAACGATGTATTGTACGGCGATGTCCATAAAACGCTCAAAGCCTCGGAGTTTTCCCACTTTTATCAACTCGTGTTGATATATTTGATATCAAAAGACACTCTGGTGAGATTCTCTATTTCTCAACATTATTGAGGATGTTTCGAAAATAACTTCTAAGAAACTTTTCCAAAATGCGGTGATATTTTGCAAAAATGTTACAATAACACTCAAAAATTACACTGGTAATATCCAGTTCTGCAACATCAAACACTACAAAATAAAATCAGGTCACGATGAATTATGAGATGACAGAAGATTGTACAACATATACCATTAACTTCATATTTTATTGTACACCATGAACAAAATTGCTTCGGTGCTGTGTTTAACTTCAAATAATCCATAACTTGTCAAAATACCCAAGTCTTATTTTACCTCAAGTAAAGTTCCTTTCTCAAAGCACTGGATATTTATATGACATGTGTATGGTTCCAGAATAATTGTCGATGTCACAAAATTCGGACCTGGTTTATTTATAAACAAATGGCACACTATCGGTTGAATTTTACAAGTATCGTTGTTGAGCGTAATATGCTGTTCAAATGTTTTAAGCCCAATAACTCGTATTATGAGTGGTTCTGTATGTTGATATATCATTGTACTTCATCGACCTTTTACCAAACCAACTATTCATCAACCAACCAGTTTATTTTATCAACGTTAAAGATGTAAGTAAAATGCAGTGTCGTGTCATGATTTTAGTGTATATTCTTGCTTACTCTCGTTCAATGTAAAATCAGAAATATTTTTAGTGACAGAACCTCATGGGTTGATCAAACTCATTTGCCGCTGATGATGTCACTATCCGGAAGGCATTACGGAGAGGAATTGTCCGCATCCCCCAGTCGCCGTTGGGTGTTGTGGCACGTGGTGTACCCGTTTTGGGCCTCTCTGGTGTCTAACCTGTCCAGCCTATCCGCATATATCAGGTTTGTGACGGAAACAGTTGAAGGCCTTGCTACATAGGCGTGAGATCGTGTCCTTCGGTATCATCCCTATGGCTCGTTTCGCTGATCGGCTGCCAGCCTCTGCATTGGTCGGTTGTGCTTTTACATCAATGCACGATGCCACCGTCTAGTTTCGATGATGGCCTACTGTATATACCTTTCACGAACTCTTGTGGTCATGTTGTTTTAAAAAATGTTGCTCTTCGTACATGCTTTTTACAATTATCAAGCAGTGTGGTACGTTGTTTCGAATGGGAGTATTGTTCTTCAATAAATTGGATTCGATAATATCTATTGTATTTGGGACATTCCGCTTTCAATGTGGTAAAGTCGGTATACATTGTTAAACAGTTTATAGTTTATTTTTTCTCTTCAAACATCAGGCGGTGGTACACAGGATAAAAAAACCAACATGTTCACATAAATTATTATTATTATTATATGACAAGATGACAGCATGGGTATATAATATATCTTTCCTGTTTTGTATTTTCTTAAAGCCTTTAATATTTCATCGATAAATCTCGATAGGTTCTTATGATCTCTGGCGTTGTGACTGGACATTAACCTCTTGAATGTGTACAAATTAGTCCATTTATTCTGTTAAGCACTTTGTAAATACACAGGGCTATGTTTTAACAGAGCCTGGTATCTACACAAATAATATAATTCGTCTGCAACTGAAGGAGAGTTCACACACAGGATCTGCTTCTTTTACATTACTCCAACGACCAGTTTAAATTGATAAATTATTGTCACTCTCAATAATTTCTGGATTTTCGTAACCCCATATTTCTAAACCTTATAACCGAGATAACTCAATCGAGAGGTAAATAAATATTCCTGGCGCTCTTCAGAAGACAACTGTCTTTCTTGGCATTAGAGGCAAAACATTAAATTGCGCTTACCATCCTTCGATTGCTGTGGAAAGTTACATGTAGCTCAGGTAAACTTGGCTGTCAACTATTTCGATATGAACTGGAGTTTTTAATTCATATCATATCGTGTCATTCTTTTTGTTTTTGAAATGTTAAAATAGGTTCCATTTAGTGCAGTATATTCTAAACGAGTCAGCTGGGCATCTAATACGACTGCATCATCAGAATACACATCTTCCCGAGACCAGTTTCCACCCTTGCCGAACTAGGCTGGAATTGCTGGGCTCGATCGTAGCGCCACCAGTGGCTATTACCAGTTATGTCCCTTCTGAACCTCTCCTATGGACCAATCAGATTCCACTTCTCGTAGCACTTGCGTTTGCTTCACACAAAATGGTGGCGCCGAGTCAGGATGATCTGATCGATAATCAAGATCTATATTGTGATAAAAGGGTCTTACATCGCGAAATGCATCAAATCACGTGAGCACCTTGATTAAAAACATGAACAGATTTGGAAAATATCTGCTGACAGTTTACGAACCGGATTTCGATTTCGAGCGCGATTTTGATTGGACTATGCATAGACTCGTTAGTCCAGCCAAAATGTAACTCCATAATACCAGCCTAGTTCGGCAAGGGTGGAAACTGGACTTTTATAGTCAGTTAACGCTCTTGCCTCGGGAAGATGCAGAATACAGTAGTTTTATAAATTGTAATAATAGGGTTGCATCATCACCAAGATTGTAATCAACATTTACACCATTACAGTTATGTTCCAATAGAGATTGCCCAAGGTCATTCATATACAATGACAATAGTAATGGGGATAAATTTTCTCTTTGTCGAACTCGTGAAAGGCTTGGGAAAAATCTGATGTTTCATTCTTACTAAAACATATGATTTAATACCGCTGTACAATGTTTTAATTAGAATTAGAAATTTACCAGTGACGACACTTTTGATTTGTTTTTGCCAAAAACCTATTATCCACACTTTGTCAAAGGCCTTGGTAAATCATTTATGTCTATATCCAACGCTTCAGGTATGTGTTACTCTATGGTACAGTGGTCACATAGGTTACTCGTGTCAGCTTTGAAATCGCCCATCAATACGACATAATCACTAATCATAGGATAAAGTGTTTAATATGGAATGTTCAAGTTCAAAGACTTCTTGTCGTAAAAGGCGACTATATGAATCGAGAGGTCAGGTTCCGTGACTTGGTGGATTGCATGTCATCGTTTCCAAATTGGATAAATTTTATGCTCATGATGTCAATCACTGAATTCTCCGTTCCAAATCCGAATATTCACAGAATGCCGTCATATAGCTGGAATATATTGGATTTCTTCTTTGAACAGCTGAATAGCTGTTACGCCCAACCCTAAACATGTTTAGATCCTCACCATGGATTCAGGATATGTTTAGGATTTAAAACATTTTGTGTTTTGAGTGTAAACACAATGGATAAGGTATTAGTCAGTTCCTGATTGACAGGTTCTCTTGCACAATGGGTGCTTCCATCGTAACTTTCAAGGAGCTTGTCAATTATTACTATGGAATACAGGAAAGTGTTCATTGCAGGAATACAGTATGAAATATATTCAGAAGATATATAAAGAAATATAAAGTCACAGGCTTTTCTTCCTGAGCATATACAGAGACCATATACCGATATATATATATACCTTATACATATATCGGTATATGGTCTCTGGCATATATCATTCAAGGGACCGCCTCCGACTATGCTTGTCGTAAAAGGCGACTAACGGGATCGGGTGGTCAGGCTCGCTGACTTGGTTGATGCATGTCATCGATCCCAATTGCGTGGATCGATGCTCATTTTATTAATCACTGGATTGTCTGGTCCAGACTCGATTATTTACAGACCGCCGTCATATAGCTGGAATATTGCTGAGTGCGGCGTTAAACAACAAACCAACCAACCAACCAACCTCCGTGGACTCGCTATTCAGCGTCTGCCCGGGGGACGTTGAGTTAGCCCAGAACCATTTGTATAGCATTGTACATTCAAACTATAAATAATATTGACCAAGGGAGTTTTTATAACATTTTTCTAATTAAAATTGCTCGTTTATCCAGTGTATTAAAGCCCAGTTCTGTTAGCCGATGGAAATACGTAGCGAAACGCATAATTTCTTTGTTTTCTTAGTGGTATGTTTCTAATAAATAAGAGTTACTTCCCCTAAACCAAATTTTATTATCTTGCCAACAGAAGAGTTACCAAAGGCGGGAGTTCATATTTTTTCAATAAGGAACAAACGATATTTGTGATTATTGGAAATATCATTTCAGTGACATGATTTATTCTACAAATCCGACACCTGAAGGTGTTGGGAAACTGTTGTCAGAACCCTCCGAGACACATTCGTATGTGAGAGAAGCTACCAAGGTGGTAGATCACAACGACAGGTTTCGCGTGAAAGATAGAAACTTCGGCAGACAGTATGCTCACCTGTATGCAGAAAGACTGTTGACGATGAGACCGAAATTAACCGCAGCTGCCAAAGATAAATGGGGTAATACTGCGTTAATACGTGCATGTGCATAATGCGCCATATAAACATATACACTCAAAAATTATAATTAAAAGCAACAGATCTAAAAGCAACGATCTGTTGCTTCGCCCTCGGTATTATGAACCGTCAAACACATTATCCTAGTGTTCTCTGCGGAAAGGTGCACAAGGGGGTTATATTATTTTAACTTACAATGTGTGACTGGCTGCTTATGTGTCAGTGTGTTTTATCAGCGTGGACCATTGTTCATGCTGTCAAACAGTGGTTAGCCTGACTGCATAATATACAGACTACCTTGGCCCGATACAGCTACAGTATTCTGATGGCAATGTTTAACAGCATAAGCCTACTTGGCCATCAAGGAAATGGGGGTGTCAACAGACACAACTAGTCGGGTAGACCTTACAATATGTAAATAGCAATGCGTTTATACCCCAGTGTACATTAGTAAATTCTCACTAGTAAACTTGACAAACACAGCAGAACATTTTTGTGTCAGACTTGGATGTGTCGAGGTTCCCGGTTGTCTCAAATCAGATGTTGGCCCCTGCCAAGTCCTTCTCTATTTATCATCATATTCTTATAAGATCTGTCGAAATGGATGTGTCAAATTCCTGGTTGTCCAGAACCCATTTGAGAGCCCCAAGTATCCAAAATAAGCATGAAATTCGCCTGTCATCATGACTCGGAACAGATACACATATAAACATGATAAAATAATGTCTACACACCCACACTTGCCAAACTTTGACATCACTTTAAAAAACTGACTGTGACCTCACTGTGATTGGCGCAATTGCAGCACATACAGGACGCCTTCTAAATGCCTGCCAGTATCCAATCAAGCATTATTATAAGCACATCTTACATCCACTGTGCAAGCTGATTACTGATACACATCAGCAGCAAGTTACTGAAGTGTTCTCACATAACTGCCATTGATATGTGAAAATTGAGAAATGAGTAAACGGATTAAGATTATTATGTTAGGCCCCCATCACTTGCAGCAGCCTGGGCAACACTAGACACTTTTTGAGCGTTACTACTTTATTGCCCTGCTCAACAAAAGACAGACTGCTATGCCAGACTTTTTTCAATTGTAAACAAGTCTGTATTATTACAGTTAATATTACCTACATTCTACATGTATTTTATCATGTTATAAGTGCTCTGTGGTCATGGTGGCATGCAGGAAAACAACTTCTCTCATAAACTGTATCACTGATTTTCTGTTGCCTGACCCTAGAAACTTGGGTGGTCGGGTCAGACCTGTGGTTAGTCGCATGATATGTCAGGACTTTTTTCAGTATATTGTTTAATGACAATAACAATAAAACTCCATGGCTACACTACTCGTCGCTTATGTTTGCATTTCTTTCTAATTATGCACACATTCCTTCTGACTTTTATATGTTAGAGTAAAGATGAAGTTTTGATCATCTTTAGTGTATGCATGATCACATAGTTTTATACCTGTATCTAAATAGTTTTTGCCATCATTAAAGAAAACAATTCCCTATTGACATTTTCTGCCAAACTCTTTAGGCCCACAGTGGGTATGTGGCTAGGGTCGGGTAATAGTAAATTTGAACTCATCCCCACAACGTCCACTCCCAACCAGCACCATACCCGTGCTCGTGGGGTTCACCGAAGTGGTAAACATCTGAGACCTGCATCACTTCGGGTTTTCCTCCCACATTAAGCTGACACGCCGCGATATGACTGGAATACTGTTAAAAGCGGCGTTAAACCCAACTCACTCACTCACTCACTAACATGGTAAGGTGCAAGGGTTTCTGTCGTGTTACCATGGTTACCATCTCATCCTATTTGTTGCCCATTCACTTTAGTTTAAAACAAACCGCATCTCAAATAAAGTTACTTGTGTATATTGTATGGATATACCATGTATACAGCATTTTCTTTTTCTAAAACATTTTTTAGCATATTCAGCATTGTTTAGTGTTTAAGATTAGAATTCTATGTTTCTAGGTGCTGACATCAAAGTTAGGAAGCTGCATGAACTGAAGAGTGATGAGAAGTGTGTGGTGATCGGAACTCTCTTCAAACATATGGAACTCAAACCAAGTATTCTCAAGGAAATTAGTGAAGAGGTGAGCATGAGATGCAGCTTTCCCTCCTTCATTCACCATTACATATCAGCTGTCCTTCATATCACTACATGTAGCTACCAATAACTGATGGCAAGTTCATATGCATGATGTTGGCAGCCATTTTGTCTTCCTATACAACAATGGCTGTGCTCTAGCAGGGATCATCTGGATCTGCTTGGAGGTGATATTCGACCCCCAAGCCTACAACCAATGTCATTAATAATTCCCAAGTTGGAATTATATATTTCCCAATTCATGTGATAACCATGATAACTGGTAATTAAGTTGAGGGCATGTTGAGGTAACTAGGCTGGTATTATGGAGTTACATATAATGCATAGTCCAATCAAAATCACGCACCGAAATCGAAAACCGGTTCGTAAACTGTCGTGCAGATTTCGGTCGATTGCAGGATTTGCAATGCATGTGCACCGCCAACTCGTTGTCAGCAGATATTTTCCAATTTTTTTCATGTTTTTAATCAAGACACTCACGTGATCTGATGCATTTCGCGATGTAAGATCCATTTTATCATAATATAGATCTTGATTATCGATCAGATCGTCCTTACCGGGTGCCACCATTTTGTGTTAAACAAACGCAAGTGACAAGAGAGGTGGAATCTGCTTGGTCCATAGGAGAGGCTTAGAAGGGACATAACTGGTAATAGCCACTGGTGGCGCTACGATCGAGCCCAGTAATTCCAGCCTAGTTCGGCAAGGGTGGAAACTGGACTTTTAAAGTCAGTTAACTCTCTTGCCTCGGGAAGATGTCTGATAACAGGACCAATAGAGAGGAAGAGGTTTTAACACTTAGTTTTATGTTATTGTATTGAATGCAGTTTCAAAATACAATGTTAAAATAACTCTGAATTAAAGAAAATATCAAATTTCAACTAAATAATAATTTTTTTCCCAAGTTGCATGCCATGGGCACTTAGTTAAGAATATGTGTCTAGATAAGCAGCATATATACATTAAGTACAGAAAATAAGTCCCCCATTGCCCGATTCAATGGGAATACAGTAAACTATGGTTATAACGAACTCAAAGGGACCACTAATTTTAGTTCGTTATAACCGTTGTTCGTTATAAGCATATATATACAGCATATACAAAGGCCGAGACAAAAAGCCCAGTTTGTTATATCCTTCAGTTCACTATAAGCATGTTCGTTATAAACATAGTTTACTGAAGTTTGCTTAGACAGTGTACAAATCTGTGCTGATAAAACGCCATGGCCACTAACTCATTAGTCCGAGACTAGTAACAATCTAGTTGTTTCCCCCAAAATCTAGTAAACTCACATAACCTCTAGTTCAAAATCAGCTGAAGACTAGCTGGACATGACCAATGGTGTCTATATGAACACACAATGCCGTTTGGACAGTGGTCAGATGTAACAAATGTTACAGTTAGGATAACACTTTCTTAGTAAAGGACAGATTCTCGTAGACAACCAGTTGTCAGACCTTCATTTCTGTGGAAGCCTCGGTGGCTGAGTGGGTTAGATTGCTGACTTTGTGTGCTGGCGATTAGGTGCCACACTCTGGCAGTGTGGGTTCAAATTCCTGGATGGGACTCAACCCCAAAAGTATGAGAATCTGTTCTTAACTAAGAAAGTGTTACCCCAAATGTAACATTTGTTACGGGTGTCTATATCTCTGTTCCAGTGTATGTAAACAATGGTAAAGGTAGCATTTCGTACATTCTTTGGCAGGAATTTTGTTTTAAATGTCTTCTAACTGGTTTAAAAATACCAAATATTAAGGAAGTAAACATATTGAAAAATTGAAATGTTTCATGAAAATAATTCTATGTGAGTAAATTTTTTCACTATGGCTTAAAAAATTGTCTGGTGCACCTCGGCTGGCTTTCATATTCGATCTTGATTTCACTTTTGTTGGTAGAGATGGGTATATATGTAGTATTTGAACTTATGTATAATATTTGGAGTACTTTGGAGATATCTAGATACCGTGGAAGTGTGCTGACTGTTGTGTGACATGATCAACTATGAATGAGGGGTTACGGTCACTGGGCTGTTCCCTGATGTAAGATGTTGGAAGGCAATGCAAATCACATATTGTGTAAACCTGTTGTTTCAGCATAACTTGATGCCACAACCGGTCCGGTCCCGCTACACTGATGAGGCTGACAAGCTGCTACTGGAGGATGAACTACAGAGGATTTATCTGCTTGGAAACATGAAGGTTGACACGTCAGTCACAGGTATGCAGTTTGTCCTGTCATAAGTTAAGGAAGAAATTGAATTTTCCTACAGTTTACATGGTCAAAGGGTACCAATAGGAACATCATTGAGTACCAAAGTTTTAAAGGAAGCAATATATTACAACCTTCATGCATAAAACTTCTGAATGGAAGCAACCTATATCCACTTTGATTGTTTGTTGTTGTTTAACGCCACACTCAGCATTATTCCAGCTGTATGATGGCGGTCTATAAATAATCAAATCTGGACCAGACAATCCAGTGATTGATATCATGACCATCGATCCATGCAGTTGGGATACAATGACATGCACAGCGGTAGAAACTTATATTTTTGGACCACTAGACCTTATAATGATAATGTATAGCAAAACCCTTAAAAATGGCACATTTCTACTAGTCCTTATGATACCTTAACTATTGGGCAGTTTGGCAAGGACTACAGGACTAGTGCCAATTTCTAACCCTGATGCATCAACCAAGTCAGAGAGCCTGACCACCCGATTCCGTTAGTTGCCTCTTACGACAAGCATAGTTGCCTTTTAGGGCAAGCATGGTTTGCTGAAGACCTATTCTTGTTTGAAACTGTTTACATTGACACATGTATGTTAGGTTTATCTTAAATCCAAACAATGTTCTGACAGTCTGTCAGATTTTCATTACTCAGTCACTATGTTTGATTGAAACAAGGAACCCTTCCTATTGATGTGATAGAGGTGTAGCTATGAAACGTGTAACATGGGGCCTGTGACAGGTGTGATCTTGGCAGTGTATGGGGTAGAGCCTGAGGACGACAAGGGCAAGTTCCATGTGGAAGACTGGACATTCCAGCTCCTGCCCTCTCAAGTGGACAGACCCAAACTCACAAAAGACAGGTACAGTTAGAATAACTTCTTTGAGTGGCATTTAGAAGTTGGAATGGTAACTAAGACAAAATTGTTATGGATCAGCAACTTCTTTATTACAATTGGGCGACGTTTCGGTGTAGATATCATTTGCTTGATAACAGTGTTAGAATCTACACCGAAACGTCGCCCAATTGTAATAAAGAAGTTGCTCATCCATAACAATTTTGTCTCAGTTACAGGACAGCTTGGACTGTTGGCATTCACAAACCTTATTGTAAAGCATACCTGGCCCTCAGCCCACAAATTGCCAAAAGTCATTATATATTATTTTATTATTTTAGTGGTGTTTTGTAAGTTGGTCTCATGAACCATCTAAAAAAACTATATGACCTCCGATGCGTTTTGCAGTTATGTGGCCCTCCTGTCTGGTTTGGACATCGGGGGCAAGTCTGAGAAGCTGTTTCAGCTGCAGATGTTTGTCGACCTGGTGACGGGGCAACTGGGGGACGAGGGGCAGCAGGAAGCGTCGGCAAACATTGTCCGTGTCATTCTGGCAGGGAACAGCCTCAGTGGCACCTTGCAGGATAAAGAGAGTTTGAACAAGGTATGTGTTGTGAACAAGGTACGTGTTGTGAACAAGGTATGTGTTGTGAACAAGGTATGTGTTGTGAACAAGGTATGTGTTGTGAACAAGGTCTGTTGTGAACGAGGTATGTGTTGTGAACAAGGTATGTGTTGTGAACAAGGTATGTGTTGTTGACAAGGTGTGTGTTGTGAACAAGGTATGTGTTGTGAACAAGGTATGTGTTGTGAACAAGGTGTGTTGTGAACAAGGTATGTGTTGTGAACAAGGTATGTGTTGTGAACAAGGTATGTGTTGTGAACAAGGTACGTGTTGTGAACAAGGTCTGTTGTGAACAAGGTCTGTGTAGTGAACAAGGTATGTGTTGTGAACAAGGTACGTGTTGTGAACAAGGTCTGTGTTGTGAACAAGGTCTGTTGTGAACAAGGTCTGTGTTGTGAACGAGGTATGTGTTGTGAACGAGGTATGTGTTGTGAACGAGGTATGTGTTGTGAATGAGGTATGTGTTGTTGACAAGGTGTGTGTTGTGAACAAGGTGTGTGTTGTTGACAAGATGTGTGTTGTGAACAAGGTATGTGTTGTGAACAAGGTATGTGTTGTGAACAAGGTACGTGTTGTGAACAAGGTATGTGTTGTGAACAAGGTCTGTTGTGAACAAGGTCTGTGTTGTGAACAAGGTGTGTGTTGTGAACAAGGTACGTGTTGTGAACAAGGTCTGTGTTGTGAACAAGGTATGTGTTGTGAACAAGGTCTGTGTTGTGAACAAGGTATGTGTTGTGAACAAGGTCGGTGTTGTGAACAAGGTGTGTGTTGTGAACAAGGTATGTGTTGTGAACAATGTATGTGTTGCGAACAAGGTATGTGTTGTGAACAAGGTCTGTGTTGTGAACAAGGTATGTGTTGTGAACAAGGTATGTGTTGTTGACAAGGTGTGTGTTGTGAACAAGGTATGTGTTGTGAACAAGGTCTGTGTAGTGAACAAGGTATGTGTTGTGAACAAGGTACGTGTTGTGAACAAGGTACGTGTTGTGAACAAGGTGTGTGTTGTGAACAATGTATGTGTTGTTAAGAAGGTGTGTGTTGTGAACAAGGTGTGTGTTGTGAACAAGGTATGTGTTGTGAACAAGGTATGTGTTGTGAAGAAGGTATGTGTTGTTAACAAGGTGTGTGTTGTGAACAAGGTCTGTGTTGTGAACAAGGTCTGTGTTGTGAACAAGGTGTGTGTTGTGAACAAGGTGTGTGTTGTGAACAAGGTATGTGTTGTGAACAAGGTATGTGTTGTGAACAAGGTACGTGTTGTGAACAAGGTATGTGTTGTGAACAAGGTATGTGTTGTGAACAAGGTACGTGTTGTGAACAAGGTGTGTGTTGTGAACAAGGTATGTGTTGTGAACAAGGTATGTGTTGTGAACAAGGTCGGTGTTGTGAACAAGGTATGTGTTGTGAACAAGGTACGTGTTGTGAACAAGGTATATGTTTTTAACAAGGTGTGTGTTGTTGACAAGGTTTGTGTTGTGAACAAGGTATGTGTTGTGAACAAGGTATGTGTTGTGAACAAGGTATGTGTTGTTGACAAGGTGTGTGTTGTGAACAAGGTATGTGTTGTCCGTGAGATAAGGAAGATAACTCTTTATTTTGTGTTTACACACGATTCAGATTGATGTTCGTGTCAGTAGAGTATTGTTATGTGTGGTAGCTATGTGTTGCAATGGTAAAAGTTGTTTCAACAAGTTGTGAGGCAGCCCCCATCGCACAGCTCCCACATGACCACGGAAGTTATGACGTCAAGGATACTTGACATTACTGCATGTTGGTGGACAGACATGTTGTGTTAATAAAAGAAATTCAGCAAATTTTGTGTAACCTGCTGGTTTGTTCATTGTTATGAAATATATGTGAATTATCGCCTATCATCCGGTTGGTGTTTTCATATTCTAACTGATATGTCAGTTATCATTATTATATTGATGGATGTTCACAAATTATAACATATGCTTGAAGCTGCGAGTTCTGGTAACTGTCTATAAACTGTTAAGTTGACCTGCTCTTCAGGGTGTTTAGCTGCAATATTTCACATGGTTTGAGGGAACATGGAAGTCCCAGTGTTCAAAGTTGCTCACCTCAGTTGCACCAGGATCCCACTGTTGATAGTGTGTTTGAATCCCTGATTTGCCAAGAGGTAAATGTCTACGATAATTGCGTTTCATCACATTTTAATCTTACAGTAACATGGTGAAATACTGGTCAAAACATCACTGACCCTACTCCCTCACTAGATTTACTATGCAGACTTTAGGGAGAGTTATCTTCTTCTTTTTTAAATCCCATACATCATATCATCGGGTCATAGGTTTTCGGACATCATACATTTTCGGACGGCCATGGTTATTGCGATTACACACGCTATAACAAGGGGTGTGGCATCACAAAGACATTGTAAATACTCAGATGATGACCTGTTTTTAAGATAAAGTCATCTTTTATAAGTGAGTGAGATGTTTTACAGTTTTACTTGTGATTGATGAGAAAATTACAAATGTTTCTTAAGCGTCCGTAAACCCATAACCTGATAACATGGGGATATTTCCAATTGCAGTTAAGTTTGGTTGTCGATTCTGCACACTATCACTTAAAACAACGGTCATAAACATGGAAAAAGAACACTCACTCGTTCACTTGTTGCATCTCTACTAGCTCATTCTCAGAACTAATTTTGAACATTTCAGGCAAAATATCTGACAAAGAAGACAACAGCAGGAACTGTGGAGGCAATGAAGAGTTTGGACGACATTGTCACACAGCTTGCCGTGAGTAGTTCACACTGGGAAACTGTTCATTTACTCACACATTTGATAAATTAATTTAATTTAATTAGTACTGGTGTTTTACACTGCAGTCATCATTATTCCAGCTGTCACATTGGCATCTAGCTGGCGATTAGGTGCCTCCCCCTTGAGAGGACTCAACCCAAAAAAGTATGAGAATCTGTACTTTACTAAGAAAGTGTGATCCGACATATATATATGATATATAACATTTGTTACATCTAGCTACTCAGGTTGGGGGGCAGTCGGGTAGCCTAGTGGTTAAAGCGTTCGCTTGTCACGCCGAAGACCCGGGTTCGATTCCTGAAATGGGTACAATGTGTGAAGCCCATTTTTGGTGTCCCCCGCCGTGATATTGCTGGAATATTGCTAAAAGCGGCGTAAAACCAAACTCAATCACTCACTACTCAGGTTGGGCCTGGCTGACCAGTGTTTCATACTATAGTCCCGGCATTACAGTGGATGATAGAGATTTATGTAGGATTTTAAACCAAGTGCATTTGGCAGGCATTTAATTGTTTAAATGTGATAGCTATACGATTATTATGTTATATGAGATATGCTATATATCTATGTGTTGTGTAAATGTGACATGCTATACGATTATTATGTTATATGAGATATGCTATATATCTATGTGTTATGTGTATGTGATATGCCGTTTCAGTCGTGTGTTGATGTCGATATTCTCCCTGGGGCGACTGATCCAACAAATCACGTGCTGCCGCAACAGCCCCTACACAGATGTATGTTCCCACAGTCCTCGGCATACCCTACCATGAACACTGTCACCAACCCCCTGGATCTCAGTGTGGAAGGGGTCAGGTATGTTCCCCCAGTCCTCCGTGTACCCTACCATGAACACTGTCACCAACCCCCTGGATCTGAGTGTGGAGGGGGTCAGGTATGTTCCCCCAGTCCTCGGCATACCCTACCATGAACACTGTCACCAACCCCCTGGATCTCAGTGGAAGGGGTCAGGTATGTTCCCCCAGCCCTCCCTGTACCCTACCATGAACACTGTCACCAACCCCCTGGATCTCAGTGTGGAGGGGGTCAGGTATGTTCCCCCAGTCCTCGGCATACCCTACCATGAACACTGTCACAAACCCCCTGGATCTGAGTGTGGAAGGGGTCAGGTATGTTCCCCCAGACCTCCCTGTACCCTACAATGAACACTGTCACCAACCCCCTGGATCTCAGTGTGGAGGGGGTCAGGTATGTTCCCCCAGTCCTCGGCATACCCCACCATGAACACTGTCACCAACCCCCTGGATCTCAGTGTGGAGGGGGTCAGGTATGTTCCCCCAGTCCTCGGCATACCCTACAATGAACACTGTCACCAACCCCCTGGATCTCAGTGTGGAGGGGGTCAGGTATGTTCCCCCAGTCCTCGGCATACCCTACCATGAACACTGTCACAAACCCCCTGGATCTCAGTGTGGAAGGGGTCAGGTATGTTCCCCCAGTCCTCGGCATACCCTACCATGAACACTGTCACAAACCCCCTGGATCTCAGTGTGGAAGGGGTCAGGTATGTTTCCCCAGTCCTCGGCATACCCTACCATGAACACTGTCACCAACCCCCTGGATCTCAGTGTGGAGGGGGTCAGGTATGTTCCCACAGTCCTCGGCATACCCCACCATGAACACTGTCACCAACCCCCTGGATCTCAGTGTGGAGGGGGTCAGGTATGTTCCCCCAGTCCTCCGTGTACCCTACCATGAACACTGTCACCAACCCCCTGGATCTGAGTGTGGAAGGGGTCAGGTATGTTCCCACAGTCCTCGGCATACCCCACCATGAACACTGTCACCAACCCCCTGGATCTCAGTGTGGAGGGGGTCAGGTATGTTCCCCCAGTCCTCCGTGTACCCTACCATGAACACTGTCACCAACCCCCTGGATCTGAGTGTGGAAGGGGTCAGGTATGTTCCCACAGTCCTCGGCATACCCCACCATGAACACTGTCACAAACCCCCTGGATCTCAGTGTGGAGGGGGTCAGTGTATGTTCCCCCAGTCCTCCGTGTACCCTACCATGAACACTGTCACCAACCCCCTGGATCTGAGTGTGGAGGGGGTCAGGTATGTTCCCACAGTCCTCGGCATACCCTACCATGAACACTAGGGCTGGTGATTTAGATCGATAATCGTAATTATCATCGATGGAAGAAGGTTGTGACGATTATCGATATGAATATAATGCTATCGATAATGACATGTATTTTTTCGACAAATAAAAGTTTTTACTGCAACACATTTGACTTATTTGTTTTGCTATCCTTGTAATTATCGCTAGATATAAACAGACAGATTCACCCTAACATACAGTTTTCTCCCCTTCGCTTGATGTTTAGTCGCAAATAAAAATCAAATGTTTGAAAAAGTAAAAAGTTCTGCTTTGAATCGAACGACGACGCCATTACGTGTTGATAGTGGGTAATTACAAATGTAGTCACAGGCATCTAAATGCGGAGTCAGGATGTTAGAAAATATGTATATTTTCGAAATAGTATGAAGTATCATGATTTAAATAGGTTTCATAATACTTTAATTCTTAAAAAGAATTCTTCCCATTCTATTTCCTAAAATTTCAAATTTTATGTCTATTTGGTAACTACGTATTCCAGTCTGTTTCGATTTTTTCAATGATCATGGTTTTCGTTTTTGCCGGTATTCTCAACTCACAGCCCACGTGAGGTCCACGTGGGGTTTGACATTTTTACGATATGGCAGCAAAAATTCCTAATTTCCCCGTTATAATCGCACGATGTTTGTTTAATATCAGTCTGCCACCCAATCTATAACGTATCACACCTGTGAACCTAGTACAACCTACTACGTAGCACACACCTGTACACACCTGACATTCACAATGGCGGAATATTTGATGATTTTTTATCTGAATAGTTTCGTGAATACTGTACATAAATGACAAACGACTATATCAGGTGAAATTACATTTAATTTCTCAATTACCGTATTTTCTTGAGTACAGTGCGCACCCATGTATAATGCGCACCCCCCTCTAGCGGGTTCAATATTTTGGAAAAAAAGAAATTTGAATATTATGCGCAGAAAAAAATTACACCGTACCCTTTCAGCGAAGTCCGGCACACGAACGGGTGATGAGAAACTTCGTCAGTACAAATTCGAAATTTGAGAAAAAAAATCACCAGACATGTTTATTTACCGTTTAAATAGTATTTATTGTTCTGCTAGGCATTGTTTTATATCCCGGGATTAAGATTACCTTGTGTATTTTCTCGTAAACTAAGCCGGAAACAGCAATCAGCTGTACACACGTTTTCTTGGAATCGACCGGTGATTCGGTCAAGACACACCCAATGAAATAACTTAATAGGATTTTTAATGCAAGGATCGGCAAAAATTGTATATGAAACTATTTTTTTTATCAAGAATAATATATTCCATTATTTTCTTAATTATATACAGCCTTTACTAAACATATTTAAAATAGATAATAACCCTAAGCGAAGCAGCTGATCGCTATTCCCGGGTATTACTTTTTACATGGACTCAGTCTGACCAGTCACCGTCAAGGCTCACGCGCACGTGATCGCGAGAATTTCATGTTGACATAGAATCGTCAAACAAAAACAAATATGACTTTTAACGAGTCAAAGTATGTCATTTATGATATATGTATCCATTCTCTGTCAACTAAAGTTCGTTTCAAGACGTCAATAGCGGTATTCTGACCGTGGTTGCTGTTAATAACGGTGAGTTGTGCGATCTTCCGATCGCTTCACACACGATTTCGCCGAAATTAATAAAAACAATATTAAAAGGAATACTCAAGAAAATACGGTATTCTCACTTTATAGAAATAATAATTGTCTTTGACGACATGAATCTTAAACTCAAATTGTTCATCGCTAAAAATGCGATGTAACGTGCGTATTGTTGAAACACTGAGTCTCCGGAGAAGTGAAATGCCATTTTTCTGTAATGTCATTTTACCAAAATAGAATTCTTTGATATTTATCGATTATTGATCGATATGTGACTACCGATAATCGATCTGAGTAATCCATATCGATAACCAGCCCTAATGAACACTGTCACCAACCCCCTGGATCTGAGTGTGGAAGGGGTCAGGTATGTTCCCCCAGTCCTCGGCATACCCTACCATGAACACTGTCACCAACCCCCTGGATCTCAGTGTGGAAGGGGTCAGGTATGTTTCCCCAGTCCTTGGCATACCCTACCATGAACACTGTCACCAACCCCCTGGATCTGAGTGTGGAGGGGGTCAGGTATGTTCCCACAGTCCTCGGCATACCCTACCATGAACACTGTCACCAACCCCCTGGATCTCAGTGTGGAGGGGGTCAGGTATGTTCCCCCAGTCCCCGGCATACCCTACCATGAACACTGTCACCAACCCCCTGGATCTGAGTGTGGAAGGGGTCAGGTATGTTCCCACAGTCCTCGGCATACCCTACCATGAACACTGTCACCAACCCCCTGGATCTGAGTGTGGAAGGGGTCAGGTATGTTCCCCCAGTCCTCCCTGTACCCTACCATGAACACTGTCACCAACCCCCTTGATCTGAGTGTGGAGGGGGTCAGGTATGTTCCCCCAGCCCTCCCTGTACCCTACCATGAACACTGTCACCAACCCCCTGGATCTGAGTGTGGAGGGGGTCAGGTATGTTCCCCCAGCCCTCCATGTACCCCGCCATGAACACTGTCACCAACCCCCTGGATCTCAGTGTGGAGGGGGTCAGGTATGTTCCCCCAGCCCTCCATGTACCCCGCCATGAACACTGTCACCAACCCCCTGGATCTCAGTGGGAGGGGGTCGGGTATGTTCCCCCAGCCCTCCATGTACCCCGCCATGAACACTGTCACCAACCCCCTGGATCTCAGTGTGGAGGGGGTCAGGTATGTTCCCCCAGCCCTCCATGTACCCCGCCATGAACACTGTCACCAACCCCCTGGATCTCAGTGTGGAGGGGGTCAGGTATGTTCCCCCAGCCCTCCATGTACCCCGCCATGAACACTGTCACCAACCCCCTGGATCTCAGTGGGAGGGGGTCGGGTATGTTCCCCCAGCCCTCCATGTACCCCGCCATGAACACTGTCACCAACCCCCTGGATCTCAGTGGGAGGGGGTCGGGTATGTTCCCCCAGCCCTCTGTGTACCCTGCTATGAACACTGTCACCAACCCCGCCATGAACACCATCATTGTTCGTATCATTGTGGGTTGTTTGTTGTGTCTAGTTGCTAGCTGGCATGTTTTCAATGGACTGGGTGGTTACTGTTTCACGTGTTTAGAGTGTTTTTCAGATGATTCAGATAACATGGATGATACCAAACATGGGTTCTAAAAAGGGAGATAACTCATGACACCTTGCATGTCCAGGTGGTTCTGACAACTTTGTGGAAGTCTTTGTACCATTGGAATCCTCATCTTCAACCTATCTTCATCAATGACCCTTTACATTGTTCACTTGCCTACTTGAAAATGTGAGAGTCAGTCGCTACTTGGGTATCCCAACAGATTGCTGGGCACATCAGGGCAGCCAATTCAAGACATCTGGCGATACAGCACGCTGGAGGACAACCTGGACATCCTGGAGAAGACCCTAGTGTGGGGGCACCTGGCTCCAACAGCACCTGACACACTTGGTATGTTGCACCTGTAGGCATGGGAGGCAGGGTAGTGTGGGGGCACCTGGCTCCAACAGCACCTGACACACTTAGTATGTTGCACCTGTGGGCATGGGAGGCAGGGTAGTTAGGGGGCACCTGGCTCCAACAGCACCTGACACACTTGGTATGTTGCACCTGTTGGCATGGGAGGCAGGGTAGTGTGGGGGCACCTGGCTCCAACAGCACCTGACACACTTAGTATGTTGCACCTGTGGGCATGGGAGGCAGGGTAGTGTGGGGGCACCTGGCTCCAACAGCACCTGACACACTTGGTATGTTGCACCTGTAGGCATGGGAGGCAGGGTAGTTAGGGGGCACCTGGCTCCAACAGCACCTGACACACTTGGTATGTTGCACCTGTTGGCATGGGAGGCAGGGTAGTGTGGGGGCACCTGGCTCCAACAGCACCTGACACACTTAGTATGTTGCACCTGTGGGCATGGGAGGCAGGGTAGTGTGGGGGCACCTGGCTCCAACAGCACCTGACACACTTGGTATGTTGCACCTGTGGGCATGGGAGGCAGGGTAGTTAGGGGGCACCTGGCTCCAACAGCACCTGACACACTTGGTATGTTGCACCTGTTGGCATGGGAGGCAGGGTAGTGTGGGGGCACCTGGCTCCAACAGCACCTGACATACTTGGTATGTTGCACCTGTTGGCATGGGTGGCAGGGTAGTGTGGGGGCACCTGGCTCCAACAGCACCTGACATACTTGGTATGTTGCACCTGTTGGCATGGGAGGCAGGGTAGTGTGGGGGCACCTGGCTCCAACAGCACCTGACATACTAGGTATGTTGCACCTGTAGGCATGGGTGGCAGAGTAGTGTAGGGGCACCTGGCTCCAACAGCACCTGACACACTTGGTATGTTGCACCTGTGGGCATGGGAGGCAGAGTAGTGTAGGGGCTCCTGGCTCCAACAGCACCTGACACACTTGGTATGTTGCACCTGTTGGCATGGGAGGCAGAGTAGTGTAGGGGCTCCTGGCTCCAACAGCACCTGACACACTTGGTATGTTGCACCTGTGGGCATGGGAGGCAGGGAAGGGTGGGGGCACCTGGCTCCAACAGCACCTGACACACTTGGTATGTTGCACCTGTGGGCATGGGAGGCAGGGAAGGGTGGGGGCACCTGGCTCCAACAGCACCTGACACACTTGGTATGTTGCACCTGTTGGCATGGGAGGCAGGGTAGTGTGGGGGCACCTGGCTCCAACAGCACCTGACACACTTAGTATGTTGCACCTGTGGGCATGGGAGGCAGGGTAGTGTGGGGGCACCTGGCTCCAACAGCACCTGACACACTTGGTATGTTGCACCTGTAGGCATGGGAGGCAGGGTAGTTAGGGGGCACCTGGCTCCAACAGCACCTGACACACTTGGTATGTTGCACCTGTTGGCATGGGAGGCAGGGTAGTGTGGGGGCACCTGGCTCCAACAGCACCTGACACACTTAGTATGTTGCACCTGTGGGCATGGGAGGCAGGGTAGTGTGGGGGCACCTGGCTCCAACAGCACCTGACACACTTGGTATGTTGCACCTGTGGGCATGGGAGGCAGGGTAGTTAGGGGGCACCTGGCTCCAACAGCACCTGACACACTTGGTATGTTGCACCTGTTGGCATGGGAGGCAGGGTAGTGTGGGGGCACCTGGCTCCAACAGCACCTGACATACTTGGTATGTTGCACCTGTTGGCATGGGTGGCAGGGTAGTGTGGGGGCACCTGGCTCCAACAGCACCTGACATACTTGGTATGTTGCACCTGTTGGCATGGGAGGCAGGGTAGTGTGGGGGCACCTGGCTCCAACAGCACCTGACATACTAGGTATGTTGCACCTGTAGGCATGGGTGGCAGAGTAGTGTAGGGGCACCTGGCTCCAACAGCACCTGACACACTTGGTATGTTGCACCTGTGGGCATGGGAGGCAGAGTAGTGTAGGGGCTCCTGGCTCCAACAGCACCTGACACACTTGGTATGTTGCACCTGTTGGCATGGGAGGCAGAGTAGTGTAGGGGCTCCTGGCTCCAACAGCACCTGACACACTTGGTATGTTGCACCTGTGGGCATGGGAGGCAGGGAAGGGTGGGGGCACCTGGCTCCAACAGCACCTGACACACTTGGTATGTTGCACCTGTGGGCATGGGAGGCAGGGAAGGGTGGGGGCACCTGGCTCCAACAGCACCTGACACACTTGGTATGTTGCACCTGTGGGCATGGGAGGCAGGGAAGGGTGGGGGCACCTGGCTCCAACAGCACCTGACACACTTGGTATGTTGCACCTGTGGGCATGGGAGGCAGGGTAGTTAGGGGGCACCTGGCTCCAACAGCACCTGACACACTTGGTATGTTGCACCTGTGGGCATGGGAGGCAGGGTAGTTAGGGGGCACCTAGCTCCAACAGCACCTGACACACTTGGTATGTTGCACCTGTAGGTATGGGGGGCAGGGTAGTGTGGGGGCACCTGGCTCCAACAGCACCTGACACACTAGGTATGTTGCACCTGTTGGCATGGGAGGCAGGGTAGTTAGGGGGCACCTGGCTCCAACAGCACCTGACACACTTGGTATGTTGCACCTGTTGGCATGGGAGGCAGGGTAGTTAGGGGGCACCTGGCTCCAACAGCACCTGACACACTTGGTATGTTGCACCTGTGGGCATGGGAGGCAGGGTAGTGTGGGGGCACCTGGCTCCAACAGCACCTGACACACTTGGTATGTTGCACCTGTGGGCATGGGAGGCAGGGTAGTGTGAGGGCACCTGGCTCTAACAGCACCTGACACACTTGGTATGTTGCACCTGTAGGCATGGGAGGCAGGGTAGTGTGGGGGCACCTGGCTCCAACAGCACCTGACAGACTAGGTAATGTTGCACCTGTGGGCATGGGAGGCAAGGTAGTGTGGGGGAACCAGGCCTCAAAAGCACCTGACACACTTTGTATATTGCACCTGTGGGCATGGGAGGCAGGGTGTCTAAGGGACATTAGTTGTAGGTAGTCCTATGTATAGGTTAGACAACGAGGACCCAGTGTCTTATCGTTGAAATGGTTAGTTAAACCACGAGGCGCGCATCCATTTCAACGATTAGACACTGGGGTCCGAGTGGTCTTACATACTTAAACCATGTCTAACATTTATGGCACCTAAAATGCTTAAAAAACGTTGTTTTGTTAAAGTTATCATGAAAGATATTCAGGAACTCTGTGCTCAACTATGAGAACACTGTGTGAGTCGGCCCTGCGTGTAGCACGTGAAATGTGTTCCCCAAGCCTTTTGCATGTGCACCTTGCACTTTGCCGATTTGGGTTATGAAATGCATGTCCCGGGGCAAGTATACCATTCATTTTGGACCAACTCGAGCACATTCATCAATCAACTAAATATTACTTGCCCATTTTTATGGGCCTATTATGAGCAAATATAGCCCTGATCAAGATTAAAGTAATTTCTTTCTATCTGTTCGTTTTGTTGAACGAAAAGCTACAAAATCCCAAGTACTGTACAAATACTAGAATGCATAGAGTTACATACTGTATAAAAATTGCATAAAACACATTTCGCAATTCATAAAGGGATAAGCAATTGGTACTGATGTAAGTAAATATTTAGTTGTTAATTTCATACCCTATCTCCCATGTTGCCGTGGCAGAAGACTACATTCATTAGCCTTCAGTGCGGTCTTCTCTGGTTCAAATCCCGTTGGCGACAAACGTTTTTCATGAAATTGTTCTATCATCAAGAAAAAAGATAGAGGAAAAAAGAAGTTCCGTCATTGCCAAGTGGTGTTTAACTAACAATTCAGTTAGTTAGACCACGGTCAAAGACAAAGCAGCCATGGTTTAAAGTACTCAAAAGTGTATTCCACCCTTGAAGATCCGGGTTAGAATAGGTCTCCAGGAACCCATGCTTGTCTTAAAAGCTCGCTGACTTGGTTGATGCATGTCATCGTTTCCAAATTGCATAGATCGATGCTCATGATGTCAATCACAGGGTTGTCTTGTCCATTCTCACTTATTCACAGACCACTTAACTGTCATATTGCTGGAATTTGTTGAGTGCAGTGTTAAACAGCAAACAAACAAAGATCCCGTATACGTTATGCTTGTACAAGCTGATTGTGTGGTACAGGTTGGCTCAATGATGGACAGGCCTGATTGACTGTCAGTGTACCAAACAACATAAAATCGTTATTCATGGAATATTGCTGAGTGCAGCATTAAACAACAAACAAACAAAATCTGTCATGCTTAGAGAAACTGACTTTTCTTGTTTGTTTGTTTGTTTGTTTGTTAATGCATGCCACAGTTGGCAGTATCCTAGCTATATCATGGTAACCTGTATAGTATCGAGTCTGTGTCAGGTAAACCAGTGGTTGACAGCATGAGCAACATCTAGCTGCCAAGGATACATGACACACAACAAGCCAACTCACAGAGTCTGATAACATGATCTACATTTTAGTCGGCTTTTACAACTTTATGCTTCGGGGACCTCCGCTTCTCTCTGTGCATCCTCACAGTTCTAGAGCCGCTGAATCCTGCCAGCATCTGAGGGTCTGTGTTTACGTTGATGTACTAAGACCCTGTTGTGTGTATGTCTCTGCAGGCTGCTACCCCTTCTACAGTGAAGACCCATTCATCATCACTCACTGCCCTCATGTCTACTTTGCCGGCAACTGTAAGGAGTATGGAACGAAGATGTTTAAAGGTAAAGCATATTGCATAATACAGACACCTGTTCCAATCCTAGCAATGATGAGTTTCCAGTGGGTTCTTCACCTAGTCCTCACATGCATTGATGGAACAATGCTGTCATTTTTTGCCATTTTGACACCAGTGGGGATTACTAATAATCCAACCCGGTAAGATCCGGGTTAGAATAGGTCTTCAGCAACCCATGCTTGCCGTAAAAGGCAACTTTGCTTGTCGTAAGAAACGACTAACGGGATCGGGTGGTCAGGCTCGATGACTTGGTCGATGCATGTCATCGATCCCAATTGGATGGATCGATGCTCATGATATTAATCACTGGATTGTCTGGTCCAGACTCGAATATTTACAGACTGCCGCCATATAACTGGAATATTGCTGAGTGCGGCGTTAAACAACAAACTAACAAACAAACAAATCCAAGTACAATGATAGAAACAGCTGGGTACTCTTCCAGTGCTGCGTTAAACAACAAAACAACCAACCAACCAATAATCTAGTAGGTAATTAAGCAGATTTGTAACGCTGAAGAAATATTGGAAAAGCTATTTTTCCAATCATTAGCATTATTAGTACCCACTTATCTAATTAAGATAAATATTATCATATTTTAGAGATACTTTTTAGACTGTTGACTCTTAAAACTTTGTATTTGTAAATTTATCCTATCTCACACTATGCATTTCTCCTTCTTTCAATCTTCTTGTGGAAACACCCTAGAACAAAGTTTCCAGCTTTAGAAAACATTACACCCGAACACATCCCATCGCCATGCTCACTACCCAAACAAATGGGTCTCACAATGTAATCCCCTGCATATCGGCCAAGCCAAATTGACCATCCAACACAACCTGCCACATCATTCTCTTTCTTATCAGGGGCGGTCGGGTAGCCTAGTGGTTAAAGTGTTCGCTCGTCATGCCGAAGACCCGAGTTCGATTCCTGACATGGGTACAATGTGTGAAGCCCATTTCTGGTGTCCCCCGCCGTGATATTGCTGGAATATTGCTAAAAGCCGCATAAAACCATACTCATTCACTTTTTCTTATTTCTTATTGTGTTTTGAATAGTAGAGAACTGATTTTAGTTTTGTTTTTGAAAGTGTTTCCACCAACATTTTATCAACATTTACAGTAACATGGGACATGATCCTGATAAACGCCCAGACAGTAAGAAATGGAGACATACTTGTTCATCTGCCAATCCACTCAATCTGTGTTGTGACTGCCGTGGTCTGTGAAAAACTCCTCATCACTGCTCAAAGGGGGCGGTTGGGTAGCCTAGTGGGTTCGATTCCCGACATGGGTACAATGTGTGAAGCCCATTTCTGGTGTCCCCCGCTGTGATATTGCTGGAATATTGCTAAAAGCGGCGTAAAACCATACTCACTCGCTCATCACTGCTCACAATGTTTCCAGTTGACCGAGGAAGACTTTCGTAATTACCTATGTAAATGCCAGAAAAGTCAATCAACGGTTAAAGCCTAGGGACACAGAACATGGGCCTTCATCATCAAAGAAACCCAAGCATGTTACCAGCCGTTCCTTCTACGAGCGTGATATCACCTCCTGTGGTGATAGACCCGTGAAGATCCGGGTAGAATAGGTCTTCAGCAACCCATGCTTGCCGTAAAAGGTGACTATGCTTGTCGTAAAAGGCGACTAACGGGATCGGGTGGTCAGGCTTGCTGACTTGGTTGATGCATGTCATCGATCCCAATTGCGCGGATCGATGCACTTGATGTTAATCACTAGATTGTCTGGTCCAGACTCGATTATTTACAGACCGCCGTCATAGAGCTGGAATATTGCTGAGTGCGGCGTTAAACAACAAACAAACAAACATCCTGCGGTCATTATCCTTCCCTCATTATCCCTACACACTTCCTTTTGATGCTGCCTCAATACAAGAATGGGCAGCGCATCTATACGGCACCCGGGGGATGGAATCCATCACCTCTTCACGAGTACTACACGTTGACATACCGACAATTATCTGGCAGGACAAGTCATTGCTCACTTATTCAAAATCAGGAGTTGTTGACTCTAGACACTTTGATACGCCAATGATCTCTAAGTTCCGTCAAGGCACAGCTTCGATTTAGCTGTTATACGCTTCTCAAAGAAGGCAGATTTTCTCAAAAACTATTTAAGTCAGAGAAATGGAATTTTACACACTGATATTTCTGGTCATGATCTTAAAGTAGTTTCAAATTGGTGACTTAAATTAATTTTGCAGAGTTATGGCCCTTGCTCCATGCTTTTCAACTTTGTGCATACTGCATGAAATAGGGACAAACTTTCTGAGAAACTGGAAATTACATGAATAAAACTTTGCATGCTTCTATAAGAGATACTTGTCAAGACTGTATTCGAAAATTGGTGCCCTTGCTCAGTGCTTTTCAACTAAGTACCTAGTGTCTGCAATGGGGACAAGTTTTGTGAGAAACTACTGAAGTTAGCTCATCTGGGAGACACAGAGAGGACCCTTTTGTGTGTATTTATATCACTAGTGCCTTTCTCTCCTTATAGCTTTACAGGACTCCTGTTCTTTTAATAGTTTATATTCACTATTATATGAACAAACAAATTTCTAATGTGCCCTATGGTAGGGGATAGTGATAACACTGTTTTCTCATTTTCTGAAGCAACAGCTAATGGAAAATGTACAGAATAGAAGCAAAATGACAAGTCAGGAACTTCATCTGCAGTTGACAAACACACCATGCAGCTTCCAAATTTCAAAGATAACACCGACCATTTTCATACTTGCCAAAGGGCAACTAAATTATATTTTTACACTTACCAGGCACTTTATTTTTATGGGTCGGGCATACTAATTGAACACCCCTGATGGACGGTTGCTTCTGGAAGTCCGATAAGTCTTTGCCTCCCGCTATCTGCGTGACATCTAAGTCACCGATGTTCACAGCTTTCACCAGTTCGGTCCCTCGGTCCTGGTGCAACAATTGACGGCAGCTCATCAGAACAGATAACAATACTGCTCTACCTCTTATGTCTTAGCATATTCAATCCTGCCAGCATGGTAGCTGGCTTACACAAAGTGTGTAAAGAGATGCCAAGCTGAGCGTAAGTGGTGGTCTGTCTTGTAGAACTAATAGACTGGAGTCCCCTTCCGAATTGGTTAGAAGTCATGGCTGAATAGTCTCTACTTCAAAACTATGCGGTCGTTCTTGAAACGATGTCCTATGCAGGGTTCACTTTAAGAATTTTCGGACATGGGCCTTTTATGTGAAATTTTCAAATATTTCAGAGGTACACCCACACTTGCCCATACAGCACAGTGTTAAAATGCCCCATCATATTTGAAAATGTAGGCCTTTTTTCAAATTTAGGGGCTAAAAGCACAAGGCCCCACCCTAGAATTATCCCTGCCTACATGAAGACACATAACACATATTATACCCGATATCATGATGTTATGTCCTAGGATCGTAAAGGGTTTTTTATCACTTGTTTATAGTGTTTTGTGCACTCACAAGGTCTTGTCTCTTTGACATTAAACTGTGTGACAATCTTGTTTAGCACCAGCTTCCTCGAGTACATCCCACGGTTTCAGCCTATTACAAGATAAGGTATCTTCACCCCACAGTCCAACTGGATATAATGGGATAAAATGCATATTGTGAGATAGGATAAGTTTTACAATTTGAAAAATATATATATATGTCTTACACTCTATATGCCTGCCCAACCATCCCCGCATCACAGCACACAAGCCTGTCCGCATCACAGCACACAAGCCTGTCCGCATCACAGCACACAAGCCTGTCGGCATCACAGCACACAAGCCTGTCGGCATCACAGCACACAAGCCTGTCGGCATCACAGCACACAAGCCTGTCCGCATCACAGCACACAAGCCTGTCGGCATCACAGCACACAAGCCTGTCGGCATCACAGCACACAAGCCTGTCGGCATCACAGCACACAAGCCTGTCCGCATCACAGCACACAAGCCTGTCCGCATCACAGCACACAAGCCTGTCCGCATCACAGCACACAAGCCTGTCCGCATCACAGCACACAAGCCTGTCGGCATCACAGCACACAAGCCTGTCGGCATCACAGCACACAAGCCTGTCCGCATCACAGCACACAAGCCTGTCCGCATCACAGCACACAAGCCTGTCCGCATCACAGCACACAAGCCTGTCGGCATCACAGCACACAAGCCTGTCGGCATCACAGCACACAAGCCTGTCGGCATCACAGCACACAAGCCTGTCCGCATCACAGCACACAAGCCTGTCCGCATCACAGCACACAAGCCTGTCGGCATCACAGCACACAAGCCTGTCGGCATCACAGCACACAAGCCTGTCCGCATCACAGCACACAAGCCTGTCCGCATCACAGCACACAAGCCTGTCGGCATCACAGCACACAAGCCTGTCGGCATCACAGCACACAAGCCTGTCGGCATCACAGCACACAAGCCTGTCCGCATCACAGCACACAAGCCTGTCGGCATCACAGCACACAAGCCTGTCGGCATCACAGCACACAAGCCTGTCCGCATCACAGCACACAAGCCTGTCCGCATCACAGCACACAAGCCTGTCGGCATCACAGCACACAAGCCTGTCGGCATCACAGCACACAAGCCTGTCCGCATCACAGCACACAAGCCTGTCCGCATCACAGCACACAAGCCTGTCCGCATCACAGCACACAAGCCTGTCGGCATCACAGCACACAAGCCTGTCGGCATCACAGCACACAAGCCTGTCGGCATCACAGCACACAAGCCTGTCCGCATCACAGCACACAAGCCTGTCCGCATCACAGCACACAAGCCTGTCGGCATCACAGCACACAAGCCTGTCGGCATCACAGCACACAAGCCTGTCGGCATCACAGCACACAAGCCTGTCCGCATCACAGCACACAAGCCTGTCCGCATCACAGCACACAAGCCTGTCCGCATCACAGCACACAAGCCTGTCGGCATCACAGCACACAAGCCTGTCGGCATCACAGCACACAAGCCTGTCGGCATCACAGCACACAAGCCTGTCCGCATCACAGCACACAAGCCTGTCCGCATCACAGCACACAAGCCTGTCGGCATCACAGCACACAAGCCTGTCGGCATCACAGCACACAAGCCTGTCGGCATCACAGCACACAAGCCTGTCCGCATCACAGCACACAAGCCTGTCGGCATCACAGCACACAAGCCTGTTGGCATCACAGCACACAAGCCTGTCGGCATCACAGCACACAAGCCTGTTGGCATCACAGCACACAAGCCTGTCCGCATCACAGCACACAAGCCTGTCGGCATCACAGCACACAAGCCTGTCCGCATCACAGCACACAAGCCTGTCCGCATCACAGCACACAAGCCTGTCGGCATCACAGCACACAAGCCTGTCGGCATCACAGCACACAAGCCTGTCCGCATCACAGCACACAAGCCTGTCGGCATCACAGCACACAAGCCTGTCCGCATCACAGCACACAAGCCTGTCGGCATCACAGCACACAAGCCTGTCCGCATCACAGCACACAAGCCTGTCCGCATCACAGCACACAAGCCTGTCGGCATCACAGCACACAAGCCTGTCCGCATCACAGCACACAAGCCTGTCGGCATCACAGCACACAAGCCTGTTGGCATCACAGCACACAAGCCTGTCCGCATCACAGCACACAAGCCTGTCGGCATCACAGCACACAAGCCTGTCCGCATCACAGCACACAAGCCTGTCCGCATCACAGCACACAAGCCTGTCGGCATCACAGCACACAAGCCTGTCGGCATCACAGCACACAAGCCTGTCCGCATCACAGCACACAAGCCTGTCGGCATCACAGCACACAAGCCTGTCCGCATCACAGCACACAAGCCTGTCGGCATCACAGCACACAAGCCTGTCGGCATCACAGCACACAAGCCTGTCGGCATCACAGCACACAAGCCTGTCGGCATCACAGCACACAAGCCTGTCCGCATCACAGCACACAAGCCTGTCCGCATCACAGCACACAAGCCTGTCGGCATCACAGCACACAAGCCTGTCGGCATCACAGCACACAAGCCTGTCGGCATCACAGCACACAAGCCTGTCGGCTCTCTGAAAGAGAATGTTGTGGCAGGTGCTCAGTTTGGCTTTGGTCGATATGCACGGGATTACAGTGCCTGACCCATTTGTTTGGGTAGTGACCATGGCGATGCTTGGATGTGTTCGGGTGTAATGGGTTTTTTAAGCTGGAAACTTTGAAATCCATAGTGTGAGATAGGATAAGTATATATATGTACAAGTTATTGTAAAATTTTCTAATTTGTATTAGAATAAAAAAACTATATTTCTTGAATTTTGAAAAGCAGCAGCAAGACCAATTTGCCCGCAAAAATCTTTTCAGAAAGAAAACTACTTAAGTGAAACTGCAGTGTTGACGAAAGTGTAGTAACTGGGGAAAATCTGTAAACCAACTTTACAAAGTCCCTACCTGGGTCTACAGAGCCCAGGTTCTGTAAATCGTGAAATGAATGCGTCTCCAAAAGAATGTGATTGCTGGCCCCTAGCCAAAAATGTGACTCAATATGAATGCGACACCCCCCTCCTCTCAAGCATCAGTGGATTTATATCTAAAGAAAATGTCCTCTGTCAGGTTTACAGGAGAATCCTCGACTTAATCCAACCTTACACTAATCCAATCACACACCAAATAGCAACGCTTATTAGCGCTGAATAGAATACTTCCGCTAAAACAATACATGCTTGCTGGCTCATGTCGAACTAGGACACCGTGTTGCGTGGGTGGCGTCTGTCTGGACTTGCAGATGTGATCAGTGATGACATAAGTGAGTAGAACTCTTGTCTTGACCCCAGCAGTGACAATTCACAGGAATGTTTGAATGACATTGTTTATATACTTGTTACAAGTGCTGCTCAATAAACAGTGATGTGGAATACATAGTTGTTTGTTTACAGCGTACGTCTAAGTTGGTATTTCTGCTATCCAAAATGTTTTATTGTTGATATAAATGCAATGTTTAATAATGCGAACAAAGACCACACACATTTAATTCACGCTCGCGTTAATTTCAAGATTTACAGGATTCATTATTGTTAATTCCCTTTCAGTTGTATGGTAAGGCAGTTCTTATTTCAAGTGGTTAGCTATAGCTTGTGTGGACATCATTATTCCCTCAGTATGTTCTGTCTGCCTCCAGGTCCTGATGGGCAGGAAGTTGTCCTGGTGTCGATCCCGCGGTTCAGCCTGACATCAACCGCAGTCCTTGTCAACCTCCGCAGCCTGGAGTGCCAGCCTATCAGTTTTGATGCTCATTTCCCCGGCCCAGCAGAGGCCAGTCCTGAAGTGGACAAGTGAGACTGGGAAGATAGTGTTGATTGGGAACAGTTTTGCAGAAACAAGAACACCTGGTGTTCTTAAACATGTGAAGTGGACATATATGGACATGCTCAGTCTCCCTGGACACCAAATGTTGTTTGTTACATTGAGAGTGTTCTTAATGGTTAGGAAATCAGCATCCTCCCGAGGCAAGGGAGTTAACTGACTATCAAAGTCCAGTTTCCACCCTTGCCGATCTAGGCTGGTATTATGGAGTTACATTTTGGCTGGACTAACAAGTCTATGCATAGTCCAATCAAAATCGCGCAACGAAATCAAAATCCGGTTCGTAAACTGTCGTGCAGATTTCGGTCGATTGCAGGATTTGCAGACGTGCACAGAAGCTCGCTGTCAACTGATAGTTTCCAAACCTTTTCATGTTATAAATCAAGGTGCTTTCGTGATTTGATGTACTTCGGATATAAGACCTGTTTTATCACAATATAGATCTTGATTATGGATCAGATCATCTTGACTGGGCGCCGCCATTTTGTTTGAAACAAATACAAGTGATGGAATCGGATTGGTCCATAGGAGAGGTTTAGAAGGGACATAACTCATAATAATCACTGGTGGAGCTACAATCAAGCCCAGGAATTCCATCCTAGTTCGGCAAGGGTGGAAACTGGACTTTGAAAGTCAGTTAACTCTCTTGCCTCGGGAAGATGGGAAATCAGTAGAAATGCATTCTGCAGTTAATCTCAACTATTTTATCTGAAACTTCTCAGGAACATATTTCAGAAAAGTCTGCAGGGTAAACCATGATACATGTACATACCTTCAACAATGCATATTGCAATGGCATCTGAGATCTAGATGATCAAGATTGGCCTGTATATTAAGAAAATATGTGATTAAGTGTATATTGGTGTGAGGGAGTTATCAATAATGAAATAAATCTTGCTGGTACAGCTAATCTCAGACCAATAACATTTCTAGTATTCACTCGTATTTGTCATTGTGTTACCTCCTTAATTAAGTGTTACAGTTACAAATGGCAGCTGAGCCAACAAAGATCCCTTAAACATTATGCTTGTACAAGCCCATTGTGTGCAGTGCATGCAGCCACACACACATGCATTCATGACCCTATAATATAATAATAATAAAAAACAATTGATTTGTAAAGCACCTAATATCCATCGACAGATGCTCACTGGCGCTGTGACAAAGTTAAAAAGAAATGTCTATGTACATATGCCAACAATCAGGAGATCTATTGAAAAGCTGAGGTGAAGAAGTGGATTTTGAGGAGAGACTTAAACGTTTCCTTAGAAGCAGAGTTTCTCAGATTCAAAGGCAAAGAGTTCCATAACTGTGGACTGCAAAAGGAGAAGGCACGGTCAGACATAGCAGAAGTAGACAGAGGCTGATACAGTAGAGTTCCACCAGAGGATCGGAGAGCACGCTTTGGAGAGTACAGGGATATAAGATCTTTGAGATAGTCTGGATAGTCGCTATTGTTGAGGCAGTTGTGAGTGATGATACATATCTTATAGTTTATACGAAAGGAGAGTGGAAGCCCATGTAGTGCTTTGAGGACAGGACTGATGTGATTGGATCTTGGAACTTTAGAGATGCATCTAGCTGCAGAGTTCTGAATGCGTTGTAGCTTTGATATGGCTTTCATGGGAAGATTAGCATACAATGCATTGCAGTAATCCAGTTTGGAGGTCACAAGACATTGCATCAACAATTTAACTGTTGGAGTATCAAGTAGATGGCGGACTTTACTGATGTTATAGATGCTATGGTAGCATGCTCTGCTGGTTAGTGAAATATGAGTGTCCATGGCCATTGTTGAGTCAAAGGTGATTCCCAGATTAGGGCACTGGCAGTTGGGCACACAGTGGTATCACCAATATGAAGGTATACAGAGTCAGGGTGAAGCTTTCTGACTTGCTGTCGCGAACCATATCCTTGAATGCAACGTTAAACACCATTTCACCTCCTTTCCAGGGTGTTTTGATAGAGCAATGATGTATATATCTCACTGCAGCATGTACATGTGTCATCCAAACTAAGCCCTTGAAATACTAGTAAGTGACTCCTTCCATCCCATACACCTATAGGACTGTGTAGCGTCAGGTAAGTATAAAAACATTGCATTTAATCAGAAATGCTCATGTTTTACCTCACCTGACGCTACACCTATAGGACTGTGTAGCGTCAGGTAAGTATAAAAAACATTGCATTTAATCAGAAATGCTCATGTTTTACCTCACCTGACGCTACACCTACAGGACTGTGTAGCGTCAGGTAAGTATAAAAACATTGCATTTAATCAGAAATGCTCATGTTTTACCTCACCTGACGCTACACCTATAGGACTGTGTAGCGTCAGGTAAGTATAAAAACATTGCATTTAATCAGAAATGCTCATGTTTTACCTCACCTGACGCTACACCTACAGGAATGTGTAGCGTCAGGTAAGTATAAAAACATAGCATTTAATCAGAAATGCTCATATATATTTTTTCATCAAAACAATTCAGTCAATCATGCTAATGGTGATTGCTATTCTTGTGGGATAATTGCTCATTTTACACAAAATATATCAATTATTCCTAATTGCCTCAATTAGATGTTGGCAGCTCTCAGTTCTGGTGGCTTATAATATGTTGCTGCACAATTGTAGCCGCAGCTGTGGTTGAACAAAGACATTTTTATGGGATATATGTATCTGGATGTTTTGAGAAGATACATGCCAATTTAACACTTGCAATGTTGAGGAACTGTTTAAATGTGTATTTTGTCAATGAAACTAATAAGGACTTGAGAACTCAAACCATCAGAGAGTAGTAATTTACATACCAAATAATATCACAAATATACACGTATAAATGACAAGTATTGATATACCACCTTCACATATTGCATCATGGCACAATGTAGCCCAATGCATCAACACCAGTAGACACTTCTAGATCTGGGATAGAATAGGTCTTCAGCAACCCATGCTTGCTTAAAAAGCGAATATGTTTGTCGTAACCGGCGACTAACGGGATCGGGTGGTCAGGTTCGCTGACTTGGTAGATGCATGTCATCGTAGATCGATGCTCATGATATCAATCACTGGATTGTATGGTCCGGGCGCGATTATTTACAGACCGCCGTTTTATAGCTGGAATATTACTGAGTGCGGCGTTAAACAGCAAACAAAACAAACGTTAACACTCCTGCTAACAGATATGCATGCACATTTCACAAGTAACCCCTCTCATGGTGATTCATTGACAGAATAGGTCCACAGTAGCCCATGGCTCTCACAATAGCATGTACCAGCCAAATAATGAGGATCATATGATCCAATTATAATGTGTGATGTGCCAGATCTACATCATACGAGATTGCTAATCTTTGCTAATCATGCTACCAGCGAGTTTTGTCCATGATCCCAGACAATGGATCGCCACCATGTGGCTGGAATATGGTTGCATGCTGTGCAATACATGCACGCACGCACGTACGCATACGACTATACTGGTAATTAATTCCTTTTGTACACATCCATTTACGTGCAGCTATAAAGATGCAACATTCCATATTTCTTCAAAGATAACGTAACTTCTGGGAAGTGAATAATATAATCCGCATTTTTGCTCATTAAATTTTAATTTGGTTGGTTTGGTAAATAATCTGTAAAAAAATCGAGTGATTGATATCATGAGGATCGATCCACGCCATTGGGATCGATGACATGCATCAACCAAGTCAGCGAGCCTGACCACCTGATCCCGTTAATTTGGTATCTACGTAATATGTACAGTGGCATGTTACGCTTCTAGCCCCAATTATATATTTTGACAGTATTTCGTGGCAAATATTTCATAATTATGAATATACTTTGTGAAATTGTTGAAGAATAATTGTCCTTTCATGTAATTGTGTGCCAATCCCCTTTGTTACACGGGGATCGACACCCTCATATATAAATGAGAGCGTTCTGAAACTAAAAAACAAATTTGACGTATTAACAACTTTCGTTGAGAAAAAGCTCCAGACCGCAAATAATCAATTCTCTTTGGCCTATTAGGGTTTCCAGAGTTCAACTCACACTTTATTGTTGTTCTCTAATTAATTATTTTTTCGACGGTTTGGATCCACTTTATACCAAAACACAATAACTATATTGTAAACATTACTTCACAAAGCCCAATGCTATTATCTAAATTACCATCTACATCCAACTCGACTCCCTCCCACGCATGTTATGTGGTGATCAGCACAGCACGAGGGGGCCCGAGTACTCAACTTCATATTAATATCAGGTTTATGTCCGCTGAGGGAAGCTCTACCGTGCATCCTTCCACGGTCTGCAGCAACGAATGAAAGTGTGCCAGAATGTAGGTCGACACGACCTCAATTTTCACCAAGCGCTTCTCGTCTAACAACCTACCATCAGTGTGTAGACTCTCACTGTTAGACGCGCGATGGAGTACAAACCTGTGAAACACAGATGTAAGGCTTTATTTTTCGTTGTATTCTTCAGGCAGTTGGTGTTGATCCGTTCGGACGGAGTGTTTACAGACCAGACACCTGATGGTGCGAAGCTGTCGTGTTCCCAGTGGTCGTGTAAAAAAACCATACATCGAATTCCTCTCCTCGTTTCAAGGAGACATTTAAGCTCAGCTGGGTGTGCTTGTGACCAATATTGTGGCATTGTGGGAGATTGTTGCATGGATTACAATTCTAACTCAGATGATGATGAGATGGAGACACTTAATAGAATAGAACCTCACCTCCGCTGTGTCCAAGACTCGACTGTGGCCACTGAGGACGGGTTTTTAGCTGTGGTCAGTTGCCCCCAAAGCTGGTTGGGATCTGAGACTGAGGTTTTATGCAAGTCTGACAATGTCGGCGATCTAATGCTGAGACTACCAGTTACAGGGAATCACTCGGGCCTTGTATACCGCAACCTGTACTGCGCTGTGTGCCACGACGAACCCTATCAGTTGTGGCGACCAACGGTTGACTGCAGATCCCGGACGCCTTTGAATCTTAATGCCGGATCCAGCATGAGCGAAATCCTGGAGAACCGCGAATGTAGCCTTAGATCTCTTCCGCCGGACAAAGAAGGACAATATCGTCCCTGTATACCTGATGCAATTAAACATTGTGCCCCCGACCTCAAAGACACTGCCATTGCATCTCAATGTGAGACAAGCACTTATATGCAACCCGTGTACTCTGATACTGGTATGACGTTTTATAATGATAAATGCGCACTGTGTAATTATCAATCACCGTTGTGTCAAAAGAAAACCTTCCCAACTGATCCAAACTGGAAATTGTATTCTTTCTCAATTCTGTTTGATTTAAACACCAACAGTGGATCCATGAAAGTAGGATCCACATCGGAAGAATTGCAAGAAGAAGTGAATATTACACACACATGTTCCTCGATACAAGTGTATGACCCATTCATTCAGCAATGTCGTCGCGTCTATAGGGCTAGTCAGCTGGATGACGTGATTAGTTTCAATCTGAACAACACAACGTCAAACATCACCATTGATTGCCCGAGACTTCAATTAAATGGAAGTGAGTTTGCCATTTCGAGAGACGGCACACTCGAGACTGTGTCTGGATATACATATGATAAAACGGAATACGATTTCGATGGAGTATATGCATACGTGTGTACAAATTTGACACAGAATTTCACTGAAACTGTCCCGTTCATTGACACGAAGATAGAATTTAATTTCACCCTCACATCAGCTATTGTAACATCAATAGGTTTATGTGTTTCTTTATTGGGGTTGCTTGCCACGATGGGTGTGTATGCAGTCATAAAGGTTCTGAGAAATATTCCTGGGAAAATTCTCCTCTCTCTAACCACGTCGTTGTTCTTTGCCAACCTGACTGTGCTCTTCGCACCACGGGCTGAAAGTCTTCCAACTTTATGTAAAGTTATTGCGGCGTTGATGCACTATCTGTTCCTGGACGCATTCTTGTGGATGAACGTAATGGCGGCAGATGTCTGGTTCACATTCTCCAAGAGTTTTGTCAAGGCGGGCGATGGTGGGAGGTCGTCGAAGAGGTTCATGTTGTACAACGTTTACGCCCGGGGAATTGCCATCGTTCTTGTAACGGCAGCCGTAACTGTCGACAACGTGGTCTCTGAAAGTCAGTTCAAGCCAAATTACGGACGTGGGTTATGCTGGATAACAAACAAACGAGGCCTACTTGTTTTCTTTGCCGTGCCGTTATTTCTTCTCATTTGTCTTAACTTCGGTTTTTTCTCCATTGCGTCCAAGAATATCCTGGATGCTGAAAAACAATCTGCCGCCTATTTGGGCAAAGGTGTTGATTTCAAATTTCGTATATGTGCTAAACTGGCTGTTGTGATGGGATTGACGTTGGTGTTGGGATTCTTGGCGTCCATGTTTCCATACACCGTTATCTGGTACACTTACATCATTTTCAACACTTTTCAGGGCTTGTTTATATGTGTTGCGTTTGTGTGTACCAGAAAGGTGTTCAATTTACTCCGGGACTGGTTTAGTAATCTTCGGAGACCGTCTGCCACCACTGACAGAAACCTCTCGAGCCCGACACGCAGCGCTGATCTCTCGTGAAGAAGAGCTGGGAGGTTATCGCTACCCTGCAGGCATCTGCAAGAAATTACATTAGATTCGGAAGCAGTGAACATGAAAAGGCAAATACTGTTTACAGTGATAATTTATATAATGCACGAAAATAGTTAGGGATCATTAATGTTTTTGGAGTCATTTTTAATGAAATTGTCTTCATCACAAAAAATATCCACATAAAATCCTCACCTGTTTTGTTCAGGATATTAGTTACAAAATTACTTTTTCGAAGAGAGGATAAAAAAGTAACTGCACGTATTAGTGGGACGTTTGACAAAAGGATAAATCAAACCTGTCTGGTGTTTTGTACTGAAAATGGTCCCTTTATTATGGTTATTATATATATATATATATATATATATATATTTCACATGCTGCCAGGCACCTTTCCGGTGTGTTCAGTCCCCAGTGTTGGACAACAAACATGTAGCCATGTAGTCCGTGTATTCGAAACAGCGATGACTATACAATTCAAACGGCAATGGACAATTGAAGGCAAGGGACTAACTGGATTACGTACTGACACCTTGTCCTCAATTTACACCCTCAATGAACAATAGTAAAACGGTGATGGGGCTATTGCCTTTGGAGTGGATAAATTGTGGATAAGTCGTCTTTAAATGCGACGACTATAGAGGAAATTCAGTCGAAATGCTTATAACGAACTACGGTTATAACGAACTAAAATTGGATATCCCTTTTGAGTTCTTTATAACCGGAGGCGATCGGTTAAAGTGGTGAAAGTGTTCGCTCATCTCGCCGAAGACCCGGGTTCGATTCCCGACATGGGTACAATGTTTGAAGCCCATTTCTGGTGTCCCCCGCCGTGATATTGCTCGAATATTGTTAAAAGCGGCATAAAACCATACTCACTCACTCTTTATAACCGTAGTTTACTGTCATTATTTTTCGTGCTGATATGAGACCAGTGTCTGTGTTTCGCAGGTATATATACTGAGCAAACAAAATGAGGGATCATGAATATTTTTGGGGATGTGTTTTGTAGTGAAGACTTAGCACACAATTTCATAAAAAAAAAAAATTAACCAAAAAATGTTCATGATCCCTAACTTTTTATGTTCAGTATATACGTATAGATATTGTTTGATGAATTAGATGAAAGGGGTAAAGAAGGAAGGTTGTGAGGGAAATACTGGCAACCATAGAGGGAAACGATTGTGAATTTTCTTTTCAAGGGTGTCCATCATCATAGTGAGTGGGTAAATGCTTAACACTAATTATGTTCATGGTTTCCATTGATATATCATGTTTAAAGGTTTTCTTTATTTCTTTTAGGAAACATCCCTGTATATACTGTTCCCATCTCCCCTGTCACGATCCCCGGTAGTGTGTATACATAGTTACAAACATGCTTGACTACAATAATATGTTTTTACATTATATGTGTTACACTTAGAATAATAAATAAAATAATAATCTGGTATATATTTTGATTTTGCATCCCTCTTCAGTCTGCCCATACCATTGGATTTATGCCAGTGAAAGGCACGCGTCTAAAATGTCCAATCACGACTACCGCTTCAAACACCTGAATTGCAAATGACTGACAAAAGGTTGGTGTGACCAAATGTAGTTCCAACCTTGCAGTCTTGTGCCGTCACAACAAAACACGCTGAAAGATGGTTCCAGTTGTTACCACACTGGCGCACCCGTGAAGATCCGGGGTAGAATAGGTCTTCAGGAACCCATGCTTGCCGTAAAAGGCGACATGCTTGTCGTAAAAGGCGACTTACGGGACCGGGTGGTCAGGCTCGCAGACTTGGTCGATGCATGACATCGATCCCAATTGCGTTGGTCGATGCTCATGATATCAATCGGTGGATTGTCTGGTCCGGACTCGATTATTTACAGACAGCCGTCATATAGCTGGAATATTGCTGAGTATGGCGTTAAACAACAAACCAGCCAACCAACCGCACTGGCGCATAAAACAAGGTCTGGTCACACACGGACATTCACACACACGTGCATACACGTCGCTATATAAGTGCAACAGTCTTGAAACAATTTAGGTCCAGCATGGCTTGCTCTGGATCCGACATCGGGGTCATAAGTCACCGGATATGTCTGTGAAGGAATAGCGCCCTTTACGCGTGCCGGAAACCTTTCCTGATTTGAATCCCAGATTCGCCTTGATCACGATTTTTCCATTTGTCTCGAACTATGGATCACTCCATACATTAACCGTTGCCCCAAATACTTCGCGTTACCGGGGCAACTGGCCAGGTCATGTGTTTATTAAACATTTGGAGTGTCACAGGACAGCTGTAACTGTAACAGGATCTATACCTTGTAGCCATGTCTGTAGTAATGATTATTTATGTACATGGGTTTGTAGGTGGCCCACTCGTCTTGGGCGCCGCAATTTGCTGTGCACTGTTGCGTCCCTTAGACGTACAAGGAACCTAGGATCTTTGGTATTAATCACAGATAGGCTTTGGTTATACGGCAAACGTCTTAGCATCGCATCATTCGTTTTCTTTTCCCACATTAAGCTAACACCGTTATGTTACTGAAACACTGTTTTAAGCGACGTTTTAATCTAATCCGTAAACAAACAAACAAATCAAAGCTTATAAAATTTAAAACTGTGTAAAGGTAGCAGTTGTTTCTCTGTTGCGCAATCAAACACGTACCACTGCATTCAGTAAGTTACTGGAAATAAAGTATGCTGGTACAACTTTGTCTGAGACAGTCATGTAGCTTGCATATGGTATCGGCCATTTAGCAGGGATTTATAACACACCCTGAAGCTGGTATATTACAACAATTATGTAGCTGGACTATAGAACACAATAGGAAGCTGGTATAAAAAGCAACATTCGAGTATAGCTAGTTTACAACAACAGCCGAGTATAGCTAGTTTACAACAGCCGAGTATAGCTACTTGAAAACAACAGCCGAGTATAGCTAGTTTACAACAACAGCCGAGTATAGCTACTTTACAACAACAGCCGAGTATAACTAGTTTGCAACAACAGCCGAGTATAGCTAGTTTACAACAGCCGAGTATAGCTAGTTTACAACAGCCGAGTATAGCTAGTTTTCAACAACAGCCGAGTATAGCTAGTTTACAACAGCCGAGTATAGCTAGTTTTCAACAACAGCCGAGTATAGCTAGTTTACAACAACAGCCGAGTAAAGCTGGTTTACAACAACAGCCGAGTATAACTGGTTTACATCAACAGCCGAGTATAGCTGGTTTACATCAACAGCCGAGTAAAGCTTGTTTACATCAACAGCAGAATATAGCTACTTAACATCAACAGCCGAGTATAGCTGGTTTACACAAACAGCCGAGTATATCTGGTCTACATCAATAGCCGAGTATAGCTGGTTTACATCAACAGCCGAGTATAGCTGGTTTACATCAACAGCCGAGTAAAGCTAGTTTACATCAATAGCCGAGTATAGCCAGTTTACAACAGCCGAGTATATCTGGTTTACATCAACAGCCGAGTATATTTGGTTTACATCAACAGCCGAGAAAAGCTAGTTTACAACAGCCGAGTATAGCTAGTTTTCATCAACAGCCGAGTATAGCATCTTTACATCAACAGCCGAGTAAAGCTAGTTTCCAACAATAACTGAGTATAGCTGGTTTACATCAACAGCCGAGTATATCTGGATTACATCAACAGCCGAGTAAAGCTAGTTTACAACAACAGCCGAGTATAGCTAGTTTACAACAACAGTCGAGTATAGCTAGTTTACAAGAACAGCCGAGTATAGCTATTTTACAACAACAGCCGAGTAAAGCTAGTTTACAACAACAGCCGAGTTTATCTGGTTTACATCAACAGCCGAGTATAGCTGGTTTACAACAGCCGAGTATAACTAGTTTACAACAACAGCCGAGTATAGCTACTTTACAACAACAGCCGAGTATAGCTAGTTTACAGCAACAGCCGAGTTTATCTGGTTTACATCAACAGCCGAGTATAGCTGGTTTACAACAGCCGAGTATAGCTGGTTTACAACAGCCGAGTATGACTAGTTTACAACAACAGCCGAATATAGCTAGTTTACAACAACAGCCGAGTAAAGCTAATTTACAACAACCGAGTATATCTGGTTTACATCAACAGCCGAGTATAGCTACTTTACAACAACAGCCGAGTATAGCTGGTTTACATCAACAGCCGAGTATATCTGGTTTACATCAACAGCCGAGTAAAGCTAGTTTACAACAGCCGAGTATAGCTAGTTTACATCAACAGCCGAGTATAGCTAGTTTACATCAACAGCCGAGTATAGCATCTTTACATCAACAGCCGAGTATATCTGGTTTACATCAACAGCCGAGTAAAGCTAGTTTACAACAACGGCCGAGTATAGCTGGTTTACACCAACAGCCGAGTATAGCTGGTTTACATCAACAGCCGAGTATATCTGGTTTAGATCAACAGCCGAGTATAGCTAGTTTACAACAACAGCCGAGTATAGCTAGTTTACAACAACAGCCGAGTATAGCTAGTTTACAACAACAGCCGAGTTTATCTGGTTTACATCAACAGCCGAGTATAGCTGGTTTACAACAGCCGAGTATAACTAGTTTACAACAGCCGAGTATAGCTACTTTACAACAACAGCCGAGTATAGCTAGTTTACAACAACGGCCGAGTATAGCCAGTTTAAACCAACAGTCGAGTATAGCTAGTTTAAACCAACAGCCGAGTATATCTGGTTTACATCAACAGCCGAGTATATCTACTTTACAACAACAGCCGAGTATAACTACTTTACATCAACAGCCGAGTATAGCTAGTTTACAACAACAGCCGAGTTAAGCTAGTTTACATCAACAGCCGAGTATAGCCGGTTTACATCAACAGCCGAGTATAGCTACTTTACAACAACAGCCGAGTATAACTACTTTACATCAACAGCCGAGTAAAGCTAGTTTACAACAACAGCCGAGTATAGCTGGTTTACATCAACAGCCGAGTATATCTGGTTTACATCAACAGCCGAGTAAAGCTAGTTTACAACAACAGTCGAGTATAGCTAGTTTAAAAAAACAGCCGAGTATAGCTGGTTTACATAATCAGCCGAGTATAGCTAGTTTACATCAATAGCCGAGTATAGCTAGTTTACATCAACAGCCGCGTTTAGCTAGTTTACATCAACAGCCGAGTATAGCTGGTTTACATCAACAGCCGAGTATAGCTGGTTTACATCAACAGCCGAGTATAGCTGGTTTACATCAACAGCCGAGTATAGATACTTTACAACACCAGCCGAGTATAGATACCTTTCAACAACGGCCGTGTATAGCTAGTTTACATCAACAGCCTAGTATAGCTAGTTTACATCAACAGCCGAGTATAGCTACTTTACAACAACAGCCGAGTATAGATAGCTTACAACAACGGCCGAGTATATCTGGTTTACATCAACAGCCGAGTATAGCTACTTTACATCAACAGCCGAGTATAGCTAGTTTACAACAACAGCCGAGTATATCTGGTTTACATCAACAGCCGAGTATAGCTAGTTAACATCAACAGCCGAGTATAGCTAGTTTACATCAACAGCCGAGTATAACTACTTTACATCAACAGCCGAATATTTTCAAATTAATTACTTTTCCACATAAATACGAAGGACTTACAGTGTTACGGCAGACAGTCTGGGGATAATAATATGTTATGGTATTTAATTACAAGCTGCAAAATAGGGTTTATACTAGTTTCTCGCCAATAACGTAAATCAATTATTAGAATTAATCTTCTAACGTCTTTTGATACCCATGGCTTCGGATCGACCTCCCGACATTCCGCTGCCCAGGCAGACGCTCTGTCCACACAGGCAACCAAGACACAACTACTTGAGAGAAAGAAACAAAACATGGAAACTGCAATTTCAATAACCTTCACCCATCTAATCTCGTCATCATTATGAAGTTACAGTGACTGCACCAGGTGAAGCGGATGAACCCTCTGAATGTCAAGCTAGGTCACTGTACGGAAATAGTTCTCACTTAAAACGTCTGGAAGACGAGAATCACAACGAGAGTATGCAGATCTGTTTTTTGCTTTCTTTACTGTTGTGTCCTTGAGCCAAGGTAATGATTTACGAGCAGATTCGCCAAGCCTGATAAATACTGTCCCAATTAGTGATAGCAATACCTATTTAACGCACACATTGATGGCAGAGCTTCTTGCTGGTCTTCGTTCTAACTAATTTGACGGGGGATGGCCAAAATAGCAAATAATTAGGCACGAGGAAACCGGAATCCGAGTCGTATCTGCCAAACGCATCCCTAATGTACATGTATTGATAATTCTCGTTCATTGTAGTCGGCATCGCCTGTTGCCAGAGAGGGCAGGGGTAAATGTTGTAAATAAATGAGTGTGTTTAGTTTTACGCCGCTTCAAACGGTATTGAAGTTATGTTTGGTGTGGGAGGAGTGAGTGAGAATGGTCTTAGGCAGCTTTTAGCAATATTCCAGCAATATCAAGGCGGGGGACACTAGAAATGGGCTTCATACAATTTAACCATTTCGGGAATCGAACCCAGGTCTTCGGCGTGACGAGCAAACGCGTTAACCACTAGGCTCCCCGACCGCTCTGGTGTGGAAGGAAAACCAAGATAGGCAGGCGTTATACTTTTATCTGTTTGGTGAGGGGCACGCGTGGCCCAGTCGTCTAAGGCGCCGCGATTCGCTGTGCAGAGTTGCGTCCCTTGGGCACGCCAGAAACCTATGAATGCGGGTTCGAATCCCGGTTCGCTCCGATTATGTTTCTAGGTTTGTCAGCACCATACCCGTGCTCGTGGGTTTCACCGAAGTAGTAAACGTCTGAGACCTGCATCACTTGGGGCTTTCCTCACACATTAAGCTGACACGCAGTGATATAATTGGAATACTGTTAAAAGCAGCGTTAAACCCAACTCACTCACTCACTCAGTTTGGTGAAACCAAAGAACACGGGTATCGTACTGACAAACCTAGAAGCTTAACTACAGCGTACATGGAATTCGAAACGATCACACTTTCCTGACATGCCTAAGGGACACAACTCCGCATAGCGATTTATTTCAGGCATGGCTACTAGAAATAGATACTGCGACGCTCAAATTGCATTTTCAAAATGTTTACTAGACACAAGACACAAGACAAAGCCAGTTGCCCGGTAAAGCAAAGTGTTTGGGCAGCGGTCCATATACCCTGTTGTCCTTGTTCACGACAAACGGACTAGTCGTGTTGCTGCTAAAAGACAAAAGAGTAATGAAAACACGTTAACTCCTTCGGACCGTATAAACCTTGTTGGAGACAAAAGGAATACCGATATGTGACCATGGAGGCCATGAGTCACGGAACACTGCGTGTGAAGAAATCGCGAGTTATCGAGGGTCTGTTGTATTTATGTTCAATACACGAAAGTAAAGCTATTCCAATGTAAGCTAGACATCCATGTGGTGAACACGAGCACACTGATGCACTTAGTCGACGCCACACAGGCGGTGAAGCAGCATTGCAGTCACAGTTCTTGACACAGAGCTTAACCTTCATGAAATCAAGGAGTTACGTTTCCAGTAAATTCAAAACATCAAAGCCAGAGAGTAATCAGCCTGAACTATCTGCCGAAAAAGATTCCACAGGGCTTTGGAATTCTAGCTTCACTAAACATCGTGCGTGAGTTTCGTTAACCCGTCTGTGGATAATATATGTCACGGCGTGACAGTTTGTTGGGGAAGACTAAGTGAGTGAGTTGGGTTTAACGCCGCTTTTAACAGTATTCCAGTGATATCACGGCATGTCAGCTTAATGTGGGAGGAAAGCCCCAAGTGATGCAGGTCTTAGACATTAACCACTTCGGTGAAACCCACGAGCACGGGTATGGTGCTGACAAACCTAGAAACATAATCGGGGCGAACCGGGATTCAAACCCGCAATCATAGGTTTCTGGCGTGCCCAAAGGACGCAACTCTGCACAGCGAATCACGGCGCCTAAGACGACTGGGCCACGCGTGCCCCATGTTGGGGAAGAGGGTCCCAAGTTATGCAGGTCTTAAACGAACACGCGTTTGGCACTGATTCATCCAGAAACCTAATGATAGGTTCCTGGTACGCCGAAGGGACGCAACTCTGCACATCAAATAGACAATTGGGCCGCCCGTGCCCACAACTCAGCATATAGTTAAAAGTCTCATGGATGCGAGATAACCGACAAGATTCGCATACCGCATATGACACATTGCAGTCAGTTTAAAGTTCGGTTGCTGGAATGTAGTTGTTGATGTAACAGAAGACGTTCCATGTAAACATGACACCGACCTCTTGGCGGTCGTTATACACACCTATGTTCGTTCATTATCTCCTCTTATATACACAGGCTGGTGTTTACAACTGTCTCACCAGACGAATGCCTCCCCTTCTCAAGTCAGTTTCTATTCTATGGTCTTAATAATACATTAAAGTTTCACTTTATGCACTCATACGTTCCAACACTACACGTAATAAACTAATAAAGGTATATGTTTACTACTTTTGGTTTATGCTGATCTGACTTGTAAATCATTAGAATGCCTCTCGTATAACAATATTAAACCAGATTTGATTATGTCCAATTATATATTTGAGAAGCTTCATCGTTTCAACTGACACACTCGATTGTGTCCAGACCCCTGCCTAAAAACGTTATCGTTCCAAATGAATTAAAAGAGTAAGTATTTTCTTTAACACTTTGATAACATACCTTACAATAATCCTGCATTTATTAAAGTATATATCATGTTGTTTGAATCCAATTCACTGAATGGCCGGCCATATGTGACACTCAAAGTGTATACGTTAGCAGTGGGTGTTGTGATTCAATCTTAGCAGTGTATTAACTATGTCATTGGCGCTGTCTGATATCACGTGAATGCCTACAAGGCGTATGTCTGGCACACTAATGTAAACTGTTTAGGATCCCGGACCATTTTGAATGAACGCCTGTGACGTGAACAGCCCTGCTCCAATTGAAGGCGATCTGAACTAACCCAGCAGTGTATCGAAAGACTTGCTGTTAGATACACCATGAAGAACGTACCCAACACAATCGGAAGCAAGGTTTTCTTTTTAATTATTTTCACAAGCCAGATTGTGTTAATCACTTTGGACCAAGGGGTAATTGGAACGGAGCAAGAACTCCATGGCGTGTATTTTTCCAACTCTCCAAACCTATCCTGCTCTACTTGGTCGTGCCAACAAAATAATTACTGGAGACCATCGAATGTAAGAGGATACTTCAGAGACATGGGGTGTGCTTGTGACCAGTATTGTGGAATTGTGGGAGATTGTTGCATGGATTACAATTCTAACTCAGACGATGATGAGATGGGGACACTTGATAGAATAGAACCTCACCTCCGCTGTGTCCAAGACTCGACTGTGGCCACTGAGGACGGGTTTTTAGCTGTGGTCAGTTGTCCCCAAAGCTGGTTGGGATCTGAGACTGAGGTTTTATGCAAGTCTGACAATGTCAGCGATCTGATGCTGAGACTACCAGTTACAGGGAATCACTCGGGCCTTGTATACCGCAACCTGTACTGCGCTGTGTGCCACGACGAACCCTATCAGTTGTGGCGACCAACGGTTGACTGCAGTTCAATGAAACCATTAGATCTTACTGCGGCATCCATGATGGACGAAATCCTGGAAAACCAGAATTGTCATCTTCAAAAGCTTACTCCAAAAAAAGAAGGAAAATACCGACCGTGTAAACCGGATGTCATTAAAAGTTGTGCTCCGGATTTCAATGATACGGACATGATATCAAGGTGTGTATCAAGTGTGCATATGCAATTGGCGTTCTCTGAATCAGGTGGGACGTTTTATAACGTTGAATGTGCCCTGTGTAACTACCATTCTCCCTCCTGCCTAAACAATGGCGTGAGACCCTTTGGAAAGGGCGTTCGATCAAGAGGATTTTACTCTTTTTCAATTCTGTTTGACTTGAACACCCAAACCGGATCAACTCAAGTAGGCTCCAGACTAAACAAGGTCCAACAACAAGTAAACATGACACATACGTGTCCCAGATTTCAGGTTTACGACCCATTCATTCGAAGGTGTCGTAATGTTTATACAGATGTTGTAGTACATCCAGAACTGACTTCACATGTTACAAATTTTAGCCATAGTTTAAGCAGCAACGCCGGTGATTGTTCACGACTTCGATTAAATGGAAGCGAGTTTGCCATTTCTGAAGACGGCACATTAGAGACTGTATCGGGATATGTATTCGACCAGTCGGAATACTATTATGATGGAAAATTCGCCTATGTGTGTACCAATTTAACCCAAAATTTCACAGAAATATCAACTTTCATTGATCAAAAGACAGAATTTAATTTCTCACCAATGACAGCTATCATCACATCAGTAGGTTTATTTGTTTCTTTATTAGGACTGATGATTACCATGGTGATATATGCCCTCATCAAATCTCTGAGAAATATTCCTGGGAAAATCATTCTCTCCCTTACCACGTCGTTGTTCTTTGCCAACCTGACTGTGCTCTTCGCACCACGGGCTGAAAGTTTTCCAACTTTATGTAAAGTTATTGCGGCGTTGATGCACTATCTGTTCCTGGACGCATTCTTGTGGATGAACGTAATGGCGGCAGATGTCTGGTTCACATTCTCCAAGAGTTTTGTCAAGGCGGGCGATGGTGGGAAGTCGTCGAAGAGGTTCATATTTTACAACGTTTATGTCAGGGGAGTTGCCATCGTTCTTGTAACGGCAGCCGTAACTGTCGACAACGTGGTCTCTGAAAGTCAGTTCAAGCCAAATTACGGACGTGGGTTATGCTGGATAACAAACAAACGAGGCCTACTTGTGTTCTTTGCTTCGCCCTTATTTCTTCTCATTTGTCTTAACTTTGTATTTTTCTCCATTGCTGCCAAGAATATCCACGATGCTAAGCGGAAGTCTGCTATCTATTTGGGCAAAGGTGACAGGAGCCAATTTGGTATTTATGTCAAACTGTCTGTTGTAATGGGATTGACGTGGGTGTTGGGGTTCTTGGCCTCGCTGTTCCCTTACACCGTAATGTGGTGCATTTATATAATCTTCAACACTCTTCAAGGCATGTTTATATGTATAGCGTTTGTGTTTACAAGAAGGGTTTTGCATTCACTCCGGGAGCGATTTATCAATCTACGGAGACAGTCTGCCGCCTCTGGCCAGATGCCCTCAACCCCCACACGTAGCACTGTTCTCACCTTCAAGATCACAGACCGAGTGCAGTAAGTGTTCAAGCTGTTTTTACAGCTGCAACATCGCAGTACAACTTTTCCAAGGCCCCATGACGTGTTTACATGAACCACGGAGCGAGAGAAGATGTGTTACGCCTTGTATCTATTGGATGTGGTAATAATACAGACTACTGCTTGTTACTGCATCGGATTACATTCGCTGTTATGGCTTCGTGTGCAGTGAAACCTGATTAACACGACATTTAGTGTACATGCGTGTTGCACTCGGCAATATTTCTGCTATAGACAGCGGCCTGTAAATAATGTCTTGACCAGACAATCCAGTGATTGATATTGTGAGCAACGATCTACTTTGTAGGGGTACAACGACACACCATCAACCAAGTAAGTCTGATCACAGAAATCCTTTACGTCGCCTCTTACGATATGCAATGGTTGTTGGGGACCAATTGTAACGTGGAATCAACACGTGGGCGAAATTCAATAACCTGACAGATCCCTTAAAACGATATGTCTACAAAACTAAGCGGAAACAAACTTTCATATTTCTTATTCGACATGACAGAACACGAAGTAGGGTGAGTTAATGCCTGTATAAATGCTAAGGCCGGTACCAAAAATAAAACATTATGAGAGATTGTGATGTCATATCTATTGTGACGTCTTTACATATTACATCAAATAGTTGGGTCTGCATTCGTTTGTCTTGAAAATATGGATACTAAACAAAAATAATTACCCCACGGTTAAAGTCAACTAATCGTGACAAAATTAATGACATTAACATATTATTCGTTATTACCAGCTGGTTTGTTATATCTAACAATACACGTCCCACCCCTAATGTTATAAGTCAATAAGACTAGTGCAATATGCATACAACGTACGGGTACATTTGTTACTTCAAAAGATAGTTGCCTGTTTCAAACAGTTCGAGATTTGATGTTAATATACTGGTACGCGCATGGGACGTGGATACATATACTCGATGATGGTGTTCACCAAAAAGGATTTCAACACACATTTGAATGTACGCTAACCTGCATTAAAAGTATTTAGTTTTTGACATTATTTGTGTTTTTTGTTTCTATTTATAGTTCAGTCTATTCATATTTAAAATCTGCAAGTTGTGGGTTCTACACCTCTATGTTAATGTATCAACTAGCCAGGTACACAAATTACTATAGACACATGCAGTTAAATCAATATGGCAATAGTTATACATGAAATTAATATCAACAGTAGTGAACGTCTTTAGTTTCGTTGTCAAAACCGTCACCAGTTAGCGGCATCATGTGTTGGTAGGCCCATTCTTCGGTTTAGCTATTTACTCTTTTCTCTCTTTACTCTTAAGACCGCCTCCGTGATCTAATGGCAGAGCGTCCGCCCGGAGAGCGGAAGGTCCGGGGCTCGATCCCCGGCCGCGTCATACCAAAAGACTTTAAAAGATGGTACTTGTTGTTACCCTGTCTGGCGCTCGGCATTAAGGAACTAAAACAAAGGGCTGGTCGGCTCGGAGTCAGTATACTGAGTCTGAGTGGGGTATTCATGTTAAACTGCGGCATGGTATCTCAGTGTGCTAACACTATAAATCGGCATTAGTCCGGACTCGTACAAGCAGCCACACACACACACATACACGTGCATGCACGTCGCTATATAAGTGCAATAATCTTGGACACGACGCTAAACCCGACTTCACCTCTTTACTCTTATCCTTCAAAGTGCCGCGACGTGCCGTTATACATGACAATAGTGCAATGTTACACATATTGACCATGTCGGGCTGACATTTACTCCACTGTGCAATGTTGTATAGCGTTATCTGCATTGTTATGATTTGATATCTGGCGTCATTGTTGTATTCTCATATCTGCATTTTTGTATTCTGATATCTTGGTTCGTTGTTGCATTGATGCTGTCTGTATTGTTATATTGATGGTATCTGCGTTTTTATATTGTGATATTTTGGGTTGTTGTATTGATAGTATTTGCATTGGTGTGTTGTGATGTCTGCTTGTATTGTTATATCTTGGGTCGTTGTTGTATTGATGGTGTCTGTATTGTTGTATTGATGGTATATGCTTTGTTGTATTGTAATATTTGGGGTCATCGTTGTAATGGGTTGTATCTGCTATGTTGCATTCGTGATAAGTTTTAGTGAAATATGATTATACATACTTGGTATAGATATGTTTTCCATACACCCATAGACACAATGTTACAGACATTTCAATGTGCAAATTCAAATGCGTTGAGATCAGATGTCACTTTGTCTTATTGTCATCCACAAAGTACAATGCCTGTGCAGATTTTATCCATTTGGGTAACACTAGGTGTTTAGTGCTTGAATTTAAAACTGTACGTTTTGTTGTTTTTCTTTTTCAATGTAGTGCGATGGATATACAAATGTATTTTTTATGCGGAATAGCGTAATTGCTCTAAATGCATATAAATTGTTTGATAGGCATTACTTATAAGTTGGAGGTTGCCAAAGTAAACATAATTTATGGATAACAACTTCTTTATTTTACTGTAATGGGGACGTTTCGGTATAGATTCTTAATATACCGTTGTCAAGCAAGACTGAAAAATGAACATGGTACAGCATATATATCGTAGGTGGAGGATTAACAGTAACAAATAATTACATATATGAGAGAGATTAACATGAGTATGTTAAATAATAACAACACGAGGATAATACTGAAACAATATGATGGATAAAGAACACATGATGAGGAATTGTTTAATAGGCATTACTTGAAGTTGACGGATGACAAAGTAGACACAATGTATGGATAACAATTTCTTTGATACTGTAAAGGCGACGTTTCGGTATAGACCCTTATACCGTTGTCAAGTCCTTGCTTGACAACGATATAAGGATTGATGCATCTAAAGAATTACACATTTTATTAAATACATCAGAAGTTTAGAGACATATGTATTAGTTATGAAGTAGAATCACTGACACGAGTTCCTACATGTTCAAGCCTCAATAAAATTTTACATAAAGCAGAAAGACTGTAACACATAAATACGTTGTAGGTGCCTTACCTATCACAGCATGCTTAATTGAAATGGTTCTCCAGCCAAACATGTCAAAGCGTTTATGTTATATGTTAGCAATGAGTCTCCAAACAAATAAAAACTTACCTGGATTAACACATCACCGACGATTCTGTATCGTGCCAAGATTATAAGTACTAACCAAGCCTTCCTTTGGAATAGGCTGCATTTATATGTCCAGCTGGTTTCCTTCGGGTTTTAATATGTACAGTAATTTCACACATTTTCAATGGTTAACTTCCTGAGTGTGATAAACAAAAGTAACATTTTAGCAGTCATAATTACTATTCCATGGACATTGAGTATGTACGATGTCCTGATCAGCCACATGGTCTGATAATACGCTTATATCTCAGCCACATGGTCTGATAATACGCTTATATCTCAGGTACTGACATCCAGACTGTGGGTGCAACTTTCTTTGCACGCATTGGATGACGCCATATTCTCGTTCAAGTCCAGAGAAGCCAGAGTGTTAATAGACAAGTTATGAAGACCACGATGGAGACCAACCGTGGAGAAAGCGGACGCAAATATTTAGTGTTTATAATGTTTATAGGAAAATTGGTATTGATCAGTTCGGATGAAGGACAAATTGAAACAGAAGAGTTGCTGTCGTGTTCTTCGTGGTATTGTAAACCGAATATTGACTGGATGCGTTCCCATTCAAGGGGATATTTCACAGACATGGGATGCTCATGTGATCAGTTTTGCAAAATAATGGGTGACTGTTGCATGGATTATAATTCAACCTCGGATTCTGATGCGGTAGTTCATAAGATCGAACCATATGTCGGATGTGTCAATGACTCGACTGTAACTAACGACGATGGTTTTCTGGCTGTTGTCAGTTGTCCAAGTGGTTGGCTCGGATCGGAGACAAACGACGCATGCATGTCCAAGAACATAAGCGATCTAATGCTGAGACTTCCGGTCACTGGGAACACATCCGGGCTTCTATACCGCAACTTGTACTGTGCTGTGTGCCACGACGAACCTTATCAGTTTTGGAGACCGAAGGCGGAATGCAACTCACAAACATCATTAAATATTAATCCTGAATCAACGATAGAGGAAATCCTGGTTAATCCAGAGTGCCAACTTAAATTCCTACCTCCCACCAAAGAAGATAAATATCGACCATGTAAACTGGAAGTCATTAGAAGGTGCGCTCCCGACTTCAACAACACTGTAAAGGTATCTGCATGTGAGACAAGTGTGTACATGCAACTAGTGTATTCCTTTTCGGGTTGGACATATTTCAATATGGAATGTGCTCAATGTAACCATCAACCCCCGTTCTGCTTCATTATTGAAAAGGCTGAAGCGGTTCAAAGCTTAGGTTTGTATTCTTTCTCAGTTCTTCTGGATCTAAATGACAACTCTGGATCAGCCAAAGTAGGCTATCGACATATAACAATGGAGCGAGACCTTAACCTGACACACGCATGTTCAAGGTTCCAGATTTACGATCCCTTCATTCGGGAGTGCCGGAGAGTTCTCAGAGATATCAGGCTTCGTCCAGGACTGATTTCAAGTACGGAATCAATGTTTAATGATTGTACAAGACTTCAATTAAACGAAAGCGAGTTTGTTATAGCTGGAGACGGCACACTGGAGACCTTATCAGGATATGTATACAGCAGGAAGGAATACTATCATGATGGAGAATATACATATGTGTGTACTAATTTCTCAGAATCTACCAGGTTCTTTGACAAAAATATAGTGTTAACCTTCTCACCCACATCAGCTATTATCACAACAATATGCTTATTTGTTTCATTAGTAGGCTTGCTGATTACCATGGTGATATACGCTGTCGTCAAAACGCTGAGAAATATTCCTGGGAAAATTCTCCTCTCTCTAACCACGTCGTTGTTCTTTGCCAACCTGGCTGTGCTCTTCGCACCACGGGCAGAAAGTCTTCCAACTTTATGTAAAGTTATTGCGGCGTTGATGCACTATCTGTTCCTGGACGCATTCTTGTGGATGAACGTAATGGCGGCAGATGTCTGGTTCACATTCTCCAAGAGTTTTGTCAAGGCGGGCGATGGTGGGAAGTCGTCGAAGAGGTTCATATTTTACAACGTTTATGTCAGGGGAGTTGCCATCGTTCTTGTAACGGCAGCCGTAACTGTCGACAACGTGGTCTCTGATAGTCAGTTCAAGCCAAATTACGGACGTGGATTATGCTGGATAACAAACAAACGAGGCCTACTTGTGTTCTTTGCTTCGCCCTTATTTCTTCTCATTTGTCTTAACCTAGGATTTTTCTTCATTGCTGCCAAGAATATCCACGATGTTAAGCGGAAGTCTGCTATCTATTTGGACAAAGGTGACAGGAGCCAATTTGGTATTTATGTTAAACTGTCTGTTGTAATGGGATTGACGTGGGTGTTGGGGTTCTTGGCCTCGCTGTTCCCTTACACCGTAATGTGGTGCATTTATATAATCTTCAACACTCTTCAAGGCATATTTATATGTGTAGCGTTTGTGTTTACAAGGAGAGTTTTGTATTTAGTCCGAGATCATTACATCAACCCTTGAAGACTGTCTGGTGTTTCTGACCAGAGGCATTCAAGGCTCTCGCGTAACACTGTGTTGACTTACCAGATCACCGAAAGTCGGCTTTGAGTTATCGTCAAGTAACGTAGAATACATGGTTTTGCCAGATATTGCCTATAGTAAATGTAGTAATATTATTGTATGTCATTACAGTTGTTTTCTTTAGTTTCAACAAAATCAGTAAATGCGCCATCGTGTTACTGGTTTTCTGTTCCATCGTTGTCTGGTTTGTTGACAGGGCGCCGCTGCATGGCAGGAGTACTGCTGTGCTGTGTCAGACAACAAACACATATATAATGCAAGTTGTGTTAGTGGCGTATGCTATCATTTGGACAGGACATACTTACTCTTTTCGTGAACACCTGGTGTCATCACTGATTTTGAGTGAACTTTTCACATATTTTCAACTCTCTTTTGACAATGGAATCTGTTTCGTCGGATAATCGAGATATTCTATGGCGTTGGCGATTTATATTTTCTGTAACGACTCGATGTAATACTGACAGAACGTAGCACGTTTTGCGAACAGTTTCGTAGAACAACGTTGGTCATGTTTGCGCCATCCGAAATGTCTCACCGATATACAGGCAAACTGATATTGGTGTTAACACACATGCACACATCACGGCACTGGTACCCGACGAATCCATTCCACAAAGCACGAAACCATTTCCATTGACGACCGTTATAGTCTGGACTTCCTGGTACAATAAACTACGTTTATAACGAACACGCTTATAACGAACTGACAGATATAACGAACTTATTTTTTGGTCTCGGCCATTTGCTGTATATATGCTGTATATATGCATATAACGAACTGCGGTTATAACGAACTAAAATTAGTGGTCACTTTGAGTTCGTTATAACAGTAGTTTACTGTATGTGGAAAGTGGAACATACGCGCCCACTTGTGCTACGTATACATTGACAAGTTAGGCCACATTGGTTAAGGGGCATTCTAGTATTCATTCACGTAATCACAAACAATGTCTAATTGTATCAACTACACATTCGTCACTACAACCCATCTGGATCTGTACAATCAAGATATCGGTTTCTTATCATTTCGATTGATTATATTGATGCTATGGGCCTTGCTTGGTTTCCGGTATTGTGGTATACACAATTCTGCTAATATTGAAGATGTACCATAGAAACGGTGACATGATTATAGCAGTAACAGTGACATTGTCACGAACTGAGTGAGAACTACGTGAAGGTATATCTTAAAGTAGTATTTGTTTGTTTGTCTATTGTTTAACGCCGCACTCATCACTATTTCAGCTATATGACGGCGATCTTTAAATAATCAAGTCTGGATTAGACAGTCCAGTGATTGACTTAATGAGCATTGGTCCACGAAGTGGGATACGATGACATGCATCAACCAAGTCAGCAAGCCCTACCACCCGGTCCCGTTAGTCGCCTCTTACAACAAGCATAGTCGCCTTTACGGCAAGCATGGGTTACCTGAAGATTAAATGCGCAGGCTGATGATCATGATGTCAATCACTGCATTTCCTGGTCCAAACTCGATTGTTTACCATCATCAAGCTGGAATCCGGCGTTAAACAACAAACATACAAACAAACAAACGGCAAACAACTTCATTCATAATTATGTTTTAGTTAAACCAGTGTATAGGGGGCCGCCTCCACGCGGTCGAGTGGATGAAACTTCTGCCAGGAGAGGGGAAGGTCGGGGGATCGATCCCTGGCGGCGTCATACCAAAAGACGTTTATAGATGGTACTTGTTGTTACCCTGCCTAACGCTGGGCAATAAGGGGGTAAAACAAGGACTTGACGGCTCAGAGTCAGTATACTGTGTTTGAGTGGAGTATTCATGTTAAACTGCGGCATGGTAGCCTAGTGGGCTAGCACTATAAAACCAACATTATTCCGGACTAGTATAAGCCGACACAAATGCACACACACACGTGCACGCCACTTCATAAGTGCAACACACACAGCCTCACACGCACGCACGCGCACACACACACGTCCAGTATTTTTAAATAATTATATAACTCGCGGCCTGAGTGTAGAAATGAGCTTACTACGTCTGGTTTTTTTCAGGCCACGAAACCTCGTTAACTCAAACATCAATATCCCGCTTCAGACAGCTCGGTATATTTGAGCGAGTTTACCTCGCCGCAATCGGCAAAAATCCAATCTATCACGGCGGTCTGTAGTTTTATAGTCAGGAGAGGCAGTGACCGGTACCATTAGCTACAATCCATACCATGTATCCTCTTGGCTTTCACCAGCTAATGCCACATTAACAACTACACATACTTACGCAAATAACACCATGCTTAAGGTGTCACAAAAGACGGGACGTCAAGCGGTAGCGGTGGAGAGTAGCTCGATGGGTGATCACTGAGTCTTGCGACCGAGAGGTTTTCTGACTTCAACCCTACCCCAACCCGAAACAGGGTAATACAAAAATAAACATTACTGGGAGTTTCCATGGCTTCAGACACGCCTCATACTTAAATACAGGCTATATAAATACATGTTGCTTCTTCCTTGACCAATCATTCGAGTGTTGCCACTGTTCACACAGCAGCGAAGCACCAGGTGTGATGAATCGTTTGCATGTTGTTTCACGCCACATATTCCAGCTAACTGACGGCGGCCTGTGAATAATCGAGTCTAAAAAATCCAGACAATCCAGTGACTAATATTGTGAGCAGCAATCCACGCCATCCGGGTACGATGACACGCAATCAACTAAATCTCCAAGTCTCACCACCCGATCCACGAAGTCGCCTCTTATAACGAGCTTGGAACTAATTTCAAGAAGGAATTACAACGCTGGCAAATTGGATGATTTGAGAACTTTCTTACATCAAATACGTATCATGAGTTGTATATTCCCAATGGAATTGAGAATGGAATTTAACTATACACTAATATATTGACCGTGTGGCTAATATCATATCAATATAATTAGGGTTTTGCTAAAGATGTCCATATGATCGCTGACATTGTACCTCGTCAGTGTAGGTTAAACAGAACCGAGATGACAATCATCTGGTTTGTTTGTTTGTGTGTGTGTTGTTTAACACCGCGATCACTACTATTCAAGCTATATGACGGCGGCCTGTAAGTAATCGAGTCTGGACCGGGCAACCCAGTGATTGCCAACATGAGCATCGACTTGGGATCAATGACATGCATCAACCAGGTCAGCGAGACTGATCACCCTATCCCGTTAGTCACCTCTTACGACAAGCATAGTCGCCTTTTACGGCAAGCATGTGTTGCTGAAGACCTATTCTACTCCGGAATCTTCACGGGCCCAATCACATAGTCAGCCCTCAGACCATATGGGTGTATAATTAAGGCCAATATATCGCGCTAAGTTATTCATCCCCAACTGCTACTCTCTTGTATTACATGATGATTGCAGTAAATTGAAACACATGTGACGTCTCCTCAGGCAAGTGACTTTGTTCGAAATATGCCTCTGTTCACCCAGCCGTAGGACAAGACGGTAATCTGCTGGTGCCTCACAGACAGCTTGGAATGTATACCCCACCCCACCCCCCCCCCCCCCACCCCCCCACCCCCCACCCCCACCCCCCACGGAGTGCACACTGATGCCTTGTCCGGGGGGTTAATAATGCAGCGCCTCGAGCACTCGAGCATACATTGGAGTTATGTGCTTTACAAGCGGACCTTTTTCATTAATATTGTTAGAAACCCTTATAGTCCAGACAGAACCAAACCCATGGTCGAGATTAGCCAATGTCCGGATTACGGAATCGTGGTTACATATGCATATTCCTTTCCGTGTGTAAACGTTCCAACGCTACTCGTCCTGATAGCGGGGTTCCAGAATAACAGTGGCCGGAATAACGGGGTTCCACTGTGTACAGAAACAGCACCTTGATCTCCATTCACCTTGCATCATTTATATATGTTACAACCCAGGCTGTGGATTGTCCACATGATAAAGAATGTTCGCAGTCGAGTGAAAAGAAAACCTTTATTTTGCTCCACAACAGTCAGTACATTCATTGCAATATTTACCTGATGAAACGATGTGTTTAAGAAACAACAGTTGACATTGTTCTATTATAAATAAAGGATCGCACATACATAGAGTCATATGAAAATAATCAGGTGTTCTTATTTTCTTTTGAGTAGTATATTACTGGGAGATGGGCCGCTGAGCGTTAGAGGAACATTAACTAAACAAGAAGTTCGTCAAATGCACTGCCGGGCAATAGCAAGCATACAACCATGTTTGATGATGGCTTATAATAGACTGGGCAGAATCTTGAAAAATGTACATATTAAAAGTGATGGAAGCATTTCATGTTTACGACTCGCAAACAACTTTTCTGGACGTATTGATATGTTCTAAATTGATTTAAAGAAACAAACAAGAAATAGTTATTCGATAGTGATGTGATTCATTCGGGTATCAAAGTTATATTTTGGACCTTAGTTTGCAATGTTTCGGCGACTGTTTTCATCCTAGTAACGTTTTGATAATGTTTGTAATATTTTGGCGAAATCCATTTTTTTAGTGTAAACTTTCTTTTCCCCCGGCAGTTAATATCCAATTATGGTGAATGGATAATCAAATATTGATCAAGTAAAACAGCGATTCATTAAAGTTCGTTCCTTACAGGGCATTTGAAAGAGCAGTTGACCTGACATTCTGGGGAAGATAATGCCTCATCGCCCATCACCTAGGGTAAATTACGGATAACTTATCAATACGAGTGAGTGAGTGAGTGGGTGGGTGGGTGGGTGAGTGAGTGAGTGAGTGAGTGAGTGAGTGAGTGAAAATGTAACGTCGCATCGGCACTATTTGAGCCATATAGCGACGAGAACAAGTTGATACACACACAAGTGAGTCATTAATACAAAGTTATATTAAAAAAAAAATTTGTCAAATATATTTGGGCATAATAATAGTATTTACACAGTTTAAAACACGGGCTATAAGCCACAAGTAACCAAAGCTAGGCCACCTCGCTGGGGATCATGGTGCATCAGCTTAACTGCAGGATACCCCAGCAGATTTACGTCATCACTTTAGCCACTGGTGGTTGTGCACAATACTAGCCAATATTTAAAAAAATAC